CCCTCCAGGGGAGGGGAGTCTCTAAAGAAGACGTATCTCGGCACCACAATCCATTGTCCATTGTTTTTGCTGGATGTTATTTATGACGGACGACATTCATTCCGTCCCTGTCCCTCCCTCGGCCGAGGTTCTCTCCTCCCGCTCTCAGAAGCCTTCCGTCCGGTAATGCCGTAGCTAATAAATTACGTTTCAAAAGATTATTTATTAGATTATTCATGGTGAGGTATTCTTGTGCCGTATTGGTTTGAAGGACATTTAGTGCTGCGTTTCGGTTTTTAGATTTTTTTGTGATTGATTTGTGGCATCGGCGTCGGAACAATGGCTCGGAGCGGGCTGTATTGCATGCCACGGCTCTTGCAATGTTTGATTCATGAGGACATGTTTACTAACAAGGGACTATCGGGAAGAATTATTGGACGCCTTTTGACTATTAGGACCCATTACCGTTTTGGAGATAAACTTTTGACAGATTCTCATGACAATTAAGGTTTTATTTCATATGCATAAGGGTTAAGGTATACTGCAAATATTGTTGTAGAAAAATATTTTATTATTATTATTTATTATTATAAAAATAATCAAATAAGTTAGCTAAATTGCTTTTAGTTTTATTTGTAATTATAAAAGAAAGCAATAATTATAATTTATAATTTTAATTGGCTCAAGTGCAAACACAAAAGTAAAATATAAGGACGTAAGCTTTTATTAACGATAACAGATTAAATATCATAAATAAGGACAATGATAATAGCGTAGGTAATAATACTTAGCTCGGGCCCCGTAGCCGTCACCCGTCACGACACCGCTTATATAAAGATATCTATCCCATTATTATGCGGCCATTAATTAACTTACACGAAAGTTTTAATTAAAAAAAGGATCTCTATAAGAAAGGAGCGACACAGACGCGCCGACGAATTCAAAATCCCCCGCGTCTCAACCGCCATAAATAATTGGGACAAAAACGTCCCCCCGCAGCCCCTCCCCGCGCCCCGGATAAGTGTCTAAAATTTTCACAATCCGGCAATAAAAAGATAATTTATTAGAATAGCTGTTATTGTTTTCGTTATTTATGTGTATGGAGTAATGTAATCTAGCCGGGGCCGGGGCCGGGCCGGAGCCCTAAATAAATAATTTCTCTTTAATGTCGCTCCTTGTCTAATCTCCTGAGCGGTCGCGTTGTCCGCGTCCGCGCCTCGTAATGGCTACCCGAGGTATTTTTAGGTGTAAATAAATATGATTTGTTGTAGGGATCCTGACAGAATTTAATTTCGTCCTCTGAATATCTAGATATTTTAATGAGTCATCGTCGAAATTCGCTTCAGAACCGATAATGGGGCTTTTTAATGGAGTTACATGGACCTCGTTAGATCTCTCACCTGCCTCCGGGCTGAGATCAATGGATGCTGCGCCTATTTGCGATCCGTGACTGAGTTTCAATTATTGTAAAGGCCTCGTGTGCCATTTGTGGGCACAATGTGGATATAAAATTATATTTACATACTTTTTCACGAAATAATTAATAATCATACATACGCCATATAAATGACTGGTTAATCAACAACTATTGTAAAAATGCAAGACAATAGTGCAGGGTGCAGTTATCGCAAGTCTGAAGTTCCGTGGCCATTTCTGAAAATGAGTGTCCTAGTGGGGGGATCCCCCGCGCCGCATGATTTACGCCACTACACTATTATGTTTTGACTTTAATAAACAGAGCGTTTGTCACGCGGTCGGAACGACGACGACTTGCCAGTACGGTCGGCGACTTAGGACCGGGCTACACACGAACAATGTTACATTTATTCCAGAGAAATTAATGAATAGTTGCTTTCATTTTATTATCTTTTAATTCACAAAATTATTACGACGGAGTATAAATAATAATTAAATTGAAAAAACTTTCTTCTAATAAAACATCCAGTATGAACATTATAAATAAAGAAATAATGCTATTATTTTAATTGTAACCCCAAAATAAACAGTAACAAAATGAATATATAACGTCTGTAATAATCCTCAAAGCGTGTGTTTTAATATCGTCCCAGGTCGCCCCGTGTACCGACCGATAGCTTACAACATTTGCGGCTCACAAACGGTCTGGAGTTCCGTCCACCGTATAGTTTCTCCCCAGCTTTTAATTATAATACTTTATGGCCCAATAAATCACGGCCACCCCTTCCTACCCCCGCCTCCTTTGAAGGATATCAGTTCAATTCTCGCTCGCAATCATTTATAAAGAAATTATTCGTTCCTGCGCTCTTTAACAATTGTTACGTCTTGAAACGAGTGGTGTTTTAAAAAGCGACCGTTTTAAATATTAAAATATTTACTTATTAAGATTTAATTACATTTAAAAGATAGACTATTGATACCAACCATGTCAAAATTCAGAATAATTCGTAAAACATACTTAATTAAAAATTCAAAAATAATTCAAAACTTAAGTCATTTATACTTAGTGATCAACTTGAAATATCTTAAAAAATAAAGTAGAAAAAGGATCTCTGTCATTTGATCACCGACACTCCGTCTGACCTTTGATTGTGCACAGTCAAAGGTCAAAGAAAACCGAAATGCAGTCAGCTTAAGAAAGAAAAAACGATTTTAAATAACTCCAAGAGTTCTTCGTTACATCTCAAAGGTGGTGTACCTATACAAAAACGGTTCATATTAAAATAAATAACTAATTCGTTAGATAAAATAATGTTTTGGAACGTCGCGACAGTATACACATATATGTATATAAATATGTAGTATAGATATATTTAGTAGATCCAAGTTGATAAGAATCGAAGCAGCAGACACAGTCGCGGCAGACATTACCGTATTTTTGTGTTGTACTGACTGCACTGCACTCATAAACATCATACAAAATGAGCACTAATTTCCCGTTGCCTCACCGCGCACAAAGAGGGCCCGTTTTACATAAATTTGTCATATTTGCACGCACCCCCCAGACGCCGTGCCAAGTATTAAGCGGGCGAGAAGCGATTCACAGTGACGTGTCTTTGGCGTTATGTGACCGCTGAGCCCGGATTAAGGATTTTAATTGATGGATTAATAGCACTACACTAATTTATAAACCCTTTTAAATATGTATGTTGATAGCTATGATGTAATAAGAAGGGTCTCATATAACTAGTTTAGTCTTTGTAGTAAAGGAAATTATAAGTTCATATTTTTTATATTTACTATTTTTATGTCGAATATTTATGTAATTTAAGTTTACATGATACAATAAGGAATGCGTCGGCCGTCCGAGGGCTCGAAATATGTAGTAGAAATATTAATTTAACAGCTTTATGATTCCACCTCTTTTAAAATTTTCTTTATCTTATAAGGCTCATTACTAACTTACGTCCGTTATTATTTTATTAATTAATGTGGCAATATGAAAAAACAACGAATATACATTAATACAAACATTGAGACTAGAGTTAAGCAACTCGTATGTTATATTTTTTTATATTTGAGTCATATTTGAGTCATAAACTCTTCAAGGAGAGGTTTTAATATAAGGTGTTCAATTGAGACGTCACAGCATGTAAAGTTTTTGTTGTTTATAGAAATTTTTGAACATGATATCTCATTAAACGTATTTCATAGCGAGCTATTCTGTGGAACGTTTAAATATTGTTGAGTAGTAATCGTCGTAAGACGTGATAGGTGGTCGTGTTGTCGCCCGTGTATGGCGGCCCTTACCTCTGACAGATAGAAGTCGGATTTATGTGTTTACTGTATAAATCAGGAGACGTCACCGTCGCGGCTTCTTTTTTCGTCTACAGCCCGTCGCTCCGTATATATCATAGTCCGCTCATTTTATGTCTTCCGTGCTTTAGGGTTTTACATTTTTGCCAACAATAACATCACAATCATGTTACATTGTACATATTTTCACTATATACTATATTATCGAATGTTGCTATTAATTCATATATATTTATAACGACTCAGTGAGACTCCTAGACTAATAAAATAAATAAAATCTCACAAACCCAGTCTCACATAGAATTCGGAACATCAAAGATGAAAAGATAATAAAAATAGTGTGAGCAGATAACAGAGTCTTAATAACGCAGACGATGCACACAAAACAATAAATCCGCGTAATCTTTTAAATATTTGTATTCCGTGAGACGCTGCGACGGTATCAATCATCGTCTCCTTAACGAGTCCGCCAGCTGTTGTGTATGGGATTGATAGAGCTATAAACTATATTTATAGTGGAGGGACATCCAGAATAGTGTACTGATGTTACACCTACCACGTCACACACGGCCCCCTATATCCACAACATTTACACATATTATTTTTAAAACATCAAAACGAACGTTATAAAAATCATCCGATCTTAGATTTCAAAGACTAGTTTTCTGACATAGATAATGAGTATTACTATTTATAAAACTATTACGAATGAAATATAATTATATTAAAGTTGAAACCGAATTCATCATTATCCATATATCTATTCCTATTAAGGAATGTCCATTCTATCAAAATATAAAGTTCATGTGGATGTGTCGTAGGAGCTTGTGTCCTGGGTACCGCATCCATTGTTATCACTCCGTGTAGTTCACGTGACGTGCGATAATGTCGTAAACAGAAGCTCACCCACACGGGGCATCTATAAAACACGCATTATTGTCATCAAACGACCGCCGACCTCTTTAAATCCAACTCTATTTTCTTATGAATCTGAGAACTACTCGATAGATCTAAGACATCAAAGTAAGCACGACATCATCTTATATTGTCCAAAAATACGTTGCTGACGATTAAATTTAATGATACAACTGAAGTGAGCTTTAACTGTTCTGTCAACGAGGCACTCTCTTATCACATCCAGACAGACATTAACTATTATTAAAAAACACGTCATAGGAATGCTTGTCATATTTCTGAACACCAAATTTGCCTTCACAGCAAATAGTAGCTGAGGCAAGTTAGAAAATAGAACACGACAGCGGAATATGAAGCTGCAAACACAACCCTACTTATATATAGGCGAGTGCATCTAGTGTTGGTAAGTTGCTCGTGTATCCACCGTCCGCCCGATACGGTGCACTCCTTGACAATCGATTGACGGGTGTCCTCCCCCCCCCGGACTCTCCCCCCGGGCCCTCACCCCCCCTCGCCGTCCGCATGTCTCCCCATCCGTCCACAACCTCCTTGCAGCACTCCCACCTCTCCGCCTGACCCACATAGCCGCCATATTTATAATAATTGAACCGCGCCAGCGAATTCGAATGAGTTATAAATCGGCCACATTTACTATGGTAATGGAGTCTGAAGTTGGAGCTTATCTGGTGTCTTATACGTTGAGGAGTTTCCAAAGTAGACTCATATTTTTTAATCTTTATTATTTTAATTTAAATTCTACGTTTCTTTGTGGCGTACAAAATGTAAAACTATTCTTCCGGAGATATCAGATACCTACATACATACGTATACGTAGAATATGAGAAATATTGTCAAAATAAATGTCAAGTGTGTAGATGTAACAAACGTAGCGTCATAAGGACAGCAGTGATCGTGTCACGACGGTCATCGATGTGAATACCATTTATCCAAGACATGAACTCAGAGCAGCGAGTACGACTAGTTCAGTTAGATCCAGTCTCTTGACATTACTCGATTGGTATTCACTCACTGTCACCGTCAGCGTAATTTACGATGGTTACATCAATATTTTTATTGACTCCATAATTCACGGAGCGTCACATAATTCATCCGTCCATATAAGACGTGGATTCAGGTTGTTTCAAGGTTTGGGGCAAATTTATCAAAAAAATAAAATCTTATTTAAATTCAAGTTTATGTTGATAAATAAAAAATATCTGCTTTTATCTTTGGAAAAAATATTCTGGCTTTCAAGCTGTAGAAAGTAATTAGTTTGTACAGCCTTAAAGCAATATAGTAGTATAATTTTGAAAAGCAATACAGCCGTTAGTTCGTCATAAGCAGGCATTCACCGCTTCACTGTAAGCACGAGTTTCCCAACAAAGTTACGTTGTAATCCTTCTCACTTAGGTCAAACACGAAAAATCCGTAACAAATCAAGTTGCAGATGGTCGTGACGGATAGTCTAGTTGGGCGGCAGTCGAGAGTCGAGACAGACCAGCGGAGTTCCCTTTGACTCCCGTCTTAAATTATGTCCGGGACGTGATAACGAACGGGGGTGGCACGGGGTGGTAATATTTACTTTTGCGACACACTCGCTGTATTGTCTAACGGTCGGGGCTTTGATGCTAATGTTTGAGCGTCATTTAAATTTCGGATTATTATTATTATTACTCTCTTTCTTGTACTTAAATAAGAGATATGGAACCTTTTTTGTCTCTTCCCTCTACCTTTGTTAGAAATGTATTTAAATTTAATTTTGAACCGAAGAATTTTTTGAGGAAACGGCTTTGTAAGCGGCAATGAAAAATACATAATGATTTTTTCCACAATTGTTACAGAGTTGACGTAACGAAAACAAGACGTCCCGTGACATCATTGAGATAACGTCAAAAGGGTTGAGTTCCGCCGAAAGAATAAAAAATGTCCCTTATCAACGGACCGCTTGAAAATAAGTACGATAAAGAAAAAAATATTAGCCGTATAAATTGGGCCAAAGATAATGTATTATTCAAAAAAACCTTTCTGTTAACAAAAATATTTTATGGAGACGCGTAATTCAGTTATATTTGTTACATATATTACATGAGAAACAGGAGTGTTTTGACAAACTAACATCTTAACAGAGAAATAAAAAATAACTACTTAAGTGCATCGTTATGTTTGTCTGCCAACCCTTGCCGCGTCAAACTTTTATAACTTAGATTCCAATTTCGCTGGACATTCTTTTGGGAAATCAAAGGTTACTTGAAATACCACTTAACAGACTCACTGACCGGATTGACTCAATAAATCCTTTGTGGCGTTTTCATTGCCGCTTTTTGCGCTTATCATAATTTTATTGTGACAGATTAATTGTGCGTTAAAGTTTTGCAGTGTCGCTTTATGTTTTAAGATGATGTTAACTTGATATACTGTACTCTGTGGTGTGAAGTAAAAAACATTCCAGCTAAATATAAACGGGTTGCTTTAAAAAAACAACTATTTTAATTCCCGTAAACTTTTACACTCTAAAATATGACCCGAGAAAGACAAATATATTAACATTTATTGATACTTCTTTTTTACCAAACTTAAATCTGAACACGAAATTCAATATGTCAATTTTCAATTAAATCAAAATTAAAATCCATTGAAATGAAAAACCAATAAATGATGGCCGATGAAACATAACAATGTAAAGGATCTCAGAGACAGACGTCCAGTCCAGTCTCGAGAATTAAAAGTGCAGGTGAGGAGAACATTGATCTGGAGATGGAGACGTCACCACCCCCCTCCCCCCGCCCCGGGGCCAGCACCCTCCCCCCCGGGCAGCACTCCGCCATAGACGTGTGGACGTCCAATTGATAATGGCCGGCGAATGTATTTATTTTAACTAATAGGGGAGGCATGGGAGGAATGCACTGCATTCGCTGATTTGGGATTTCGAATAATGAGATGTTTTCTTTATCAAAGGTTCCAGTTACAATGTAACGAATTAGTAATATTTTTTTTAAAGGTAATGTAAAACTATTAAAGTTTTATTAGGATAACAGACAAGAATCTATAACGCTATTGACACAATAGACAGACGATTTGCATAACAACACGTAAAATCCGACGAGGGAATTTACTAACGCAGATGAAACTATAATTCCTGAATCGAGCGACTGGTCACAAATTAGTGAAGCACTCGTTCCTACTCGACCCATCTCCACATCCGTCCCGCACGAGGACACCATGCCTTCAGACAGTCTCGGACGAACGTTACTATCGACTAGATATTATTTAATATATTTGGTTTATTACATCTCCAATACCTTCAAACTGACAAAACTAAATATGTTATCAATAAGCAATTTCATAATAACCAATAATATAAATAAATGAAAGCCAAACTACAGACGTGTCAAATATTTTTAAAGACTAACTCTAATATCCTATCACGAAACGAACGTCAACATAAACATTTTCTCTTAATACAGCAATGAAGTGAGTGTAATACGACGTCTATATAGTTGGATATTATAAAACACAGTCCGCCATAAGCAGGAAGGCATGGTCCGTATGTCTGGACACGTCCCGGCCGGACTCGCCCGTCTTGCAGCGTTTGACTGAGCGAAATCACTCAAAAGTTTTAATGCCGCTTCCGTAGGGAAGGAAGCCTCCCGTCGCCCCTCGCCACCCAAACCCCACGTATAGCTACGTGTGAAGTTTTACGTGTATGCTTTTAAAGATGCAGTTATTTTGTAATCTCATGACAAATTTGATGTTGACCATTAGTTGACATTTTATACGAATGTCTTCTTAAGCTTAACAGATGTAATATGATTTCTGATTTCATCGTTTTGTATCGTGTTCATAAAAATCGACTGAATTAATCATTAAAATGTAATTAATCGTTAAAATTTATAAAAAATATTTTTCAAGTCATTTTAGCAAGCGTTTACTTTTACACCCGCATAGCTGTGATTTAAAAATATCTAGCCCGTCATCCTTAGTGACCAATTAAATATCTACAAAATTTCAGTTCAATCATTTGAAGAATCTACATCAAACTTAAGTTACACGATTCCAATAAAACATAAAAAATTTAATACGTTACGAGATAAATAAAGTATCTTAATAAAATCGATGCATTAAAGTCAAACAGGTCATTATAAATTATATTCGGCACTTACATATTACACGTGACGTAAGAATGTATTCGTAACTTAACGTAACGTACCTATTAATTTACATAACAAACACAAACAAAAACAAACACCGCAAATACAATTTAAATCCGCAGTTATGACAGCGGATTTAATTAGCCGCGGACATTCGAGATACGTCAGCGGAATGAAAAGTTGATTGAATGGCTCTAACCGCGGCGGGTGACGGCATTGATAACGGGAATCATCCAACCTGCCCCTACCCCCTCATTAATACGTTTAATGCTTCGCAAATTTTAACAATATTTTTGTTTGCAAAAATCAATTTGTATAAATTATTATTTATATTGAAAGAACTCAGCGGACCCCCCAAGTTATTAACAAGTTTTACAATTAATTACTTTTTATAAAATTAAAGTTTTTCATCCAATTATTTAAATGTCGTACAGATTAATCAGTATTAATTTTCGCGTTTTAAGTAAGCCAGTTACAATATTACAATAATTAAGGACATGGTTTTACAATAAACGTCTTGCTGTTAGGTTGAGTAATTCTTTACAATATATAGATAAAAAATTTATAACTTTAAAAAACAAAGATATCTCCTAAAACTTGTAAGTAATAAAATTAGACCTATATCGTGTTTTGAACACGCCTTCAAACCACATCGCGTTATAAAATAAATTGTAAGGTAAATCGGTAATATCAATTTATTTGTAATAAAAATTTAAACCATTGAATGAACCATTGGAATGAGGTTAAAATGAAATCGTAATAACATACGATCGTAATCAGCCAATCCCGGGGGAACTCGTGAATATTCACAAAAATGCACTTATTATCCCGTGATCCCGGGATCTCGGAATGATTGGCAATCCCGCGTACCGGGATAAGGCGAGGTTTTAATGGGATTCTCACCTAGACGGTGACACGGGCGCCCGCCGAAATCATGAGTGCTTAATTAAAACAAATGTAATAGGAATTTTACTTCGTTTCCCCTGGTGCGGTCCGGAACAAGAGTAATGTTCACACTGTAGATGTTGTACATCAATACCTGATCAGCTCTTATAACAACATGCTTACCTGGAACAAGGAAAAAATAATAGTCTTTAGTATGAAATTAAAAGACAAATATTTGTTTATGAGGGAAGTCTGCTAAAAATATATATAATTTTGTATTTGCGCTTAAAACTTTTAGAAATTCTTTTTATACGAAGTATTTGGTTTTTAATACGATTGAATAATATAATTTTTTAACAATAATTTTCGATGTTAAAACTATTTTAATTTTAGACATTGCTAAGGAAAAGCTTAATTTCATAACCTAGCGATTCACAACCTGTAGACAGCCAAAACCGTAATTTTTGAATGAGTGAAAAATTTTTACATAATATAATACAACGAAACTCGTCCGCTAGAGACTGTTTAATGATAATGAATATTTTATAATAGAGTAAAAGTCCAACATTTAACACGATACAATGCATAACCAAAATCAAATAAGCGGATAGTGTCTCGACCTTAGTAAATGTCCCGTGACAGTAACCGCAAAATATCAGAAGCTACTGTCCTTTGTTTCGCAGAACGGCCCGGTCGGGATTCGGAGTCCATTGGAATTCTTTATAGAATGAAGTGGATTTAATATCGAGTCGGAATGTCGCATTGAAAGATAGTGTCCGGCCGCACCTCCCGCCAGCGCACACTTCAGACTTGTGAAACACTGAAGCATTTTAACACAGGCAGTTTTGATTAAATAAATTAAAAATATTTTATGTGGTTTTAATTATGATTTAACCAACATATTATACATATACCTATTTCAATTTGAGAAAATATTGAAATTTATTGTTAGTCTACATTGTACTACTTTTTGTCCACTTATTGTAATGTTTCAATATATTTTTATATATACAAATCTTTTTTAATTTTTTTCTAAACTGCGATATTTTATTTGTTCGTCACAGCCAGTCGTGAGTATGCTACGACCACATTACATTTAACCCTTTCTGAAACCCAGTTTTATATTTTCTGAACTCTTGATCGAATTTTATTTTATGAAGTGCCAAGTTTTTATTGGGTCCAGTTAGGAACACTGTAGTTATGTTTTTGTTTTATATAAGCCGGGTTTGCCTGAACGTTAAATACAATTAACATTGGGAACATTTTTTATTTTTTACTCCAAACATATTACATCGTTCAGTACTACATGCCCCTTGTTATTCTTAAATCAAATAAAGGAACTTTTAGTCATCAATATTGTAGAGATCTAATAACACAGTGGTATCTAAAAAAGGAGAAGCGGGTCGACGTGCAGTCTTTAAACAAGTCAAGACAGTCAGTGTGAAGGCAGGCAATATAAACCCAGCCGCAATCCCGTATCAACGGTCCGAATAGCTGGAATACATATGTAAATCGGATCACGAGCACGCTTATTGTATATCTAATTTGATTTCTTTTGCAATACCGTGATGGGATTCAACGAATATTGGTACTACCTGGCCGTCTAATATCGCCAGAAAATACCCGAACACAGGATACGGGGTTAAGCGCTCTGATGCCGATAGTTTTACCGAGCTGAGTTTTTAAAATATTTATGAGGGAGTGACGGTGAGGTTCGCCCTGTAATCCAATTTCGTGTTATGTCTTCTGGAAGTTACTTATTTTGCGGGGGTTTTCGTTGGGTCAACGATGTTTTTTATATCTTTTAATTAAACTATATTCATAGGGAATTCGATTTCTGTGGCAGATGGTCGGTGTTTACGTTAAGCTACCTGCGACGATACCAAAGGGTTGGATGTAATCTCTGTTTTTATGAAAATTGGGTTACTTATACTTTACATATTATTGAGCTCTGATTTTCCTTCTAAATATAGGACATGTTAGTACAAACGACTCTACGTCGCATTAAAAAACCTATCATTTCACGTTTTCAATTTTCGGCTTCACAAACTTTTTTGTAAAAACCGTAAGTTGGTCCTGAAATAATCTGACTTGGTTCAATCTGTCACGACCAAAAAGTAAAACTATCTCGTTCCAACTTGTCCCGCTAATCGAGACTTCAAATGTCTATTAAAGACCAATTACAGGGACTTCAGGCGGGACGTGAATTAACTTGGACCCAAGAATAGATCACACTTAGATGTAACTCACGAGTATACATTAAAAATGTTTTCTAAAACTGATAACTGGTGTCAACATGTTGTGAAAATAAATAATTAAATACTAGGAATTTGTGTCTATATAGAACGCAATTATTTAACAAATTGTCTATACTAATTTGATTAACGAATTGTCTATATATGTAAAAGAAACGGATTTAATGAATAGTAATAGAAAATAAAATATTTTTCATCAAGTTTGCAATTTATGTTTACAATACATAAAGATTTTTTATTTGGTTAATGAAGGACGTTTACTAACATAGCGCGAGTTGACGTTAACCTCGAACTAGTGAAACATTACTCGAGCAAAAATTTCGTTTGACAGCAAATTCTATAACAAAAACAGTATAGAAATTAAAATTCAAACATTTAAACCGTTGTTCAAATTAAAAACTATATATAACAGTTTGTCATGTTCTTCACAATACTGTTTCTTTATAAAACGTTCTTGTAGATAATTAACAGAACTTCCTAAAGTATTTCAAAATTATTTAATGAAAGACGGAAATAAACCGTACAACTCAATATTAAAGAGTAAAGTTTGAAGCTTGTTAGGGCGACTAAAGAAATGCATTCCGCGAATCGGTCGAACGCTCGAATGTAGCGGAGTGTTTTAGAACAAATCAACACGGTTGTAACTATGACGTCAAGTTAATTAAAACAGCGAAAAGTTGGAGATTTAAAAGCGGGGTTAGGAGTCAGGATACTGTGAGAGCGGTAGCGGAAAATACTATTGTTATATAATATAGAGAAGTACATACACACACAAGGTTAGATGAATAACATCTAAAAATATCCTCTATCTTTAGATTGGAGCTTGAACAAAAATGTTGCATTACTGATATTTTTTTACCAAACTTGTATTAAATACTTAAATAAACGTATATACTATACAATTTTTTTTGCATTTTAAGTATGTTTACATAAAGTATCTATTTTGTTTTTCAACTCCAGCGTGTGTTAATCACAGTCGCTGTACGCTCCACGTGGACCACGACAATATCAATCGGACGGCATGTCGATACGAAACAACAATTTGAAAATATGAAAAGAAACTACTTATGAAACTGCTAATGGAAAAATTAATACCGCTTACTCAGTTGATATAGGACTCCAGTTAAAACTATATAGACGCGTATAAAGAAAACCAAGCGAATTAATAACTATATAAAATTGTACAATAATATATTATTTTAAATGTTTCCTACGGCTTTTCCCGCGTATTAAAGCTATGAGGTTTCATTCGATTTCTTGAGGAAAGGTTTCATCAGATCTTGACATAGTGACAATGGAACTGCCTTTGATTAAAGAATTAAATTGCAAGTTAGCCTTTAGTTGTATGTATAATTGTATAAAGAACGTGTAATGAAATGAGCACTTTATACTTTTTAAAGACGGTCAAAAATAACTAACGGTCAAAAATATCAAAAATAACCTCGAATAAAATTCTTATTAAAATCGGTCAAACCATTCTGGAGTTTAATCGGAACAGATAGACAGCAGTAAAGAATATCAGTATAAATAGGTTAGGTGAAAATCTGTTTATTTAATATTACAAATAAACACTTATATTTTATTTATTATTTTATTTATCATTATTTTCATATAAAACACTCGTATCCTTATTAGGAAGTTTAACTTTAAGTCCCTAATTTTGTATTTGACGGTAAGTAGATGACAATTAGTCGTTGCGGAGTCGAATCTCTTTCATAAGTCAGCTCCAACTCGACTGGTCATTCAACGCTAACTTTAATTTGAGAACTTTCCACAGTAATTCCGTGTGACGTGTAAGCAGACAAGTTGCTCGTTTGACCGTCTGTCGTCGTAATCAGCTGTATTTCCGTGTTTCTATATTCTTTGTCTTTTTCCCGGTAACTTCGTCCGGAGTGACTGTTCGTACCATTCGGTCTACTTTTCAAATATTTTCTTGCATGCCACGTTTAATGCATTCGACTAATTTCGCCGAGTTTTCATTTTTCTTTTGACTCTCAACAACTATATTGATACCACCTAGGGGTAATTTTCTACCTCCCCCCCCCCTCGCCGGTATTTGTGACAGTTTCATGTTTGATGTATTCTATGAATATATATTTTCTGTAACACTTCAACTTCCTACACACATGGAATACTTATAGCAATACTAAGCAATAAACAGCTCGTATTTTTGAAATCCTACGAACATCTGTTCTGAACAGAGTTCTGTGCAGTTCAGCACCTGGTGAGGCGCCAATGAGGACTAATCAATACATTGGAAGGTGGCGAAAAATAACGAATGTTGCATTACTGATGCCCGTGTGTTTCCACAACCAGTACTGTCTACAACATTGTAATTACAAAACATTTTTATTGTAATAATTCAAGACGTTACATTGTAATATAATCTTTATTCTACCGCAAATTGATCACAGACGTACATATTTGAGGATTATCACGATGTCCATCTTTTATTCAATCACCGCGATAAAAAATTAAATTATATTAAAAATATTAAATACAGATTTTTTTTCCAAATACCTCGGTGAGCGGGGTCACTAATATTTTTCTAGTAAATAAATACATGCAGTGTTTTCTGCAAGGATACTTCCTAATAAAATAAAATTAAATGTATTTTCTTAAAGACTCGCTGAGTAGGTATATGAACATTTAAAATCGTAATAAAACATAAATTATTCTTAATATATTTTTATGTTGACGGTAGTCAGCGTATGCAATGTAATCGAGGGTCGGCCGGGGACGTATTGGTCCGTACTCCGTAGTTGAGACGCCTGCCTCTGTTTTTAAAGCTTTCTTCACCCCAGCCTCCCCCACAATCGATGCACGTCACGTTACTGCTCCGCCCGATCAAGTGCATATGAGCACTGCTTTGATGTCTGCGAACGGTCACTTTGCTGATTTCATTACAACTTCTACAACATTTATTACAAACTCAATACTACATTTTTGAATAGTTACGGCTAGGAAAACTTGTACTATAAAATGAAAAAAAGCTGACTTTTTAAATGAATTTAATTGTAATGAATATAATACAAAGAACATCTTAAATTGACAAACTTCCTAAGTAGTTGCGACGGATGAGGGGTGCGGCACGGGCGAGGGGGTGACGGAGGGGGGGTGGTGGTGGTCTGCAGTGGCAGTGACGTGACAGTTGTCAGGAGCAGGCTCCGAGCGACTGATTGCAATATTGTACTGTTCTTATTATATAAGTTTTTATGCTGTATTAAACATCATCGTCATTGTGCCCGGCACGTACAGATTAAAAAGTATGTACCATTGTGTTAGCCATGACTGTTTTTAATAACCTTTATAATTAACAAAGAATCCACTAAAAGTCTCCGTGATGTTGAGTAACTGCGTTAAATTTTCGAGTTTACTTGCACGTAAAAACACCAAGTCGGTGACGGGCTGCGAGTGACGTGTCACTGTCAGCGACACGCCCGCCATACTGAATGCACACTGACACTGCGTTTGTGAAACTTGGATTTGCTTTGTCTTATTATTTTCTTTTTCTTTTGGGAAATTCGCCGCTTTTAGGTGTCTACTTTTAATTACCAATAATTTGTGAAATTTAACTTGAACCTATATAAATTATACAAACAAAAAAGTTACTTTCATTAAACTTCAAAATGTTGGTTAATACAAGGAAACAGTTTGATTTATAAATAAGATCGTATCTTATAAATATTTAGTAGTAATCGATGGCTGTGTTTAGTTTAATGTACCCAACTCTGTCATTGATTGAAAATTCAAGAAGCTCGTGGAAATTCAGAAGCATATCCGAAGTTAAAACTCTTGGCAGCACGTGTCTACGAAACGTCAATCGAGCAGACATCGATGTGCAATCAATAATAAGTGAGACCAAAATAGACAAGACGGAGTCAGAAGTGGAACGGTTAGTCGCGAGCTGTCATCGGATCTGTCCCTGACAGAGAATAGACAACTGAGAGTCGGCTGACAGAAAACTGACTGGATGGGAACATTTAGAACTAAGAAGACTATCCGTAACAAGAATACATGTTCGTCGTACTAAAGCGATGACATGTTGTGAATTCGTTCACTTTGAACAAAGGTTTATTTAATATAACAGAATATACCGTCAGCTAACGCAACACAATTTTACTAAGTCGCGGGCTATCATGTCAAGACAGAAACAGAGTCGTGATAGAAATGATCTGGATCGAGCAGTTTAAGTAAAAAGTGCTAGCGAACTAACTTTGTAATGAGAAACTGGTCTGTTTGTAACGTGAAAAAATTTAAATATTCTCAATTTTTTCTTTGAAAGGTAAAATAATTGAATTAGTTATATATTATTTTCTTTACACTAAATAAAATAACTATACTCTATTTTTTCGAAAAGAAATTTGTAGAGACCTTATAAAATTCATGACTATAAATATATATCAATTTATATTATTTTATTCATCGGTATACAAAATTAAAATGACCAAGTTACCAAACTCGTCTAAATAAATTGTCACTTGGGCCATGACCCTCTAAGACTGGAGTGATATTTCCAGCGGAACAGAGTAAACTTGGGAACGTGGGAGCGACAGTACTGGCGTCATCTCGATGCAAGTTGATAATGCAGCCTCCGACTGCCACCACTAACTCTGACTGACGGCAAATGTTTAATTAGCATTTGACGTTGAATTTACTTACTCAATTAATTTAAAACTCTTTGTATGTTAAATTAATTATTTACATATTTTATTTCATTCAAAATGTAAAAAGTGTTTTGTATAGATCTATTTTATTGTACTGTACTATATTATAATAAAACCTAAAGTACGAGAAATTAAAGAAGAAAACTGTGTAACAAACGTGAAGTCCCATTCCACAAGTCTACATAAACCCATTTAACATAACACGAGGTGGAGAAATCGAAGCATGCCTATAATAAAATAAACATATAAGCCAAGGAGTTATTCTGAACACCATCGAGGGCGATTGACGTCGAAATAGCGTCACAGTGACAGTTCAATGAGAACGAGCAAAAACAAGTGCCACGCGATATATACAATGACACATGTGATATACCAACAGTGCTATCAGTTCTAAGAAATAGCAGTATTGAAAATATAGAAGAAACGACGCGCACATTAATTGAGAGGTTAACATTTTTTGAATTGGATGTTAAGTATAGAGTCAAAGTCTGGGGTTGTTCTCAGTGTTCTATAGAATAAAATTTGAGCAACAGACATCCATGAAGATTGCTATGTACATTGTACATATACCTATTCAGCCAAGTCTCGAAGTCAGCCCGAAGCGCCGCGGAACAATGTTAAAATTTAGAACGTTATAAACATAAAGCGCAATACAATAACAAATAACGAGGCAATATCAAAGCGGGAGCCGTCCGTCCGACGTTCTTGAAGCGAATGCCGCCCGAGTGCACCCGTGACAGTCATTTAAGACTGACACGGGGTGGCGGCCGCCCCCACACCCTCTCACTGTACCCTCCACGACCCCCGCCCGCCAGATGGATTGATATTGCACTGAGCAGACGTAAGACGGAGCGATTGCATACGAGAAAATAAAAAACACTGGTCGTTTTGTACCCGATTCAGGTATTGGTGAAATATGCTGCTGCAAAATTGAATACCTCGGGATTTTCAATTGCAATATAGCTAAATTACATTTGAGAATAAGTCTGCTTGGGATAATAGGTGTGAATAAACTTTTGATTGATAAATATAAGAAAAGTACCTCCAATAAATATAGTTACTTTACGTAAATAATGTCCCAATACGTTGTGAAACTTTTGAAGAAAACAAAATTTTTAGATTGTTACCAGCCTAAAAGAAAGAGGAACATTAGGAAGCCCCTTGAGGGCTAACTTTTATGTTTAATATTTTTTATTTACCTTCGGAAAACGCTTCAAATGTCTCACATCAAAATGTACAAATTTATTCCAACCCTTCAAGCCATGGCACAAACGAGACGCTCGAACGTCGCGATGGCGATCCGGGGACAGTGACGTGACGGACTTCCCCCCGGGGGGAGGGGGGGCGTCCGGGATAATAAGGGGGAGAGAACTACTTGCTTGTGTGAGTTTAAAAAATGTGGGCATGTAGCGCTGTGACGATTAAGTATTTCTAATTTGACTGCCTGAAATGAGATCTTCGATTTTTACCACAATAGATGTTTTAAAAATATAATAATAGTAAAATTTCATAATTATTTAAATTTTATGTATATTCAAATATTTTTCTACATTACTTTTTATTTAAACAAACAATGACCATACAACTTAATAACTTCATAAAAAATCTCATTAAATAATGTATTTGAAAGTCCCAAATGAAATTTAGCGTTTGTGCTTTACTAGTTACCTTAAACAGGTAATAGAGAAAAATAAAAAACACAATCCAAACAAAGTATGCTTAACGTCTGGCGCAGACATCACGTCATTTGCACAAAATTAAATACCCTCAAAGACGGACGTTCCTTGGCCGGACCGAACACCCCCCCCCCACCCCCCTCCCCACCAGCACTCGCCCCCTCCCATTACCGGCGTCACCACCCGCACTTTGACATCCCAATGCAGGTGACACGTCGCAGACACGTCAAACAAAACTTAGAAAATATGAAAGACTTTTATATATTTTAAAATAAATTTAATGTTCTCGGTAAGCTTATATCGAGCTCATCGAATTAATTATTCTGTATTAATATTTCATGTGAAATGTTGAAACTTCTCTGGATCTGATATTCTGTTCAGTCCAGGGCCTGTATTATGAAACCTTAATTGAAGTGCACACGCCAATAGAAAACATATACAATGACTCGTATAAGATCCGTTCTACGTCTAAGTACACATTAGACTGGGCGTCCATCAAGACACTAGCTCGCGGCACCTATTGATATTGATTCACAGGTGAGACTGCTGGCCATCGACCGATTTATAATATTTTACTTCTTGCTGTATTAGTACTATGTTATTGTGATGTTTTTTTATTGTAAAATACAATGCAAGGATTCAAGACGTAACTAGCGTTACACATATAAGTAGGTTTCGCTCAAGGCAGGTGAGGAGACGGCAATTTTAAACGACAGTCCTCTACACAAATGCCATATATGTATAGTGAGTAATAAAGAAATTAGTTACATTGACAAGAGTCTTTGTAATGTATTTTGTCTTCCATTGCATGCATACAGTACATGTCTGATTTCATCTACAGATACACAATTGCCTCTCTTTTTGTGGGGAAAGGCAACAAATGCAATGAAAAAGAATCCTTTTAAATTTACATTCCGACTGAGGTAACGGAAACACGATTGACGTAAATTAATAGCCGGGCTTAACGAGACACGAAAAAGTAAAACACCCGACATACCTCTCTTACGCCCCATAAAAACGCGCCAGAGACACATGTCCCCCCTTATTATCTTCAATTAAGAGACTCCGATAGTGCCATGACATACGTCGGACGTATCCAATATGTTCTGACCTCTTACCACACCTCCGGGACCATTCGCTCTTCTCAACTGTCTCAGCTTTTGGGAGGCGAGGTGGTTCTAAATTAGTTGGACGTCTAAATCCAAACACGTTATAAATACAGTTAGCGCAATCAATATTGAACTCTGTCACGTCGGATTAGATGCTCTAGCAGGCGACTTAATAGCATGTTGTGTCAGTCGGCCGTGAGTGATGTACGAAAGACGTTGACGAATGACGCACCGTTACATGTGATTAGTGGATACGGCACGTTTCCGCAATCAGAAGAAATAATGATGCAATGGATATAATGTTGGGCTGCCGTGGGACCTAACTGGCAGTTGTCGTTACGAAAAATATGACTGCCATAAAAATACTTATTAATAATGTGTAATCATTCTGATTTATTTTAACAGCAATGACAGTCAAGATAATATTTATTAAATACATTACTGTATAACTCACGATTTGTATAATATGATAAAAGATTTGTTTTTATAAATATTATAACGAGGTTCTGGGAATATCTATCGCTGTAATATGATTAAAACTGCTATATTATTGGGAAGTCAGAGCACGTGGGAGACGGATGCACGTCGAACGAGATGAGCTCTGACGGTCCAAGTAATTTGATTAATGACAAGTGACAGTTGACAGGTGACGTCTCGTTTGTTTATTTTAATATAAAAGAAGAAGCAACCTCGGTGATTCCACACGACGCGTCGACGAGTTTGTGTTGCGACGAGTTGAATATGAAATATTGATAGATCTCAAAAGACGAGTTTTATTTTTAAAAAATATTACAAGGTGACATATACAAATATAAAATGAGTAGATGAAAACGAGAGACGACTACCAAGGACGTTGATAGTCGACTAGCATCTTTAGCATATGTTTTGTCCTAACAAACGGACTCATCAAGCTTCGACAACTCAAATAAAACTCCGTCACCCGGAAGACACGACTCGTCACAGCTACGAGTCATCGCGATGAGATATGACGAACGCTGTTATTTGATTAACGACTTGTGACATCGCGTTAATTTGTTACCTCAGTTCTAGTTGGCCCATTTATTTGTCGCTAGTCTTTACGGTGTACATATTTAATATGTCAAATACGAATGTCGTGTGATCTTTAAACGAACGGATGAATATAAAACGGCGGACCGGCCGGAATGCAGAGTGTAGCTAACAAATAATACAAAAGGCTGGGACTAAATAAGTGAAAGAGAGTCAGAAGCAGCGTTTTCCTTCCCTTCGACTAATTTCGCTTTGCGTTTATATCGGTACATGGAAAAATTATATTTTTAAGCCGCGAGCACAGAGTAGGATCACATCGCGCCTTTACAATCACCGAGCTGACGCGGCCAGACCTCCGACGTACTTACTCGGGTGAGTACATGCTCACGAGCGAAGGCGATTCGGACAATCCTAAAATTTCATTATTCATACAGACATGTAATTTCGAATTTTATCAGTATTTAAAAACTAAAAAACAAAATACAACTATCCAAATCATTGAGAAAAAATATATAATGCCATAGTTCATATTAAAACCCATTACATGTAACATCATAAGCGATATAAATTTTTCAGTTGTTAAGATATCGCTTCTCCCACAACAATGCGTGCAACCTTAATTCGGGAACACACTAGCAATTTCCCAACGAAATAAGCGAATTAAAATAGCCTCAAAGCAACTGCTCGCAAAGAAACGCTTGCATACACCAGGTTTATTTTTAGCTGTTTATAGAAGGGGTGAGTGACGGTTGGACTGCCTTTGAGTCAGAGGTCGGCCGACGGTTATGCTAAAAATTAGGTAAAAGAACTTTGAGACTCACGTGTTTACTCGCCTCTTGTTTGAATATGAGGCTAAATTAAAAAGTCTTCCGCCGCCCTTTATTACGTATCAAATTTATGGATGTATCTTTATAACGTCTGCACTGTTGTTTGTTCAGAGAAAAATTAAACGTGATCTTATTCAAAGCACATTTCAATGAGAGCGGCTCCCTTTTTTAGGTCTTTTTATCGTGTTTCATTTATCATTTTTAATAAATACACGACGACGAACAAGTAGTGCTTATAAAGTATAGGTGAAGTTCAGATAAATTAGGCAAATAAAAGAGGAAATTCCGCTACATTAAATCTTCGAATCGGAACAAAGGCATGTGCTAATTTTCTATTTCAACGGAGGTAACTCTATTATTCCTTCTAATTAGCGAGCATTTTAAAATCTGCCAGTTGAATAGAGGAAGCTCTTTAAAAAACGTCCACGCTTTCCTTTACACGATTATCGAAGGGGGTTTAAGATGGGAGGAGGAGGGAGAGGGGGGAATTAACAAATGTACATTCGCTAACAAAAATCGGTCGATTTTTAATTAGGAGCCGAGTCGGTGGGAGGACGTGATCGGAATAAACCTATCGCTCATTGCACCAGGCGACGTATTAGACGCTGAGAAAACTAAGTTACACTGTTCTACTCGACTGTCCAATCAGCAATTGTGCTTAATGAGATGTCCTCTATCCATGTTTATTTCATTTGATGGGATATTTTACAGGATTTACGTGATGTTATTCTGAGTATTTTACAACAGATAGTATTATTACTATCTACATTATTGCGAGCTATTCTTACAGTATGTTTAACAATAATTATTTTTTGAGTTTTGTGGTTTCACAGTAACTCGAACGAAAATGAATTACGAAAACGAATAATGAAAATCGTGGTGCCAAATAATGAAATGTTTATGTTGAATTTTATTTGCTATTAATCCTTATATGTATGTAGTTAACGTATTAATCATAAATTACCATAAAAAAATAATTTACGTAGATAAAATATTTTATTTTATATTAAATTATGATATCACAATATTTCATTATGATTAGGGCCAAGCGTCTATTAAATAAAACTTAGAAAATTTTATAAAACCGAACCAGTAGTTTTGCCATCATACGTCACCAACTGCAAACCTTGATCATGTTATTTGCATATTATTATATTTAATGTTCAATTGTAATGAATAATAAAGTTTTGAAACGAAGTTGGTCCTCTTGTTTAACATACAAACATAGATAGACAAATGATAAACATATTATTAAAGTGAACCTTCAGGTACAAAGTCGGAACAACTTGTACGTTTTTCTTTTATGACACCCCTGCTCCCCTCCCTTCCCCACTTCCCTTCAGCCCTCGTCGGAGGCTCATGCTTACAAACTGTCGCATTACAGGCCATCCCTTGAAGAACAAAGCTACTCGTTATTTTTTGAAGTTCTTAACAAAAACAACTCTATATACAACACAATAAGAAAACATTGATCGCAGCATAGATACATTCCAGTTGACAAAGATACATTTACGACAAAATTAAGCCATTATGAGCCTTATGCCGTCGAGTTAAGGACGAGCGTCTGTGTAATTGAAGATCGGTAATGTTAATTCTAAGCTAATGATATGAGGCAATAGAATGACGTCTTTCAGAATTATTCAGACCTCTATACCTGAAAAATTTAACATGTAAGGAGATTTTTGTGGTCCAGATGAAGATAAACTAATTGATATAGAATACTCATAGCCTCCGTTAGTTTACCATAAACATATTCAGATATTGTTTCAGCCTTTCTCGTAGAAAAATGCATAAGATTTGAGTAACAGTATGACATTTCTAAAAGTCGATACAAACAAACATTAACAAAATGTATGTCGCCCACGATACACATAATCGAAGAACAAGGCATTGCACTATAATAGCTGCAGGCCATGGGTGCCCAATCGCCCTGAGTGAAAACCGCCATAAAAGCACTAACCTAAAAGAATAAGGATATAGAAGAGACTATAGAAATATGCAGTACATGCGCAACCTTTACGACCCTCCCAGAGACAAAACACTAAGTGGTTGTTGTAACGTTTCATAACAATTTACACTTAACGACTGAAGCTTGTTCTGTGATAAAAATCGAAATGCTAAAGTGAATTACACTCATCATTTACAAAGTCCAACTATTATCGTATATAAAGGTAATATTAATAATTTTATTGATGCAGTAGTCGCGTGTTAAATAAAAATATAAACTTTATCAGGAACAAATGTCAAGGAGTCGTTAAAAGAGTTTCAATTTAAATAATAACTAAATGTTATAATAAGTCGTATGTTATTAAAGAGGATTCTCAAGTCTGTAGAGACCAATCGGGCTGAGTGAGAATCGCTATAAAGGAAACGGTTAATAGCGAGTGCGGAGTTACGGGCCGGAACAAGATTACGTAGACTAAGAATTTAGTCGATAGTAGGTAGATAATGTTTCGTGGTTAATTCGCTTCTGTTGCTCTTATTCTATGAGAGTCTCCCGTTTAATGTCTATTGTACTCGGCCGGTAATGGTGGAGATCGGAAGCCATAGTTAAATATTGATTAAGAAAACGTAAGTAGAATTCTGTTGATCCAATAAATATTAAAGACATAGTAAAAGAAACAAACAAGAAGTCGATCTATAACACTAGACACTTATCTTAACATAACCAATGAAGATGCCGCTGGTAGCTCGATGCCATCAAATCCAATGAACAAACGAAAACACATAGAAACTAAAACCATTAACTGGTCTAAAGGACAACTAATACTCCATTAAGATATCAATCAATACAAGAGCAAAGTTTATTGTGGCTCCCGATGGCCCGCAGTCGTAAAATTAGCATCCAAATGGTCACGGCATTCTGAGTCAGTGCTTTTGAATTCAAGTGATGCTATCGATAGACGAATCGAAAGGCATTCTATTATAATATACTTTACTATTGTTTTTTATCGAGTTTACATTATGGTTAATTTTACTCACATAACAACACAATGATATGTATTATTAAAGATATATTAGAGTATGTATAAATATTTAAGTAGCCAGCTATTTGGACGTAAACTATTAAAATTATAACCAAATAGATCATCCGACGACAGCTAATTTATAGCATCATAAAAATGATAAGCGATAAATAATGTCCACGGAATTAATTAAGATGACCTCATGTTGAATACGAATCAATATGTTGTATATTTATAGAATTTATTTTGTTGCCAGCTTTTTGTAGTGTTTTATAATTTTTAGGGTTCCGTTACATTCAATATAATTTAGTCTTTATTTTTATGTATCAAAATTAGAAAAAATCTATTTCTTTGCTAACAAAACCACGTACTAGTGATTAACAATCAGAGTGCTTGTATTAGTTCCGCCACTAAACGGTTATACTTACTGAAATTAGTCAAATGATAATAAATATTTGGGGTATAATATTTTGACGTTATCGAAAACAGTAAATACTAATTAAAATTTTTGTTATTTATTATATGTCCAACCGTCAATTACATCGCATTGCATAATGTGAAGTGTTTGAGTACCAGACCTGTGTTAGGGTCCTCATGATGTCGCGGTCCGTGAGACTCTCCCGTTAATTCCCGTTAACTCGCTAACGAGCGATTTGTTTCAACGATGCCGTACAAAATGCAAATGTCTGTGTTGTTCGAAATGATTTAATTATCATATTAACAATGGCTATGACAGCTATAAGAAATAATCTTAAAGTTTCACGATCGCTTAATAAACTCAAAATATCAACTTGACAATAGCGAAGAATGGGACGTTGAAATAATGGTATAACATGTGTTGTTCCATTTATTTATATACTGAGATGATGGGACGATAACGTCTTCACTAGATAACGTGTTATTAAAATATAGTAACCCTCACAACATACATATATAAACATATATATTTAATTTAACTTTTAAACTGGCTTTTCAATTGGATAATCTTAATGGAAATAGAGCCGCTAATTTATTTTCTTTTACTTAATATGTAAACATTAACAACTTTGACACGAATACTTTGTAAGAGTAGACGACAACCAGATTACAAAACAGAGCTTCCATAGAAGTCGAAGAACCACTAGAGGCTTATATATCATAAATCTAGATATTAAAATGAAATACAACTATTACGTATAATTAAAAACGATACCGAACATCGAGTGGAGTCCGCGCTTCAAGTGAGGGCAGGTCACACTGGCGGCCATTAATCTCGTACGGACAGTCCCTAATATATTACACGAATGATATTTTGTAATTTAAAACATAATAGTTAATTTCATATTCGGTTGTAAATCATACATTTAATGGGCGTGTGGGACGAACTGACTGACGGAGATCCGCTGATTACATCTATTTAATAACATTAGATAAATTAAACTTACATGGAGGAGACTGACTCACTCGCAATTATAAATAAAAATAATTATTGCTATCATATAAATTAGTAAGACATGTTGGCAGTTACAACCTTTGTATTATGAAAATATCAAACGATTAGGTACCTGTTTGAACAACTGATCACTAAATCTAAAGAGATCAATTTAGATACAGACAAGGTTTCGGAACTATATCTAGATGGTCCAGATAACAATAAAACAGATATAAATAATAAGACTTATATCAATTTATCTATAAATATGAAGTTTTATTTGTTTCAAGAAATAAATATTAAACAGTAGATGTTGTCCGGTCATTATACATAGTAACATGATCATATTTTAATGCTAATCTAATGTTTTACGAATTTTTATCTATTGCCGGAATTTTTGAATAGATTTGGATGAAAATGCATAACATTAAAAGAATTTTAAAAATGTATAAAAGATATCCCCAGCACACACACACACACATAGATAGCTAGCTTCATTTACATTTTATATTGAAAATAAAAATAAAAACTGCAATATTCGATTTTTATTTAATACTATATGTAATAATTTTGTTTCTGTTCGTACATTCATGTAGGGGTCTGCTTCAAGTGCTTGTATCAAATAATTCACATAATCATTAATTTCGAATGCTTGTTGAATTTATTAATAATCACAATTAATGGACCGGATTTTGTTCTTCATAGATCACAGTCAAAGTTGTCAGATGTACATACTCGGTATTATATACACTTGTTCCAGTTACCTGAACATTCTCGTGACATAAAAAAATCTCTGGCTATAGAAGTTCCGTCCCGTATGTACTAGTATGTAAACTATCAAATGTGACGTAAGAACATTCAAATTTATGTGGGAGCGAGTGGGCGCTGTAATCTCGATGTGACGATCGTTGTATAAACGTGCATAACATAAAACGATATACACGGAGACATAATAAGGCTGGCGATCAGTGAGCGACGCTATGAGGTTTGATTGTTGTATGTATCACCAGCGTTTATTGGACACGAAAAGTATGTACGATGATGAATATTAAACGTGTTCGAGCCGCCCGTTCTATGTATCACATAGTATTAGTTACATGTTGTGTTAACATTGATACAGAAGAAGCGACGGCGGTGGTGTGTGTGATCAAGATGTGCGTTACCGGCCGGCGCGGGCGCGGGCGCAGCCCCGGTGACAGATTTATGTGAGACGACGATATCGGCCGCCTCCCTCATTATGCCGGGCGATTGCGTTCGCGATTAGATAATTAAGGCTTAATGTTTCGTCTGACGCGTCGGATCTATTGTACGGTGCTCGGCCTATTTGTTACGCGGACTTGGAGCATCGTTACGGATGATTTGTAATTAATACCTCATCGGCTCACGGATATGATTCTCGATACGAGTTATAAAAGGTTTATGTTTGACGTGGATTTACGAGCCAGCACGAGTAGGCTACAGTTTTTTAGTAATGCAATCGTGTTCCATCATGTTATTTATACCCGTTGCCCGTTGCTCGCTGCTCGTTGCCCGTTGCCCGGTGTAGTGGTACACTGTATCGTCACTATCGCACACGCGATCGTAAATCCGGGGCAGCGCGGACCGCGAGAGAGCGACAAATCATTCAAACTCGAATCAGAGGTGATCGTAAATACGTCTACGGAACACATTAATCATTGAAAGGTCCAGAATGAGACCGGCGCGAGCGCACGCCATTGGTCCCTCGGACCGAACAATTATTCAGACGTCGCCACACTATTGGCCTACAAGGTTTTTTCAATGTTGACAGCGTGATGGATTCCACCCTTCGACTCTGGCGCACGTTAGCTCCGGTGTATGTATGCTTTTTTGTTGTATGTTTTTATATTGGTTATTATGTTTTGAATAATTTCCTCTTATTTTGTCTGTGCTTTAATAAATTGTTATATGTCTGGCGTTATAATTGAGCTTTCGACTTCTCCGGGTCGGTATTTATTACAATACTTAATTTCGTTATGTCAAATTTTTAAATTCTTATTTTATTTCAACGACTTCTTCTAAGAGGATTTGAGTATAACTTCTACACAGACCCCTGTCGATAACCTTATTTATACTCAATTTAAACAAAATTTGGAAAATTATCCTTACATTTGAACCTAAAACATATAATATTTATAATTGTTAGAAATACATTAATTAATTATAATTCTCTCACATACCTCCATACATTACTTAGTAAAAGTTCTGTTCTTACTTAATATAGTAATTTATTTTTATTTATTTAAATATATTAAAATATTAAATGTAAACAGAGATACGCCTAGTTCACGGTTCCCATCGCCGGCGTTTAGAAGTCATAACTTTTTTATAGCCTCGATAATAGTTTAATGAGTCGAGTGTAAGAGCGGTCCGTTTCATCATGTTATTGGACGTAAATAAATACGCTTTGTAATATATTATGATCAGATCTTTATAATTATTTAAAGATAACAACATTTAAGACTTACTATATAGGTATAAAACTATTTTGATGGCAGACATATGGTTTGAGTGATTTTATTAGTTCCTATAGTCGTTTTGTATTGTGATTCGATACCTTTTTTTATAGATATTTACAAGGTCTTCCCCACTACATGTCTTTGCCGCTATATTTCTTCGGAATGTATATTGTCACGATGCTGCTTCTTTTGATAGTGAAGCAACATCATTTGATCTTTTATAAACATGTGAATTATTAAGGAAGCATGTCTAACACTACAATGAAACACATAGCTTCTTTTAATGTTGGTTATTCCTAAGAACTAAATAAAGTTTGAGGTGGTTGTTGTAAGTTAAACAAAATATTATATTACATACCTAAGTCTTTAAACCAAAATTTTAGACACACTTTCTCGTGTTTAAAAAAGAATAAAGTATTTAATACATTAAAAATATTTTATCGCAAAACTATAAGAACAGGTCATTTGAAAAATTTGAATAAAGCAAAACTTTCACATATCTAAAAACAAAGCCTAAAAGATAAAGTTGAAACAAAAGTTAGCATCCGGAGCCAAAAATAAAATTATTTGAAAAAAAAATTCAACTAAAGAATAGTTTCTCGGTAACCTTTTTTTGTATGTATGATGACTACCTACATAAAAAATAAAACAAAATATTTTTCAGCTTGTAATTAAAATAAAATATATAAAGAAAAAAAATCATGAGCTTATTCATTTCAAAATCTAAATTGGTTAAAAATATTAAAACAGATTTTGCAAAAAACGTTGTAAAAATTAAAAGATTTCAATAACTAAGATACAAAAAGGTAGGTACTTATCGTCTTACCGGAAACAATACTATTAAGCGCTAAGAGAAGATTCCGCCACTTACCTGAAAATAAAGGAAAACAAAGGATTTAATACAATTGTTACACAATATCTTAACAAAACAATATTAGAAATGTAAAATTAAAATTTTATTAAAGTGAAGGACAAAAATCTTAAGAGCAAAAGGCAGAGTAACAATCTTATGCAGATTACAGCCTGTAACTGTTCCTCGGAGCAAAACTAAAAAAATAACTAAAGGAACAAACAGACACTGGAACAAATTCAACGTCCAAAAAACTCATTAGTGGCGCGGCAGCCGAGCAGAAATACCGACAAATTGGAGCCCCGAGGAGCCAAGAACATTAAATAGCCTGTGACAACTGCATTAAGACTCCCTACACACTGGATACATAATTTTGAAGCGGAAATAAAGAATACGTTGAAATGCAAAACAATGGGGAATAATTTACAGCAAACAAAGAACGTAATGGCATAGGCATAGTTTGAGTCTGCCGGCTGCGAGTGAATATTACGTGTCGTGCACTCGCGTCTACTGCAAATATCTACTTAACACCGTCAAACACACCAGAGGAATCATTACGATATGTTGATAATTACAATATGCTAATATTTTTCATATCCACATTTTGTATCAATCAGTTACCTAATACAGTCGTGTGAGGATGGGATCAGATTGATCGGCCGCAGTCAACATTCCTCATCGCGCCGCGCTCCTTTGATATGACACGAATTAATACTGTCTTGGCAACGTGTTAGGATAATTCATTCAAATTAATATCTAGCAGCTAATATTTAGTAAACCATAACTCCCCACAACATAAAGCCATTTAGTAAATGGATACTTTTAGAAGAAACATATCTGATTAGTTGTTTCACCTTACAATCTTCTATTGGAGTAAATTGGAAGCGTACCCGTAAATGTAATGATATATACTCGTACTTTAATAAAAAATATTTTATGCTGTCATCAAAATTTTAACTGCAGGTTCATAGATCCTAAAAAAAATCCAAATAAACTGGAAGAAATTAAAACGAAACAAATCTTACATTAAAATTGCCGAAATATGAGAAAATAAAAAGTAAATATAAAACAGTGGAGCAAATATAATAAATGAAGTAAGATTTAAAATGAACTCGAGAATCCGTTCACATTTTTATAAATTTTAATATTCAAATATCCATTTTATTTAAAATAGTAAGCCACATGTATTACGAAAGTATCAATAAAGAATAAGATTATTGCGTCTTTATATATATAATAATGATATTAAAATATAATTAACACCATATTGGGGCGACTGTTCGTTCATTCATAAAGTTGTTATGATACTCGTGTGAATCAATTATAAATAGTTTTATAACTGAATTATAATAATATTATTGATATTGTTATGTACAATACTAAAATTAGAGGACAACTACAATGACTTTGACATCAACTAATACTTATTTTATTTTACAATTTATGTTTAGCTTGAAAGTGTCACTGACTGAAAAAATTCTCTTGGGCTTCTTCATAGCACCAACTCTGAACACCTATAACGCGTTTAATATATTTGAATTCATTTTACAATTAGGTATATATAGGGTACATTTTGTAACTATGGTATTATAGATTGGAATCTCTAAAGTACTGCAGATATCACGTTGATTGATAGAATTTAAATAAAGTAATCATACAATAAAAGTTTGTCGGCCTGAGACGACCTGTATGTATTTATATAATAATAGTTTTCAGATTTAATGCGCGTATGTTTAAATCAAATTTTTGATCCGACGTTCCGAATAGTTTTCATTAAACGAGTTAACAAGAAGCTATGTCAGAAGCGGCTCTTGTATATTATATACATAACTTAACATTGGTAGAGAAATGTTAATGTTGTTTTATTTATGTCCAGAAAACATAAATTCAGATTTCACTTTAAAGAATTAACGACTAGAAGAAATAATAAAATTTGATATCACATTCCGACCTGAAGTAGGCTTCGTTATAAGTTTTATTGGTATTAAACTAATTCAAACAAAATAATTATGCAGATTATATTAAAGAATTCGATGACAGAAAAAGATAACTCTGTAATTCTAACGCTCAAAGCTTCGAATATAAAAATAGTAAATTAATAAGTAGTATTAGGCAGTGACTGCCTTCCGTGATCGCACCGAAAGGCAATCAGAAGATATGTTTAGTCCAGTTATTTTAGTAGATATTTCGATTTCCATCTTAATATGTACTGAAACATTGGAAATTTATAGTAGCAAGCCACTACTACCGGAACTCGATGGAATTCCTTGACAGACAAATATTTTCTCTAAGTATAACCATTGTTTTAACGACTGTCGATCGAGGTCAATCAAATACCACATTTTATACTTAACAAGATTCTTTCGAAGATATCGCACATTATATTTAATTATTATTAATATATGTAACCGAAACAGCTATAATTTATTTATCTTATAAGAACAAAAACCATGTTAATACTAAAGACATCGTTTATAAATATGTTTTTAGTTAATTTTTTTTAACTTCCGATATCAATTCGATTCAAACTCGAGAGTTTCCCTCCGCTCCGGTAGTAGTGGTAATGCCACTGTTATACGGATTACGGAGCTAGATAAGATCAACACACATTAGCTCTCAGACTTTGACCCGTGCTCCATTATTTATTGACGGCGGCGACAAAAATACATCGTCACGTCTACAGAGACAGCTCGGCTACTAACTGATCACACAGCACTTTTGATCACTGAATATAAAAATTAACATAATTAGTTCAACTATAAATAAAGAAGATCATGACCAATTAATGAGGAAATGAAGAAAAATGTAGTTTAGGTTGCAATCAATCAGAATGTATCGTTTAACGCATATAATTTGTCAACAAATAAAAAAATAATAATTGGTGTTAATATCAATAATATTTAATGTTCCTGGTTTAACTTTAACATAATTTTGTCTCAAAATGAACCGCCATTTGAAGTCCGAGGAAAACTTGAAAGTGTTGTAAGAATAAATATAAATAGTAAACATAATATGTAAGTTTGTATGTTTTAAAGGATGTTCGTAAATGATATGTAAGTTGTAAGCCGCAGCTAACCCTCCGTAATCTTCAATTCCACAGTTCACGTCTTAGGTAACTGCAACACTCCGATCGGATAAACAAAATCAAGACACGTCAAGGAACAGATTATCACAGAAGCAGAGGTCGGGACGAGACGAGCTCTAAAGCCAGCCCTTAGCACGCCTTACACTCACCGCAATCTTGATGACAGCTAAATATTGTATGCACCACATGAAACTACGAGATGCATGCCTCACACCCACTTACATTATATAAGAGTACTTTTAACTAATTCATTGTGAAATATCTGAATTGAAATATTTAAATATATTAATAAATCGCCATATAAATGAAACTAATATTTTCGGATTTACTACGCGTTTTTATTTTTTACTATAAACTAAATACTCCCGACGTTTTGGCTACTTTACAGAAACCGTGATCACTGGCAGACGAGATGTGAGTGTCTGTCAGTTGGTCTTCTTATTTTGTTTCTTAAATCGGCATATGTTTGAATACAATCATAAAGCTTATATAATGATTTATTTTTTAACTTTATTAACGTGTTTATTAATAAAATTTAATTGTTAATTTGAGCATGTTTTCCTAATGGGTCAATCGAGTCGATGTAGCAGTAGGACGTCTTGAGATGTCACGCTGTCAGCCAGACAAAGAGCAAAGCTGTGTTGAGAGAACACGTCCGGCTGTAGCTGAGGACTCGGAATTGGATATGTAATGACCTGGATAATAGAAAAACTTAATGTATTTATTACACGGGTGTACAGGTGAACGATATAACCATATACAGATCACTCTGTCGTTACGTGCTTACTGACATTTAAACTTAATTAATTTCAAATACAAGGGCCATCGGTTAAAGTAACATAGAACAATGATAAGTGCGGTCAAGATGCGAGAGGTCAGATGAGAATCGATCGCCGCAGATGTCACAATTAATCGCCAGCTTCGGTTCCTCGACGCGGATAAATCAACTCTGATTAAACACACTTATATTTATCAAGACATTCACTTATCACTCAACGTTTGTGCTTGTTTTTAAGCCGACGACATCAAGAGCTGTTTCATTATGGAGGACTTAGCTGGTTGAGTTTTTGAAGTACCACCTTACAAGAAAAAAAACAAATAAAATATAATCGTCATATAAATAAATAAGACAAATGGAATTTTAATAAAATAAAAGAATTAAAGGACTCGTTCAATACAACTAAGTAGCATAACACGCTCTGAAATAACAGGCTTATTTTAATTAATTTACATTCTAATCTACGAGACATCTTAATAATTTATTTAAACTTAAGGACACCAGATCCACTCAATATATTATTATAATTGGACTACTATAACAGTTAACAATGTAACGTGCTGTTAAAAATATACTTTAGATGAGTGAAAGTCAACAGATACAAGTCTAGAATGTTAATATTTTTTTTATATTTAAATATTAATATTAACATATTGTTCGTAATAAATTTTTATTGATACTTTTCATAACACTCAATAGTTCAATAATAGGGTGTGTATGTCGATTCAAACAGTTAAATAATTCAAACACTTAAACTGATTTTAAATATAAAAAAAATATGACCTTTTTATAATAATAAGAAAAAGTTAAGATAGAAAATATAAATAAGCAAACACACACACAGACACATTCAGACACACACATAAGCCGTTTCTGTATTAAACACGGCTCCACGAAACACAATAATATAAAGAATCTTTGGACATAACAGTAAATCACAAAAAATAACAACCAAGGAGCGGAGAAATGGCTCGGAATCTATAAATCTATGAGGGGGGTATCTGACCATCACAAACATGTCAAAAACGACCATAAACGTCCAGGATATCATGTGCAGATAGTTTATTAGAAACACAATGTAACCTTATGATGAAAGCGACCTTCGGCTTTGTTTGGACGGCCGGCCGTGACGGACGCCGAGATGTTGATTCCTTATTTATTGAGATTGGGGGATAATTTTATAGCCAGCCGTGTACATTCCTTTAAAAAGATACTGATTCTAAAAAAACGAAGGAATATTTTATTTATGTACGTTCAGGAAGGACTTCTTTATTTATGAACAGACTTTCATCATTCATGATTTGATCGTTTTTGCATTCGATACGGTTTGTTATTGGCTCCTCTAAGTAAGATGAAGTTTCAACAACTATCAAACAACTTCAAGGACAACTTTATAACATCACATGATACTTGTTATAAATTTGAAACGATTTTATTTATATGTATTTTTTATTTAATTACATATATTTAGACCATTGCCGACTTTGTAAATGAATACTGCTTTTATTGAGATTGAAGGCGGTAATTTTTTGTATATTATAATGATTTATAGTAATTTTGTGAAAAATATGATGTAATACTCTGTAATATTAAAACTTAATTTTTACACGTCGCAAAACAAGTTTTCCTTATTGATATATTACTTCAGAAAGAGCATTAGTAGGTATTGAATCTCAATGATGATTAAGTCAAATTATCTAAAATATCTTAATTACTTAAAAATATAATTATGTTAATTATTCAACGTCCCCTTTATACGAAAAACTTCAAAACAATTATATCTTACACTCCCTTGATACAATCGAATCTTAGTTTGTCAAGTAAAGACTAAATAATTGTTTTTCTGAATTCTCAATTTTTCAATAAGGTAGGTACTGTGACAATTATTTGCAGATTAGAAATTAATTATAGTAAATACATGAATGAAATAAATAGAATATTATTTGAGGTATGTAGCATAAAGATTCACTGACTTAAATGTAATTTTATTTATAAAATGCTGTTTTTTATCACATACCTTGTAACTAGACAGTCTAAACTCTAAACGAATCCGTGTGATTCACATTAGATACAATTATCACCTGGATCTACACTTTTAATTGAACGCCCGAGAATTTATAGCATCTCCACTTTCAATGTCTTGAAACTAATAACTGTCTATTCCCCGACCGATGCCATTATTTGCATCGAAAACAAAATTAGTCTTCCGACACTCCAGACCCGATAAGAAACAGTGATACCGACAGAGTATTTACAACACGCCATCGCTCGCACCACACACGCTCCTATTCAGTCCACGCTAGGATCTATAATAGTTCAATGGAGTTATTAGGCATGTTATTAGAACGGCTACAATGTCACGTCTCTGATATACGCAATTAGTCTAAGGTGCTCCCTGACATACGGGTAGTTTGATAGCCACGGACGCGGAGAGACAGCTGCCTCACTAAAAATACTCAGTGGACGCGCGATTCCGCGTTTTTCACTGTCCGTGGCCGCATCAATTTCTGTCTGCATTTGTTAGCGAATGACAGATGTTTTACGCCTCTGACAGCGTCACCTCTACATATTTTAATTATCTCGCAACCTTTATCACCGTCGGATAAAGTCTATTATTGGTCGGACAAGACGAGAATGTAAATTGGGCGCAGCGCACAGTCAACGCCTTGTAGTTGTCAGAGTGATAATGACGGTTGCGCTAAGGACGTATTTATGTTAACCCTTTGAGAACTCCGAAATTAGAACTGAAAAATAAACAGACAAACAACGGTCCGCTCCAATCCGTCAAAATCAAGAGGACACAATTAGAGAGCCGCTTTTATACGACGCCACGCTGGAGGAGTCGAAGATTTTGTAACTTTCATTAACTTTAAGTATTCGACAATTATAAACTATTTAAATTTAAATAAAAAAATATATTTAATATGACCTTTTTTTTATTGACATGACATATTTAATATATTAGAAACAGGTTAATTTAGTGTGTCCCAACCACAGGTTATAAATTGTGATAAGCCAAGCCATCATTGCATAGCATTAAACATACGTGCTCACCTCTGACAGGGGCACTTGGAGAGTGATCAACCGCTATAGTGAATTACAATGAACAGACATAGAGTAATTAGTGTTATATGAAACTGATTGAATGAGGCGTCGCCAGCAGCACGGTCCGCAGGGCGTACGTTATGTGTTAATTATTATATGACATACTGTATATTATACTAAATAAAACATCATTGATATTCATTCAGTGATTCAGCTGGAGATAATACAGTCATATTGTTCTTATGTCAAAAATTATATATATAGTTATAAGTTAGAAATGACCTACTTAAAATGATGGTAGTTAAAGAATGAATTCTGGATAAACGAATAAAGATACTCTATTGAAATCAAAATCACACAAACATTTTCGTATGAATAAATAAGAGTGTTAAATAATGAAAGGTTATTATTTACATTGATATTTCGACAGTCACTTTAAAATAAATGTACGTATGAACCCAGTCGTTAACAATTAAATCATTCAGTAAATAATTGAGGAGGAGCATATTTCAGTTCTCAGATGAGGAGATGAGAGCGCTCGCACCTGTTAGAACTTATGTTTATTATTGAAACACCTTTTCAAATGTCGCCCATCTAGTTGTCGACATTAATATGTCCGATATATGACTCATAGCACGGTATTATTTATAAGAGAGGGGGGCTTTTATTGGACTTCATTAAGCTATTACAACTAAATTATCTGTTAAAATGAATAACAATAAGTGTTAAAAACATCCAGGGCATTTTGTTTAACTTTAACAGCATTATTTCTTAGCGACTGTATTTTATTTTACATAAGGAATCCACACAAACATCGAACATCCATAGCGCTTTGTTTCGTTGGCCTATCAAAGCCTCGGAGATCTACCAATAAAACATCGACATGTACATCTCAAGGTTTTATGACCACACAAACAGTATCAAACGACCCAAAAAAAAAACGTATTCACATCAGAAAATATCTAATTTAATTTAATGTCCGTACCTGTCTCCGTCATAGGTACCGTCACGGATCGAGCTTCAATTTATTGGTCTGTATATCATCACAACTTAACCATCATAATAACTTGTACGCTAAGTCGAATTTATTGTTTATCGACGGGTGGCGGTCACTGTGGCTCAACCCTTATGTTATCAAAATGGAGTTCCTCCGACCTGAGTCTTGTTCGTTATGACCAACTTCATATATTACATGACTGATGTATTTATTTTGTGCGTGAGTTTCGGTGATTCAACAAAAATTTTATTCGAGCCGTAATCAAAATAACTTAGAATTTAAAATATAAAGAAGTCATATCTCGTATCCTTGTGGATTTCAACTAAACATTCGTGTGTTGTATATAATACTTTTGTATGTTTTATTCGTCGCTCTTAAACATAAACCAAAATAACATTAGCATAAAGCGAGAAACATTTAAATTTTCAAATCAATATAACTCACGTTATGTACGAGATGTATAAATACAAAATATTAAGGCATTAATATTTGAATAAACATGTCTAACTGTGAGTCTCCGAGTCTCCGTCTGTGTAGTGTGGACACACGGCCGGGACTAGTTAAGGTTTCATTTACATTACGTTCCCTTGAAATTGGTTCCGAAAGAGATTGTCCAAATTTTCATTTGTTTGCCGACTTTTATTTTAAAAAGATACATGATTTGGCTTTATATCTATGTGTATAGCTATACAATTTATTTAGCTCTTATTATTTCTACAATCTAATATAAAATAATTATTTGAAATCTAAATAATTTCTTTATTGTAAATATATAATTCATTAAGGAACGAAACCTACAAATTTATATACAGAACATTATGAACAAAAATGGTTTTCGAAATTTAGATATGGCAAAAATTTAAACAACTCTAAAACAAAGAATTTCCATTCTTATGCATACGATGCGCCCTTCACATATATCTCTGTCCTTAATGCGCAACAAAACACGAGCCGTGCAATACAATTGAAATTTATTCGAACAGTATGACACAGAGCCGCGGATCAGAAACACCAGCAGCTGTATTAAATATATATAACATTGTTTATTTCATAATTATTATTTGTGTTCAATTGTAGTCATCGTTCGTACTTCACATGGCCTATAAATGTTTGTCTGTGTGTCTGTCTGTACGGTGCGGAATGAAAAGTAGATGAGGCGAGCAGCGAGCTTTCACCACAGTCGAAGTCGGACAAGCTCGCCGGCCACCGCTGGCCCCATATAGAACTAGATAATACATCTAAGCGAACAAACTGCACCTACTGCTGTGTAGTCTGTGAGAGAGCTCAGAGCACAGATCGCGGCTGGCAACAGGTAGTCGCACGCATTCGCTTCCCCGAACTGAACACGAGACGTTATCGACACGATTGATATACGATCGGTGTGTTTTAGAATGCATTCCCTAACCTCTGAATATCTAATGGGCCACGGAATTATTTATGGCAGAACAATATGGCCGGATTCGGAGCTGAGTTCGCCAGCTCACTATTTAGATTATCGTAATCGTCAACTGAGAGATGTTTTGTAATCTGAATGTTAAGATTCCTGGCGTGGTTTGTGGTGACGAATACAGTTCGAGATAACTCATTTAACATTTATTTGATTGCGAAAGTGTGCATTAAATTTATATAACAACAAAGTATATTTTGGTCATAAGAATATATAGCTCTATTTATAATATAGCTTCACTTCTCTTCACTTTGGTCTTCATGTAATATATTTTTAAATAAAATGTGTCAACGTTTTATAATTATTAATATGTACTAAGAAGCCGGAGATGAAATCTTACGACAAAAACGGCCTCACAGCGTTGTAAACCTAAATGCAACATTGTGACCCGTACTATACAGTAAATAATACTAATAAACGTATCTGGCGAGAAACATGATACTATATTCATTTGATAACCAGACATCAGCGTTTAATTTACCTTCGATGCTATTTCTGCAATATACTAGTTAGGTTTCCTTTGACTGCTTCAACATATGAATTGTCGTAAAACTTGACGTGTATCGATCTAAAAATAGTATTATGAAACTTTGTATTTGATAGGTCAAATACAATCATAATATTTATTACAAACATCTTTGATCATTTACGTCGGCCCGATAGTATAATATTATTACAAAATAATTCGTTTATGTGACTGACAAGCCGAGCATCGTTATAATCCCACTCAGCTGTCAATTACCCATTAAGTATCGATTCAATGCATTAACCATTTTCTTATAGAAAATCATAATGGCTGTACGGAAACAAGAATTGAGAGCGGTCATTAATTACGTGCACCTAACAAGCGGCGAGGCGGGAACGAGACGGGGACGATTTATCGCGCGATCGACTCGTTATTTAGATTGCTCTCGCGACGATAGATGGCGCTGAAGGCAGCCTATCAGATCCACGAAAGCGCGGGCGCAGCGCATCCGACTATACAGCTTTGACGTTATGACTGCTACTAGTCGGGGGATTTCCGTGAGCTTTATACTTCTGTTACAACTCTCATATATCGTATTATGAAACTTTTCATGTACCATAAATATCTTCGTAGATTTTATTTTTTTTAATATTAAATTTAAGTTTTAATATGAAATTAATATATCCCCACAACGTTATTGCGACCTGTGCCAAAGAAAATAAATGAATGATCCAAACAGAAGACAGCGTAACACAGAAGTTAAAACCTTTTTAGAGGCGACACGTCGCATTCCAGTTTTAATTAGGCCGCGACCATACCCCAGATGGAATTCATTAGGCTCTAATTAAATATAAGGACATGATCCGGCTAAGGCGAGTGAAAGTACGCGTAGCTGCTCCGGCACAATCACGGTCTATGCTCTTGATTAATTAAGGCGGGTTAATTTACAGATTTCATCCTGCAGGTACATTACGCATAGCTATATGCAGAGATTTGGTCACGTATAAAAATCTGTTAGTGTAATTGTCCTTTTAAAGGGCACGTTTTTACATTTTATCGAAATGTTTAGTGTAGAAAGTAGTTTGAGAGGGAAGTCCGCATCAAAGCCGCAATGTATTACGAGGCGTGTCTGACACTCAGCGCCGCTATCTTTGATAAGACATATGATTGATAACGCGCTTGATAGATCCGATGCACGTCCGGATAAATTATACCCCACTTACCTGCAACGAGTGCAATTTATTTTAAAATATTACAACGACGAACCGTGCTCTACGATGTTGATTACCAACGAGATGAAACTCATTGTTTTGTACCTTATATAACAAATGTTATATTATTAAAAGAATTGCAACTTTTATATATTTTAGTTTACTTAAGAGAAAAATTACTGTCTCCTATTTAATATTCACGTACATATAAAAAAGTTGATTATATCAAAAGTTTATAAATTTATGATTATTAAAATACTGTCTATCTCTTAAAATAAACGGATAATAATTTGAAACAATACATAAACTGTAAAGTCGAACAACATCCTTATAAATAAGAGGATAATTCAAAAGTATGGAAAGTGGCAAAACGGCATCTCTTCAAATCCTCTCTGTGTGTTATTATAAACGCGTTATCTGCTTGATCTTTTATGCATTCTCAGATGAAAGTTAAGTAGTAAGCAACTTCGCTGTACACTATCATAGTATTAGCATAGAAATGTGTCTACTGGCCTGAAGGACAGGACCGTGCGCCCTCGGAACTCAGTTTGTTGCCCTTCTCTAATACACTACTTATATTTGATGAAGTCGCTGTTGTTTCAAGCGAAAGTCCCTTCATCCAGTAAACAGCTTTTAATACAAGAACTTTTGTGCAGAAACATAAACGAAGGATTACTTTGAAGTGTTTCTATACATAATGATATATATGATATATATGATATAGCTTTCAGTGAGAGGTAATTCGAATATTTTTAAAAGTCATCCAGATAAAAAGTCCCCAAGTCTCGCACTAAGCCAGGTTATAACTGAAACTTAAATGGCATGAAGCACATACCTACCGTAGACAGTAAAATGGAAATGCAAACTGAATGGTTAAAGTTGAGAGTAGTTCATTTTTGAATCGCCTCATCTGGGAGATTCTAGAGCGAGTGACATTCAGACAACTGTATCTTATTCTATACAGACGAGATAAAACTTCAACATGAAACATATACGGCTCGGTATTGTGTTGGACCGTAATGACTATTAAGATTGAAACAATGGAAGGTAATTTTAATTAACAATCAACATGTCAAATGTTGAAACAGGTAAGGGAGGTGACCATAACTGTCACAGGACTAGGGTGTAATCTGGACAGCAGTGTGAAGTGCGATGTTATCTGAGGGAGGCTCAACAGATCACTGCCGGAGAACAGGTAACTCATCAGCTTAACTGTTCATTGATGCGTCACAGTTTGGACGTCTAAGGAGCTTGACGAATAGAAACGATTAGAGAAACTTAGCTCTTAGGACCCATCTTAATGATTTAAAAAAAATATCCTCTATTTATTTACTTGATGTCGCGTTTATATTTAAATACATAATTGTCAAAATTTATTACATAATAAAATGACTATGTACTAAATGTTTTCATATTATATTTCATTTTTGATAGTGTAAATTAAATACAACGTTAAACATTGCGAGTTATATCAGAGTCGTAGATAAATTAATTGCTTGGGAGTAAATAGCCAACACAGTGTTAGTCATTGTACAGGAACTTTTACAAGGCATGTAATATAATTTAGTTTTGTATGCATGGTTATAAAGAATACGTCGATACCGTACAAAATATCTAAACAAGAGATCTCATAAAGACAGCTTAAAAACTGTTTAATTCAGAATAAATAAGACTCCAAACCCCGGTTTATCTTTATTATAAGTCTGTCTGCTAAAATTATGACAACTGCAAAACTTTCCATCCCTCTCGCGCTCCTTGTATCGTGTAGCTGTATCTCGCTCTGGCGTTATGCAATTCTTGCAGAGATTTTAGAAGAGTGGCGAGGGAGCAAGGAGGGTTTACGAGTCTTGGAGGAGTCGAGTTTCAGTTTCGTTCTTTAGTACCATCTCGGGGTACGACCTGAGCTGGGGTTTTAATTTGAGTACTTTATAAGGCATTCGGTTTTATTAGTCAGGTGATTTGTTCCTCTGAAAGCAGCATCTTTTATCTTGTTCCTTCTTGAGTGTATTTATTATCGCCGCACTATATTCAGTTTATATTATAATGCAGGTCTGACAGACGGTCTATAGCTGTGGATAGTTCGATCCTTCGCAATGGAATCCTCCATCCCATACAGATCGCCGCAGGTTTCAGAGCAATATAATTATAGTAATATCTCAGTAACCAAAGCCTGACCAATGAAGCATCGTTTGACCGGCGACTACGAGCTGCGGTCACCGCTCTGCCTGTGACGTCACTATTGTCTTCATCTTACGTGACAACACCTTAATACATGAACTTAGCGCGTCTCTGAACACATCCTATGACGCACACAGTCACACATTATATATAATATTATTACACCTCACTACTAATTTAAACTAAAGTTTTGTGATCACTTTAATACATAAAATTCTGTATGTGTACAACTAATTAAAAAAAACTAGGACTTATTTATCATAAATATGATAATTCACTAAATTTAATTCGAGAATTAATTGAGAACCTCTATTCGTAATCTCAAAGCCCAGCGTCATAAGAATAAGAAATCACATTGGATCCATTGTAGTGAAGCGGACTGTAATTCGCTAAGCTCTCATCACTTGAGGCTATGCGTGCTGTCATCAACAGTGAATTGTAGAAATGTTCCACAATACCATATGTTACGGCTACTGATAATGGCCACAGTTACGACTTGCATAATTGTCAGTTATTGTATCGCGACACATTTCTGAAATTATTTTAAGCGTGTGGTCCAAAAAACTAACTTAGCCTAGCCATCCCTAACAGAGTAAAACCCACTACACATTTATAATCAAATGAAATAAAATAAACCAACAATGTTGGATGATCTTGAGGTAACAAGTTTCCCACAATGAGCGTCATTCATAACGAGCTCTATAGTTACGAGTAGGATTAAAATCAAACAGCGGACCTTGACCTCCAATAATCGCATCGTATCGATTACAGCGTGACAAGTTAATCTATGTGTCAGAGCCTCAGCGGGGAGGCAATGGATGCTGTGTAATTACAGGACCAGGTACCTCATTACTGAAATGACTGATTCATATAATGTATCATAATTGGAATGTATGTAAGAGACAGAACTAGCGACGTCCTCGAGAAGAAAACTAGCAGCGACAGATGCTTTCCTTAATTAAGATACGTCATCTCACACCGGGATGTTGGTTCAGTTTAAACTTAGATATACAAAGTATGAACTCGTGTTACAGATAAAGCGATCGAATAAATACGACCTTTTCCTAAAAAAACGCCGACTGCGACTCATTTGAAGCGGACTAAATTATGCCCAATTACTTTCGTCTGTCCTCCGCCTTTAGAGGATCGATTTAGAGTTAATTGATGACATATGAAATGAAACATTTATGTACATATATGAAACTACATAGAGTGACATACATATATAGACTGATACATGTATATATAGACCGATACATGTAATTTATATAACACTAAGAATTTAGGACATATTACGCGTTTTTATTTATTTTTAAACTACGTAAACCCGATGATGAAAATTTTCATCTCATCTGGTCGTGATCACAGTCGCTACAAAGAGAAAAATAAAAAAAAAACGCATAGGAAATATCAAAACAATACTCGAGAAAGTCTTAGATATGTTTATATACATACCATATTATTATATTTATATAAACTTTAATATCTATATACAATATCGAAATGTAATTAATTTCAAAACACAGATCTTAATATTTTTATAAGCTAATTTAAAACATAATGTTTAAAAATATAACAAAATTGATATTGACATCTATTTGTAAAAGTATGTTAAAGTTAAAATATCAAAGTTATTGAGTAGTAAATAAAAATTAAGTTATAGTGGATCAATTTCTTTACGATCGATAAAATCAAATCAAATCTCATTTCCTATAACCAAATTACGTAAACATTCTTTTTATGTGTTATTTACATAAATAACGAGTAAAAAACTTCATAGCGCTAAACAAACATAAGTACATTACGTTCAACACCTGATTTTCCGTAACCCATAAAAACCCCATAAAAAGAGCCACGAAATAAACATGTCAAATGAACTTCGTTAAAGCATAAATATAAAACGGTTGGCGACTCCTGCGCGGGTTAGGAACGAGCGTGGGCAGAGGAGGTCGCCGTGATGAAGAAATATACATACCAGAATACAAATATAACGAACACGGCTCGCACTGACCCACTGATGGCTCCCTTATGATAATTTTGATCTTTGGACGAATTTAAGAATATCAAGTGAGGCATAATTAACATTTTATAATAGTTCATTAACAGTCACAGATCAGGTTAACTTTGGAATACAGATAAACATCGGTTTTCTGATGTTCTGACATAAATTATAATATTATGTAGTTTTTGCTTCTGACAAAGAAACTAATTTTAGCAAATGAAATATATATATCTCTTAATTGTTTAAGTTATTTATGTATCATAACAGAAGGAGAAAGCTGATTTGTTTTATGAATCAATTAATTAGATACGTAATGATAATTTGACTTAAAAAACTTAGCCATCTCTTTCCTCAAGCAGTTTAAGCACATTCGTTTCATCAGACACACGTTTTCAAAGCGATCCTTTCAAACGGACACTCAACCCTTCCATCGATCCTTAATCCCCTAATTCACAAAAAAAAATCCATTCAATTGAACGACAAGAACCTATCAAAGGTAGAGACGCGCTAAAACCTTATACTGGACTTTAATTAAACCCCGAGTGGGTGGTTGGCCATGGGGTGGGTGATGTGTGGGGGTCGGGAGCAGGAGAGGGGTCCACTTCCCTTTACTGGACGCTTCATTTTGGAGGGCAAAAAGAATCAGGTGTCTCGTGATAAGGTGGGGTGAAATGTTTCATATGTGAGTGCTTCTGGTTTTTTTACTGGTGTAGACTTGATAATGTACTTCCATCTTGGTCACTCGCCATCACAGGCAGGCATACATTAAATGGAAAATTGAACAGTCGAATATCTTGTTAATGGAAACAGTTGGAGCTGTTGTATTAAGTTACGTTAAACAGAAGTTGATTAAGACAGAGATGTTCATGTGATCCATGGTGAAAACCAAGTTTTATCTAATCGTTTCATTTGTATTCTTGTTAACAGAGAAAGACACTTAAAAAAAAAAAATATAAGAAATATAAAGCTAATACATTTAACCTTATGTAGGTATGGAGATTTAAATAATTAGCAGATATCCAATAAAGATACATACATATATGATTAAGGACATGGGCCCAGTATCACAAGACGTCGTTGGTCGTTTTTTCCTCTTTGAATTGTTAACGCGAAGGGGTGCGCCATAGAATAGATTACTGCAGACTGGTCTAATGGGAGGCTGTATATTTAATCAGACGGACCCTCTGACGCGTCTTTTAATAACCATTAAGTAGCTTTTTATCATTATTCTAAACTTAGCTCTATTCAATGCGGATAGCGATATTTATAATTTAATACTTCTTTAATTTGTACTAACGTTAAAACTTTAATGGGCTGAAGTCAAAGATTAAATAACTCGTGAAATTAATGTGAAACCGTCCTAATAAATAATGTCACCGACAGTTTCCCTGAATTCACATTTTACAACCATGTACCTACAGTATAAATAAATACCAGTTCGATGAATATAAAGTATGAATGATCGTTTAATGTGTACATATATTATAGAGGTGTACATAAACATATCTCATTAAGCTAGCAGTAGCTTAGCTTCCTTTGTGCTGGAATCCCAATGCAACTAACGCGGTTATTGGCCCATGAGTCAGCAATCATTTAAAGTGCAACAGCATTGTTCTTGCCAAATGAGGAAAACAGGTGCGAGCTATACGGAAATAGTTCAAACAGTCAATTGTTACACTTTGTTTATAAAATTATTGATGTTTTGTAATCAAACACGAGAAACCATTATTACTGACTCGCTTTATGTTTGAGCGATTGTATCATGAAGATGAAGACTCGGGGTTTAGCATTGTAAACAATTTAAATAAGTACATATTGTTAGGTATCGTACCATAGGTTGAGAAGCAGCCTCTCAAGACCACCATCGAATGTGATTAAAGAATGATGAAGATATTATTAAACGTAGAAGCGGTAGTAAAGTTGATTGACCTAATTTTTAACAGCGAACAAGACAAGACTAAGACGCGGATCGGATGCAATTACGTCACCGGTAACGACGTTAAGCAATTATTGCAGCTATAGATGGCAGCCTTAATGAAGACGAGCTGCAGGAATATTGAAAGATAATACACTTAACATACTGCCTTATTAGTTAACAGTTTAATATCAGATGCTCCGCTTCAATTATAATTTTAATTGGAAGGATTTTATTATATTTTTTATGATATTTATATCGCTCTCTCCTAAGTGTCTTGTCAGCTCATATCAATCTATTGTCACACTGACGTCTTCCTCTAGTGCCGAAGACGCCTTTGTTAGTTAACGAACCAACTAAATAATACAAATGTATGTACAACACCATCCATTATTTTTTTTTATATTAAATCGAAAGTTCTTTGAGTTAAGAGTTTCATTAATTGATCTTCACGTGATTTTATGTTTATATATGAAGTACGTAACTACAGTCAAATGATGTTGTATAAATGTACATAAAAATATAATAATGCGACGGTTGTCTGAAAATTTTATAGTTCGTATAATAAGTATATAAATAAAGGCGACAAGATATACGTTTTTATGCTGACCTCGAGTAAAGTAGACAATAATAGCAAAAATAAGACAAACCGACGCATCCAAAGAAACCTTCGTGTGACATCCGTGGGTGTCACGTGTCCGTGTTGTTTGAGTTTTCAAAAGGCTTTGATTTTATAATAATATACAGAGAGTCGTTCACATGACGTACTTTACTGCACATTCCTTATATGCAATAAGTAGGCAATATTTATTTACAATTTTAATACTTAAATATAACGTGACAGTGCTTGCACACTCTCGGACATCAAACGCAAAGCCTGTGAAAACGAGTTCAATGATATTAACACTGCTTCGACACTATTTTATACATGCCTCGCTATTGAGAGTGCGACCTTCAATGTAATGTCGAGGATTTGAAATTCAAATCGAGTAAATGTGATCGTTTAAGAATCCGATAATAAATTGGAAGGTATGAGGTGACAAATGTGACTCCGGACTCCAGAGATGGAGAAGTGAAATCGTTGTTAAAGTTCGTTTAAGAGTGAGTCACGTGGACATGTACATAGCTTCCGTACGATCGGACGGCCGTATAAAGTCTTAATTTATATTTTAACATCACGTTCATAAAGTACGCTGCCCACATATAAATGATGCGTATGGTGCCTCACCTTTATAAAAATTGATTTAGTAATGTAACGTTTCACAATACGAGAAGTGTTCCAGTGTACTCAGACTGTAGAGACTGCAGGACATAGCAAATTGAAATATACGACTGTCCAACTTAACATCAAGTTTATTGCAGAAAAAGTGTGACAAGCGACGCGGGCGCATCGTGGGCGGGAGTGTGCGCGCACACACACACACACATACACACACACGATTGTCAGTCCATCTCTCTCACTCACACAATGTAAATGATGAGGGTTTATTTATTATCGGGCACGGTGCATTATCATTTTCCAACTACTGAGAGCCGTGCTCCATAGGATGCCATTGGATGGATCGAAATAAGTTTTTATTAGTATTGTAAAGATGTTTGTATTGTGTGGATCATTGGCTAAGGATAGCGGCCGTGGCTGCGTGACTCAATCATACGCTCTGTGCCGTATATACCTACTGTACTTTTTTTTTATAGAATTTCTGCATGAAACATATTATAGACGTATTTTCCTTATTTAACAAAAATCTTTACAATTTTGATTCTAACTTAAAATATCCTGACACTTTTCGACAATATTGATTTTGTATATGTCACATTTTAATCACACAAAAAGTATTGTTAATCTTAATCACACAAAAAGTATCGTTAATTTAAACTTTACATATGCAGGAAAATATGGCTACATTTCACATAGGCTTCTTTTATTCCAATAATACAGCAACATTATGAGCAAAGTCACAGATTAAAATTCATGAAATGTATTTACTATTTTGTGAGAAAATCTTATTATAATCATTCCATGGAAAAATCACAACAGCCTAAACTTTATCGGGCCGTTTGAAGTAAAGCACCTGTAATAAATCTTGTTGAACAGTAAGATGCACTAAAAATTACACAGCGGTGAAGGGAATTACTGTTAGCAGAGCGTCCATACCGTTCGTAGGGAGAACTAGTTGACGATAAGTTGTTAGGGAGAATTCCATTGTGTAAGTCTAAGTTTAAAAAAATCGATTCTTAATAAAATCTAACTAATGATGTAGCATGTAAGTATGCAGCCAATTCAAAAACAAATCATTTAATTGAACCTAATATTAAAAAAAGTGCTATTAATCATTTAAAGACAGGAGTCAGCAACCATTGGGCAACGACCTAAGAAAATGGGAAGAAAAAATTTTAATTGGTATATTTATAGTTTCAAATTAAACCGCAAGGAATATAATTTACGCATATTAGGTAATCATAATTGAATGGCTCAAGATTAGTACTGATAACCGTAAATCACGGCAATAGAGAAAGGCAATTAATGATAAGATGCATCTTGACTGTACGTAATATACAAGACATTACCTGTCTGGAGGTAAAGCTGCGGACTCAACAGGAGCCGAGCACACGCTAATGAGATATCATTAACATTCAGGTAAACTATTACTTAACCGTAAAGGATTTTTATTTTAACTTCACTTAAGTTATTTTAAATCGAACTTAAATGTTTAATAAGTTATTGAAGTTATAAGTGAAGCTTCGTGGAGCTCCTAGTGCGCCTCCGCCCTAACGCTTGATGATAATAGCGTCGTTTTATCGCTGCGTACGCGCATCCGACCCAACTCACTGCAATAAATCGCGCGATCCCGCAATCATCCCGGAATTTCTTTACAGCATCACTTATTAGGAAGTTAATACTATCTCGTCTGATACCAATAAAAACTGTGGACGTACGGTGGAGAAGCTTCCACGGTAAGAGGTTTCTTGGGTACGATTTCCACCAACCAATTATGGTTGTACATAAAATAAAATAATGAGCTTTTAGTTTTATGAAGACTGATTTTTCATATATATGAGAGACGTTGGTCATCGCCACTCTTGAGTATACATAAATCAAAGGTAGTGTCAGACATCATTAAGGACGAGTACTACAAGTCCTCACGTCAACAGTGTCAAGCTCCCGATGTCTATTCTATTTTCATGTAAGCCACATATATTTAGTGATTGTATTTAACGGTGTATCGCAGGTCCGGGACGCACAGACATGACGTATAATGGCGTAATAAATTGCGTAGACACTGCACCGCGAGATTCACAAGGTGTGCTGGCCTTATTTATGAAACCTTTATTATTACTGAAATATTAATGGAATTATTACAATGTGAAAGTTACTATACGACAGTGGGAAACGTTTGACGCATCAACATGATAAACGTTTACTCATTCGAAGATCCTCATAAAATATTACACACGGATGGAAAACTTGGACAACAAGTTTTCACACTACAAATGTCTATAGTCAGTAAAACCGCGAAAAAAGTTGAACGAGCAACAAGTATTCCACAGGTGTCTGAACCCCTCTTCCTCGAGCCCCCGCCCCCGCCACCCCCGCGCCGTCCCGTCACCCCCTCCCTCCCCCTCGTCACCATTAAGCCTCCAAGTAATCACACAAGACACCGAGTCGAGATTGATCTATTTGAAATTGTCTGAAGAATCACAGGATCAGAGGCGGACGTTTGTCTCGTGAAAGGGAGCGGACTGTATTTTTTTCGCTGTCAGAATGAACAATTACGTGTCGAACTTCCGAATACGGTCCTGATGTTGTTTTTTGTACAATTAAAGTGACGTCATTACGGATAATATGAAGTAAAGAGGCATCGATCAAAACATCCTCACGCCAGCAGTTGAACTATCACGACGGAATAAGTCATAGCTGAGACGTGACATTACCACTCCTATTGATCAACGGCCTAGACTACAACTGTGGGAACTGACTGAAGGCCTTTACGATAATGAATTACTGCCGCTAGATTAGTTGAACATTATACTTGAAATGTGACAATCGACACTACTACGAGTTCAAATGTTCTACATCGCTTTAAAAGTATCAGGTTCAATCGAGTCAAATTAAAGTTAAGTCTCGAACCCTTTCATATAAAAAGTTTTTGGCACGACGTCCGGTTTATGTTAATTTTTGATGGTTCTGTAACAACTCGATACTTCAACGAGCGTTCGTTTTATAGAGTGAGGACGGCGGGAATAAAATGACCGAAATATCGCTAATGTGAGAGAGCACTTAAGCCGCATTTAAAATCTGCGACGAAATCATATACACTTCAATATGGCTTCTGACGGCCGCTCGGATGACACGCTGACGTAAGTACACCTGCCCCATAAGACCGGTTGTCAGTCAGCAGTTGCCAATAGATTAGGTATTTACCTGACATGGCGAAACCGCATACTTAGCGAATGAGTTTCACTGTACAGGCTTAAACAAGCTTCATGCGACTTATAATACTGACCCCACCTCTACAACGAATAATCTTGAAGTACTCACAGTAATAGGAGACTAAGATAGTGCACTCCATGATTGTGATATATTTATTCACAAAGATAATCAATAATGACAAAGAGCGGGAGTCAAGTTAAACTAAACTACTTATTTCACACTCGAGGGGGTAAATACTATTGAAGGCACCCGACGTCTCTCGCCACTGTTATTGATAGAATTTATCAACGATAGAGCTCTCGGCTGGTCCAAGTATTGAGGAAAGTGATTCAGGACGTACTAATAACACTTGTATATATAATTATATTAAACTGATCATATGAAGGTCTTGCAGTATCATTACTAGTATGAAGAATAGTTTAAAGATTTAATTGTATAAACAACATCTACGTAAGCGGGACTAGAACCCTTCACTTTCAACATATCTAGAAACAATTCCCTCCACTAATTAATATATTGCGTCCTACAAATGAGATTTCGTTTCTTTTATTAAATTATTTAAATGTTTATCTCAATCAGTCTGTATCTCGCCTCTCTGTTACCGCTGTCCGTCTATTTCTTGCACCGCCGCCAGTAAAGTTGATCGTGGTGCGCGTCACGCCATGTTAAGTCATATAGCCTGTAAACGACCTGGGCTCGCGGCTTCACAGCCCGCATTATAACCTCACTGTAAACAACTACGACGTATTCACTATAACTTATTATTGACGTAGATTGTGGCTAAAGATATAACAAAGAGAATGGCACCAGTTCTAGCTCTGACGAACGACAAAAACTGAACAAAATGTCCCATCAATAAAACTTATTAGACTAAACATAAAAATTACGCATAAATTAAAATAAGCTTTCAAAATAACTAACTAAACTGGAATCGGTATAACCGAAACCGAGAGGTAGTTAAATGGATTTATTGAAAACTCAATAAATATCACTTCCCCAGATAAACAAACTCACACTCTAATTTAAGTATGTTTTAAATTTCATGATTTCTATAAGAACTTACGTCAGACACCTAAAATGACGCTTTACAGAATGAGCAGTGAACACAGAACTTGTGGATATCAGTTAACATTGTGTACCTGAGACCTGAATGTAAACCTGAACGTTGTCTTAGGATCGACACCAATAACGGGCGAAAGCCGTTGATTCATTAAAATAAGAGACCGATTATAAACAAGAGTAGCTAACATAAACTATATTTAATTATCTCACTAATCGTTATTTAGAATTTAAAATAGGGGCAAAATTTCCATCGACCGTACGACATTAGGCTGTTTGAGGTTATTGAATCTTTTAATTAACATACGAGTTTAAAATATTTTAAATTATGATGAAATCAAATATTATGTTAATATCTATGTATAACACATGTAAATTCTAATCATTTTAACATCATTATACAATATATGTATATGTGTGTTGTGGAGCGCCATTTTAGCGGCCACCTCCGTCCATCAGTCGAAGCACTTAAAACGATGCAGGCCGAGTAGACGGACACATTAACATAAATTTAAAGTCGAATTTAACACACGAGTGAAACTCTCACTCACTCACTCACTCATTCAGGGACTGATTAACATTCACTGATTTCATTCATTCAAACAATAACACTAAATTAATAGTATATTAAAGCTATCACTAGTTTACCTTTGACACATTTGACATAAATAGTTGATACTAGGAACTGAAGATGCTATTTATTACTTCAGATTTTTTATGTTACAATTAAATGAACAAAACGAACATAATATGTATATAAATAAATTTATTGTTCTGTTCAAATCATATACGTGAAGTTATTTGAATACAGCCGGTAGACGATTATTCAAGTTACGATAAAAACAAAATACATACAAATATATAATTTAATCGAATGTTTCCTATTTCCAAGTCGATCCAGCAATAACAATATATCGATTTGAACGATTACATCGATACCGGTCTCTTTATATCGACAGCTGACACTGGAGCTACTCAAACACAGACCAACATTCACTGTAGAGTCCGCGTCTCACGAACACACACACACACACACACACACACACACACACACACACGAGCACGCTATATTAAGATAATATAAATATCTGTCCCACAATATAATAGGTATAATTAGTCAATATATATATCTGTATTAATAAATACGTCGCAGCTAGTGGCATTAGTAACTCGTCCGGAGATGACAACCGCCTTGTTGACCATTATTCAGATAGATTTAGTGAGACACGAGACATGAGGGCCAGGTAGCGGAGACTCCGATAAATATATGACGCTGGTTATATACGGAACACTTATAATATATAAAATAATAGACTTACAGAACGACATATGAATAAACAAACATCAAGACATAACGTGGAGGACGAACGAAAATTAAAAAAGCAATTAACATTTAATATATTGGAAATATATTCAAGACGATGGAACCTTACTAGACGTATTGATTTAGACATCCGATCTTATAATTATTTTATTGATAATAATTTAGAATGATTTACATTACAAATTGAATATATATGCTACCGTTATATGTGGCGAGGAGGCATAGGACTCGGAGTAGGGGTGACGATGTCCACATATTGTGAAAAAACCTATTAAATATTAAACATAATATATAAAATATCTTGATAGAAACTAATTGAGGAGAAAATAGACACCATAAATCTATGATACGATATACATATTACCACCATTTTATATTCTATCGAATATTATTATATCGGACGTCGACAAGCCTGTTATATAAACTCGATTTCCACTGATGTGTTCATATTAATATGTATAAAGTTATATTAGTTTTAATGAATTAACAGACCTCCGATTTACACGAATACTTTCCATGAGTATACAAAGACGCTCACGAGATTGTTGACGGTAGAGACGGGTAAGGTGGAAAGGAAACAGTCTCAAAAAAAAAAAAAAGTTTCGGTTGATTAGTTATGATCAGAGAATTACATAGAGTAAAAATGTATACCTACACGTGACTATAAGAATGTCAATGAAATAAATATTAAAATACATACGAAACAAAAAAACACATATTTTAAAATATGTATATTAATACACGAACATGAATCATAGTAAACAAAATATTTTTCGTATTAATAATAATGAATGTCTTTTAAATTATTCTATATTTTCTATTGACTTTGGATCGTTTCGTGTGACTTCGCGAAATTCCGTCAGTGATGTTTACTAGCAGGTCGTTGCTAGGCGACCGTCACCAAACCAAGGACGAGAGAGATTTTACTGGAGATATAAAACAATCTAAATATGTCTCTGGATTAAATATTACACTTCAATAAAGTTAATATTAAATTGATGGATCTAACTAGTGGAAGTTATTTTAGAATGACTGACTGAAGAGAGCCAAAATACATCAAATATATATAGGACGCGACCTGATTCATCAACTCCCAAGTGATAGTGGGACCAGTTAAAATAAGATGCATAAAAGTTTAACTAACTTAGTCGATGAAAACTAACGTAATTGACTGGAGACGTAATGATAAGATTTAAGATTTTCGCGAGTTTTATTTATTTAAATGAAACTAATATTTTTGTGATAAGTATACTACGAGATTTTATTTTTGTAAAGAAAGTTACATACTCCAGCATTTCGGGTACTTTTCAGCAACCGTGATCACGGGCAGACGAGATTCAACATCTCATAATCGCGTAGTATATCCGAAAAGTATTAGTTTCATTAAAATAGATACGTAGTGTTATATAATATAATAATGTACAGTAGACAAATATAATAATGCGTTTAGAGCTAGTTATATATTAAAATATAAAGAGGAGAGGGATCGATGTGTCGGGTCGTTAGTTGATGAGATATCGTCAGTAAAGTAGGCAGCGCACTGCAACTGTGTTACATCTCACCTTCATAAACAACCATAAAACTATTCACTCCGCTAATATCATACGAGTTTTATCATCCTATAAACTTATCGTACAGATATAATCTAATTCACGATGCGGTCTTAAGTGATTGTGTCTCGAAATAAACGGCGATAATGTATGTAAAAATAGAGGACTCATTCACACAGATTAGATGATGATACATTGAAGAGGACAGCGCGTCTGCGAGGATTGGGGAATATCGAGTATTTATAGAGGATAGACGATTGGATCGGCTTGAAATAAAACACATTAAGAATACCCTGTTCATGTTGACTTGTAAATTTCATAATTAACGAAAGATAATTTCTTTAAAACTTTGTCTAAACAGTGAACAGTTTCATAATGTTTCTCGCCAGTGATCCGATCTCATTATTCGTCAGATTAAAACCCTCGGATGTTATTTTATTTGTAACAATATTAGAACTCCCAGATGAAACACATTCTCTCCTCCGCCGTATCTTAAATCATTCTAATGCCAATCGTATATAATAAATAACAGAGATTGGTGTCTGTTTGTTGCTCTTCGCGTCTGAGCTATAATTTAGATTCAGACTTTTGGCAGTTCTAGTGTTTACAGATACAGGTGTGAAATGTTTAAAATTTATTAAAATAAGATGTTACATTCAGATATCAAAATATATTGATGTGGAAATTTATATCGATCGAAATTTATTATTATGGCTTAGTGTTCAATATATACATATATATTAACTATGCAAAATATTACATTAAAAATATATGTAACCAAATAGGCTCCCTTTATTACTTTTATATTTATAAAAATAGTGTGTTGGGGCCACACAACTGGCGGGCGGATCGTTTACGAGGCTCCAACGACTCGACAACTGTTTACGTCTCTTTATCGACGACTTAACTCACTTTATGACGTCCTAAATCTATTTTATTAATGATTTAATACGCTTTTTATTCACCGTCGACCTAATCGATCTATTTTTATGTGAGGCCATAAACTCCTCCACTGAATACAACTTTAGTTATTGTTTGACTTTTGTTTTAAACTTAATAACTAATAAGTTCAGTTTAGAAACGTTTTATAATAATTATACGCACGCATTCATGTACCACAATTAGTTATTACTCTAATTTAAAGCGTTAAATCTTTACCGCATACTGTTCATTAACTGACGGTAAGTCTGTTTGTGCAGACGTTAGGTAATACTTATTTCTTTGGTCTATTTTCAAAGTGTCAAAGCTCAAGGCCAGCGCGCCGTGGCCTTAATGATCGCCCAAATCACCTTATAAAAGTTTACGAGGGATAAAATCAGTTATAAAAGTCTATGAAGTCGTAAATTCAGCGATCGGCCGGAGCGTTTAAGAGACGGGAGCTATTCCGAAGTCTATAAATCAGCGATCGGTTTCGTTCGGCTGTTTTCGGACAAGATCGTAAAGATTGTAAAACGTCCACTGTTTGTAAACAGAGGCTTCGCGTAACGAGACAGATTTTTTGTTTCCGTTATCATGAGGGACTTTACGATTGTATGGAGTGGGACTTTTATTGGACACCAAAAATGATTCATAATACATTCAGTGGAAACGATCTATGACGGCATTTATTATAGTTTTTATACGTTACATATATATAGATTACCGATCGAATCATAGAGACAAATGGGTGGAGAGTGACGGAAAAGATTTGTATGACACGACATGGATATGGGACTCATGAAGGAATTGAATAATAAATAAATATAAAGTAATCAGTGAGGCGGTTGTGGAACTCGCACCACAAAAGAGTTACGCGCCTAAAGAGTGTGAAGTTCCCTAAACAAAAATCACAATGAAACCATATTTAACACTAATGAAGCGGAAGGCAATGAACTAAAAGGATTACTAATAAACCAGCCGCAGTCTGGCTCAAACACAACAAAGAGGCTCGCAGCGCCCGGCCGGCTTGTGGCCAAACTATTGTTTTAACAAATAAAACACGCAATATATACATACAGTAATCAAATGTAAGAGTTTGTGTCGGTCGGTTCAGTCGTGTCCGCGGACCACACTAAATCCTCATTCCGGTATCATCCTAGTTTATTTATCGTATCATTATTCAGATAAAAGCTACGTATCTGGAGCACAGTGAACGTAAACCTTGTACTTTATATTAGAGCCACTAAACTGTGTGTCAGCGAGCACTTGTCTATCAATAACTCCGGACACTCGACACTCGACACTGCTCTATTATCCAGTTGACACTTGACTGTAATACATACGAGCTCTCACCGACCATTCAATATACTGAAATATTTCTGTGCTTTTTTATTTACTATTTCAATATTTTCTTGGATTACATTATGACGTTATGTTCTCATTTTTTTATTTTCCTCTTCCGTCATTGCTTTTTAAATTATTACAGTATAACTTCTATAAATAACTTAGTCTCGACAGGTGTTCATGGGTAACGCAAAGAATACGAACCAGTCTGGTATAGTAGGTACATGACACAATATAATAACAATATGGCTTCATATTGTCTCACACCGATATTGAATTAGACACAGTGAAAATTTGACGGTAATAAAAATTAAAGCAGGTTAGTGACCCCCCGCGGGTCCCTAAACAAAGGACGAAGAAAGTCGGAGGTCCGTCTGTCAGTCATAAATTTGCCTAAACTTGCGTAACACTCACTATTTATAATGTCGTATTGTGTTCGACAAAAAATATATATGTAAATCATGTCATCTTTATTCATTGAAGGGGCCGGGGTAGGGAAATAGATTTTAAACTCGGCTTATAAATAAACTATGTTGAAATATTAATAGTTAAATTAACTAACAAACGCCGTGTTATAAAGTAACTGCACCACATAAAGATGGTTTAATGTATCACATTAGAGCAGCGCAGGCAGCGTCACGACTCACGATGAAATATAAATGTGTTATGAGAACAAAAACTTGATGAAAAACTTAATTAGTAAGTAAAACGTATCTTTCAATTAAGAATGACCAGATAAGGAAGAGTTTCGTAATTTGTAAAACGGTTCTGATGAATGTGTGTTGATCAATATGACTGAGACGTTGGTGCAGGCGAGCTTATTAGTGTGGCCATGCAGCGGGCGGGGATCATGTTAATATAATACACACGAGCTTGTAAATCGATATTAAATTATATAATTATTAATTTATTACAGGATTTTATTTATTTTATTAATTTAATTCGATAGTTTATTTGTAATGATGTTGGTAAGTGAGTTACTAAGCCCAACCCTGATGCTGGAGCGTCGCTCGCCGCTCTAAGAGGCACCGCGTCCAACATCACCCGCCCTGCCATTTACACCCATAACAACTGACAAAAACGCGTATAATAGCAAAAATAAATATTATTTATCGCTTCACGGTGGCTTAGTTCCGTACAAAGCGACCTATGAGTTATTACTCAGTATTACATTTGTGTTCTGCGACTGTTCTTTTTTTCTATAGCAGTAACTTTATATTTATTGCCAGTTTTAGTTGAATATTCAAAGTCGTCACGTCACGCTGCCGACTCTGGATGTGTGTTTAGTTTACTAAAACTCGAAACCTCGCCCCTCTATTCAACTACATTACATACAGGGTGTATGTCGATTGATAGACAACTATTTTTTTTACAGGGCGTAATGTTAGTGTATATGTTTAGTATATATATGTAGTATGTGTATGTGTGTCGTACCGTTCTCGTTAGTGCCAAGCCAACGGTAGGAGGGTCTCGGCTGCTGCTTGGAGCGCATCTCTAGCGCCGCCGACCGCTGGACCTCATCTGAAACAATCATATAACATTACAATGAGAACTTAATATTTTCAAATGACGAATGATTTTGGAAAGTTTTAATAAAAGTAATTTTGTATGTAAGTAGTTTGTAGGAGTAATTTCCGTTGGAATATTTTAAATTCATTCATGAATGTCTCACGTGTAGGACAGTTGACGTGAAAAATATTATTACCTAAAGAAGATACTCCTATAATACACTGGTTACAGATAATTTGAAGCATTAAAATATTTAAGAACTATTAATATATTTTTTTCTCCGTTTCGATCTAGATTCTATAACACAACTAAAACTTAACTTCTCTTACTACTACTCCACACTGGTTCTAATTTATTTAATCTGTCTGCTAATAGTTTAAATGTCATTAATACGATAAAAAAATAACTGTATCTATGAAGCCACAGTCAAATAGTAAATAGCAAATACATAATGAGAAAAAATTAATTTTAACATCGAGAAACACATTATTTTTTTATACACAGCAGTTTGTTTGAGTCGTCACAAGTTACCTTACAGTCACCGTCGGTAATCAGACGCACATCCTTTAAAACACATTCCTTGCAAACGAAATTAATAAAAAAAAACTTAAGGTAGAAACATTATCAATAAATTAAAAAAAGAACCGTCATTAATATGAAGCGAGGCATGAGATATCGGAGACAAGTTTATATCTTCATTTAAATCAACACTTACTCGACCTTATGGCGCTACACTTAAAGATTATATCGAGTGCACAGGTTGGTTTTATTTATAGGTAAAAATCTCGGAACTCGAACGATATGTCACAGAATTTATGAGCAGCGAGCGACGTGTGACGTTCTCGACTGATTCAAATAAACCCGCGCACGTTAATACATACCATAACATGTTGAACATATGATACAATAAATTATCAGCTTCAGAATTAAAAACATTTGAAAGATTAACTCGATACAAGAAAATGAGAGACGCCCGAGGATTAGCTAACTGGCGGGCTACATGAATACTTTAGTTTGAACGTAGCGCTGAGGACGCGTTCCAAATTCAAATATTCAATTATAAAAGTCAAAAGAAGCGGCGTTTCGTTAGCGGCCAGTGCTAGGGCGTGTTAGGTTTAAAACAAACAGCCGAGCACCGGTCCAGGTAAACAAGAACTGGCATTACTTTATTTATATAAGTTCTTAGCGTTGACTCAATGACAGAATGGAAATATGGAATACGAAACAGAGAGCTTACGTGACCACGGACGGCCATCGACTCATAGAGTATTCTAGTCTTTTATTAATATACCATTATTTGACAACGCATCGGAATGATAAATACCATTAAATATTATATACACAGATAAGTACGACTATCAACGCGTACGTTATTAATTCCTTTTGATATCCATAGCGTTATATTAATTCGTCACTATTTGTTCAGCTTAATATTTTTAGCACTGGTAACATTATATACATATATTGAGTGTATCAAAGTACGGTATTATCCAAATAGCTCATTAATTTTTCCGAGTAATCGTTATCCTGCAGTCGGTCTATAAAAATCATGATGTAGTATTGACCGGCTTCTAATCGCACAAACCTCTCCGCAATATAAATGTTGGCATATTTTAATCAGGTAATTAATTCACGCGAGACCTTAACGATTATTGATTCGGCTGCCCCCTTTTAATAAAGAATTGTAAATCAGTGTTTTAATGTTCCTCCACACGAGATGCTTGTCTTCTGTGATCTGACGACACATGCCTTGTAATAAAAACTCTTTTATCCGCTAGCGTCAGTCTATTGAAGGACGAATCTCTCACATTCCTTATAATAGTTTTATATTTGTATGTTAATTCCATCAAGTGCACCGTGTTACGTGTCCTCGTGCTCGTCCTTCCCACTCTACAAAGGTAGTTAGTCCGCTGTTTCCTCAAGGACGTCACCATAAACCCTCCACTATAATATCATTGGCTCCACGGACACATTTCGTTCCCTACATACAACTTCAACAATTTATCGACTACTCCGTGATCGTATTTTTGTTTCTCGCATTGATTAAATCCGAGATTTGTGTTGTCATTGATTGCTTGTATATTTTTATTGGTATTTTTACGACTGTTTAAGTGGTCGTTACACTTCAATGGAAATTTTAACTAAAACTAAGTGTGCGCCGCGACTCTGCTTGGAGAGGCGACGCATTCGATAGTTATATGATGAAATGTTAGTATGCGAATCATTGTAATGTAGTATAGATATAGGTATCAATAGCCGATATAATCAATCGTCACACATACTCGTAGTATATAAAGCAGCTCACTCGCTGTGAAGATATGTTACGTGAAATATCACCTCTCGGGTTGTGTTAAACGGGTCGCTGTATCTCAGATTGTCTCCTAGACACAGGGCCGGCGATGTTTCCCCGCCACAGCCTCCACTAATAATTGATCGGTATCTCGTGTACTCCGGGTTCAGAATGTACGACACTTGTGATCTGTGGTTCATACACACCGCTGTGGACCGTGCACCACTCGCGGGCTTGGGCTCCTAGCTCATACCTGAACCGCTTTAAGATTACATTATAACCAATTCTATGCACAGAATTTAACAGTTTATTGAAACAAATTTATTTAAACGCTGAATATGACGTGTGTAGTAGGTACCTATACGGAACCTGTATTGAGAGGGTTCGGTTTGTCTAATTAATAAATAGAGTAACCGATTGATATGGAATAAAATCGATTATGACATATTGATTATTGCTTCAAGAACTAGTATATTGATTGTCCTCCCAGGTACTAGGTCCCAGGTGTCAGGTTCCAGGTTCAATACCGTGAAATCATTAAACTATGATTGATGCACTCTTTAATTATAAATACATGATGTATAGTCCGCGGGCTGGAGCGTTATGTTCTTATGATAATAACATCATATATAACAGATTCCATTATCATTATCTTTAAAGATATATATATGTTGTGTTCTATCCGTCTCTATAGGTACAATGAACCGGTGACAAATAAACCGAGTATATTTTCAATTTATTTGTCTCATCACTAGCAGTCATTTAAATATAACTGTCGGTTATCGAATATTTTTGTTACCTACGGTCGCCGTGTTGATTTTCATTTTCAAATATTTCTACGATTCGAGCGTTGCAATGCAATCCAATGTTCTGATTATTGATACGCTACAAGAGTAGGTAACTTTATATACACCGTGAGGCCGTGGTATATAAAGTATACACTCATCCCAGTCCGTGGTGAAGACGTCGCGGTGTATTCGTCAATTCCTTAGTATTTATTAGACGGTCTCCGATCACGATTGAGGTTCATCAGCGCAGGTGGTGTTCAGGGGCGCCATATCGACTGTCAAAAACTTGTAAAATATAGCTTCGACTGCGTACGGTCGACCTCGCAGCCGTGACCGACGGTGAGCTTTAACACAACCTGCATAGAGGCGAGAACGGCGTGACACGGACCGTGTTGTAGGGAGCTGCGGGCGTCGCTTCCTTCACAAAGATATCTTGAAGATTTATTCAAGCGTCTACAATGGCGAACGTTTTAATTCTTTTCATATGAGACAGATTTATGCACGGACAGATGCAAGACCGGCAGATAGCGTTCGACAGGAGACACCCCCAGAGAACTAGTGTGTTGTACGAACATATAACACGAGTATATATATGTAATACATGGAAACGATGGAATTTACTGTATCAATAAAACGGATCGCCGAACATAAATTATATATTCTAATTACTGCACAAAAAATAACATAAACACGGATACATAAAAAGGCAGTAAAATGTAGATGAAGGTTCGCGACAGTACACTTACATCTGATCTTATGAAACGTATTGCAATTTAAAACGCATCTTACTACCGGTGAGTGGCGAGCGGTCCGGTGTAAGTGATAACGTTAACACGCACGTCCTCACGTACAAACCGTACGTGCATCGTGAAGTGAAGTGTATTGTAGGCGAGCGTCAGAGGAACAGTTTTTCATAAGCAACAATACTCGTTGTAAAGCTGTGGTCCATTGATTATAGCTCTTTGTTCGTCTTTGTCACTTTCGGGAAATCGGGACTTTTGGGACGGCATTGTTTTTATGGAGCTCAGTATTGTGCAATCTTGCGAATATTTACAAAAGCTCTATAACATTGTTTACAGTTGAACCTACACTGTGGCCCGCTGTCTGCTCTTAACTGTTCAGTAACTGATGATTCCCTCTGAGCCGGGTCTAAACTTATTACTGAATGGAATTCGTTTATTTATAAATTACAAAACAAATTAAAAAATACTTTGACTTTTTATATGCATTTTTTTCAAAACTAAAAACCTTGCTTTTGATTGCATATTAAATCACGATTTCTTATTACAATCAGAATTACAGTCATGACGACTGTTGAAATCATTTAGTAATGGACGAATTTTATAACATGGCGATTAATGTTTTGTTCGACTCTATTAATAAATCCATATGTTTAAACTAAAAAAAACTTCTTAGCAGAAAAAAATTATGTGTGTCAATTTTAAAATAAGCGTAGAGCACGGGTTTTAATAAGTAGTAATCAGGTAATCCCGGGGTCGGTGTGGTGACGTCATCGCCGCCATTTTGTTTGTGTACCGACCAACGTACTTACCTAATATGATTCTCATAATTTGACGAGCCGACTGCTTTGACAGACGACATTTAATTACCGTACCCTCATTACCTGGGTATTGACGGTTATTGATATCTTCATATTTATAACGGACGATCAGACCACGACACGGGTACGACACGGACACCAGTCCGGCAAACGAGCAGCTCCGGGTGATACACTAGTATTGAAATATGACAAAAGAAAATAGTTATCATATTGACCTTATCGGAGTGGATAAATAAGTACGTATCAAAAGAAACAATAGAACATGAAGTGAAATAAAGCAAATAAGGTTGATTGACACAGGTGGCGGGACTTAGAACTAGCAGCTGAACAACAAGACGTGAGGTAGCGAGGAGACGATACAACATGTGTGTAGAACATGTACAAAAACAGTTATAAAATTAATTAATCGTTTATAACACTTACTTGAAAGGAAACGAGTCCGATACATCGCAACATATAAAATCACCCGCGCGAGCTTTCATACCAAAATTGCAGTTAATTCGACGTTGAATTTTTAATAATAAGGCTTTAATTAAAATATCCGTGACGGGCTTGATTAATATGTTCCGTCACGTGACTCCTTCATTAAAAATATGTCAACGAGGAAACGTTTGAAAATATATGAATATATAGTGTTGGTTGATGTTATAGGAAGAATAGAAGATATTGAGTATTATAATTATATGATGATTAGATGAAAAACATATGGGGAAACCAATAATGTATATCGGAGTAAATAAACTATATGATGAGTGATGTTAAATGATTTAGAAGAACATCTCACTATCCACTCACTCGTCACTCATCAGCAGCTCGTGAAGCCGGTACAGACATCATACTTCATTACTCTGAGAACTGATACATCTCTCGACGGAAGATTTGTACAGTTTAATAATACATTGACGACACATCATCATTCGATTAAAAATAGACGAAACGTATGAAAATATTTTACAACAAATAAAATGTAATTATAAACGACATGCGAGGGATTAGAGAAGAAATGTGAGGAGAGATCAACAGCTCTCGAGGTGCAACCGGCCCGACCGACCGGCTGGGTCCTACGCACTTATAAAACAAACACACACCGACACACGCCGAGCGAAAAACACCTCTAACACAAGGAGATACGGTGGGGAGAGGACGCGCGGGGAAATTGCATTCGCATATGAAAATATAGCATCTCGCGAGCGCATTACAAAATGAGGCAAAATTATGATGGATGCTGATGCCTCGTTTCTCGCTTAATAAGACGAGATTCTACTTTGGTCGGTTTCAATTAATAATGCACCTTATTATTCGCTAGTTAGGGGCCACATCAGCGTGGAGGGAGGTCGGGAATCAATCGCGGCCGTCAGTCCACTCCGGCGCAAGTGTTAGTGAGCGTAATGAATGCGACAGATCTTACGGTGTTCGGTTACAGGTTTAATACTGTTCCGTCTCCACAGAGACAAACAACACTTAAACGATAATATAAGCACTTCCATATTAAGTTACTCCGTTAAATAGAACTCGCCGTCTAATATACATATATTATTCAAGAAACGTATCTTAACAAAATGGCTGAATTTCTAGACTATTTAATGAAATAAAGTTAATAAACAAGCTTTTTAAAATCTTTCAAAAAACTATCTCTAGTAATTCCTATTCTTTCACTACTGTAACTGTGTTCATATTGCCATGAACCTGTGTCAAGTGAGCCTGAAGCCTCTGTTCCGTGTTGATCTGTGCGTGTATATCTGACATGTTATCAAGCCCAATTACCGTGACACGTGACGCAGAGCGACGGACAGTCGTTTGGCGAACGTATTATGAGTTATTTATGATGGAGATCTGCGATCTGCACTTATAATGATAAGGATGGATTGTTAGCGGGAGACGACGAGGGGCGGAGGCTAGTCTAGATTTATGGACGCTGGATACACGGCCGCGTGTCTTGTGATTATTAAAGACTAAGTAACATTGTGTTCAATTCAATGGTAATTCTTCCTCTAGCCCCGGGCGTCTCTCCGCCTGGCAGTGCTGTGCCCGCCGCGCCACCTTCGATCCTTGTAGACGTTATAAATATCATAACACGTAATGATACGTCTGTACCAGCGCTGAGCGCCGCTACTAGACAATTGGAGTCAAAAAGCCCATCGATACTAACTGACGTACACACGTTTATTAGTGTCATGAATCATGCTCCCATATTGATATAACTGCGTGACAGCCATGAATCACAATTGTCGGGTCGATGACCCCGCTGGACGTCTTCAGTACGTACTTCAATGACAATTGACAAGCGGACTTCAATATGATAGGTCTGAAGCTGAAGACAGACATCGGGGAGCGGCGATCTAATCGAGACGAGAAAGATGATATCGAATAAAAATAAAAGAATTAAAAACCCGAGCAATAAACATCGAGTGATTTTATCGAGTAATATATGGTAATGCGAAAAACGAGGTTCAATCATAACTTTGGCGCTAATGTTCCGAGTGCGACAGGCTCGCTGGAGTGCGTTCTCATCGCTCCGATGAGACACTAAAAACTTTATAGGTGAGATTATCTTACGTTTTATTAGTGAGATGAGTGTCGCGGCAGGCTGCGGACACTGTTACTGACACTCGCCGACACTACACTACACTCCTTGACACTCCTCTCAGCATTACCGACCACTTCTACCATGCATCTATTCAAATCCTAGTAGTAATAGATTTTCTTTTATGACGTTATACGAAAATATTTCCCTATCTATTAATGTGAACTCGCGAACTTTGTAAACAATTTGAAACATTTCAATGCTAAAAGAGATAAATAAAATATCATAAACAAAACTATAAGTCAATATATGAAACATATATATGTATATGAAGTATATTTGGTGTGTATATTAACAGTACATTTAATAGGACCGAGTCGTATAATAAGACCGTTAAAGCAATCCCACAATCCCCAACCTACATTACACTTCACGGGATATAAATTTTTAAAGTTAAATATTTTAATTAAACGCTATTACATTACGATATAAAATTTTATTGGTTTATTGACATGCTTCCATTCATATCGATACGTAACCGAATGTACTGTGTACAGCACACACTTGGAACTCGATAAAACGAACTTCGCTGAAATTAAATGCTTAAGGCCGTTACTGCATTATACGTGTCGAATGTGACGTCGGGAGCGAGCCTTATGGCACTGAGAGCATCACTATCACAACAGAAACGGACGGACTGACAGACATATTACTGGGAGAGTTTACTACAACAATAGTATTGATAAAAAATAATTGTTATTAATATTTCATTACATACTGACAAGACTTTTTGTATAATTTTATTTTTAATATAGGTTCATGTCAAATTTCATTCGTCCACTTCCCTTTGTCTGTCACGAGCAGTATAATTATAAATATGACATAATTAAATCGCAAATTAGTCGAAGGGCAGCGAGCTCTCGAGACAGGTTTATACCTGGATGACGTCATCACAAAGAATATAACTTGGCTTAATAATACTGTCAACAATATTTGATACAGATATTCAGATGAGATACAGAATTATATATATATATATACATTTTTAAATTTTAAAGAAGTTATATATTGTTATATAAATGTTCAGACAACAGTAGCTAAGGCTCGCGGAACACAGTCAATATTTTAGAAGTGAATATTTCCTATTATATGAGTGTTACCTTCCATGTACAAAATCATGCAACAGTCAAACATATCAAGCAAATTAATATAAAGTCAGATGGAATGACTTCTCCCGCGCCAGATGTGCACCGATCGATACAAAGATCCAATGGAACACAAAACGTGGCGAAAAAAAATGCACGAACAATATGTAAAACAAAAAAACGACTGCAAGAACAAAATATAACTCATGTGAGTGAGAGCGGCGACGGAGCAAGTGGTTGTTTTTCCGAGCGGTATCTTCATATCCGGACGCGCTCCGGCCGCGCTACACACCGACGAGTTAGATCCGAGTGCGCGATGACGCTCGCGTCACACCGCCGGGTAGCCGCCTCACGGGCGAGGGTAGCGCGAGCGGCGTGTGCGGTGTGACTGAGGACTTTATCTGAAGACTAGAAACAATCTTGACGGGGCGCGTTCGACACATTCACGAATAAATCGAAAAAACGACACCGCGTAATGAATGCGACGCCGGCGAAATGAACTTGTGTTCGGGACTTGACGTGGCTCGACTCGGCTTTAGTAATGTACTATTAAACATCAGCTTGTAGTATATAGGAGCGGCTTCTTGAAGTTTATTCGCAGGTCAGGGGACCGTGAAGAAGACGCAAGCAGCACACATCACTTACAGGCTACACAGTTTAACCCTCAGCGATAAGTCAGCGCGGCTCCTCAATCACTATATACGAATCGTGTAAGCAGACGAATGTATCGGACAGTACATTACTTAAGCGACAAATCGTTACATCGCCTCACGAGCGATTCTCGTCTCTACTGACTAAAACCTAAAGGCGACATCGGCTCGGAGCGTCCGTACTATCTAAAAATAAGAAATTGCATTTCAAATCTGTGCTTATCGACAGAGCGGACGTACCTGCCGATACCCGAACTGATAGAGTGGACTGCTTGCCTCATCATCTAAATTATTAACTCCGACCCTCGACCCCTGGAAATGTTTACATTTTAACTATTCCCAGCACACGGTTTGTTAGATTTAATCTATTCATATTTTTTGTTTTAATAAAGTTTATTGTATTTCAATGCTTATTCATATTATAAGATTTCGTTGTAACATATTTGATTTTCGTTATCTTGGATGACAAATTTATTAGTTATATCTTAATCCGAGTTCCTCGCTTAACTCGACTGTATATAACGCCAACCAGACTATCTCATTAAAACACTCCGAGGAGTTTATCTTCAAAAAGGAGCAAGAAAGAGAGCTCCAATATATCTATCCTTATCAGTTATCAGGGAAAATAAATCGACGGATTGAAATTCAGGAGTCGGACATCAACCGCGGCGCCCTGTGTTCTGTGCTCTGTGCTCTGTGCTCGGTGGCCGATGCGTGGGCGCACAATTTGCATACGTTCGTTAGTGTGTATCGACATTCGTCTTTTTATATCGACATTTAATTAAGCTCGTGTGAGGTCCTGCACCTTTATAATAATTGCTCTCCGATACCGATTGCTGCTTAATGAAGTGCTCGCCCGGACAGCGGTCCCATTGATCACGCCTGTGACGCGTCACCCGCACCCACCATTATAACATTCTCCTTATTCCTTAACTTTGGTCTCGCACTCTTCGTTCCGAGACAACGCTCGATACCACGAGGTTGCTGAAGCCAGGTGAGCGTTCCACGTTAATAATTATTAATTATAATCAATCGTAAGCACGGTGACTCCGCTCACCTTTCAATGCAGCTATCGATTACTAATTAAAGAATAACAAAAAGTAGCCGTTCGATAAAAATTATCAGTTACGAACACACGCCACGGAGTAATTATACTTAAAAGAAATAGTAAAGCCGAGCATACAGTAATGCATAAGATTCCTGTGAACAAATTTCCTCTAGTATAACATCGCGTGCTGACTGCAAGACGACCACCGGTGATGATAACACTCAAACAAATACAAATAAACATTATTAAATAGTTAACAATCATACCATCCATACGATGACTTTTAAATGATAATTATACATATATTAAAATATAACTGCCGCTTCAAACGAGGCGAGCACTCCATAAATTTTATAAAACATTTTGCAATTAATGTATAATTTCGGAACAAACAAACAAACTCATAAAAGTGATATTTCTTTGTGAATTAATATAAACGACTTACGAAATGACGTATGGCTTATAATTAAATAATAAATTATAGTCCTTTATAATAAAGACTTGAACTTGGAGCTACATCTAGGGCTTTTATTACAAAACCAAATACATATATATAAAAAATAAGTAACATCTTCAGGCTTATATGGATCAAAATATAAGCTACATTTTAGCAATGTTTAGTTTGTATTATTATAATAATATATATAAGGATCTTGAATTCGTTTATATGTTCCACATATGCATATGTTGATAACTTGAACTGGCTTTGGTAAATAATACGGTCAGGTAAAGCACCTGTACTATCATTGTTCGGTTTGCGATATCGGTCAATACCCTTAAGAATAGTTCTCCATATTCTTTTACAGCTACAACAACTACAGGAATGATGTAAATATTATAGTAATTAAAATATTTCATGGTACGGAGCGATGGTTTAGGGTTAAGTTTAATTATATAGAACGGGAGCGAGCGGTGGGGTGCATTTTATGATTCATAATTACTGACATATTAAAACATTGGCTTTAACGACACGGCTTTGGAACTTACTCTTCATTTAGTTCCCCAAAAAAAAAACAAACGAATATACGATGTGTATAGTCTCGAACAATACGAGGTATTAATAAGAAGAGAAGGGATCGTAGTTATAAGTGTGTATAGTATAGTGGGACGTCTGTATCAGTGGACCGGATCAGCGAGCCGTTGACTCCATCAGCGCGGAGATGACACGACAACAATGACTCGGTCAGATCACTATCAGTCCATCACCACCACCGCTCACCTCACCTCGGACACTCACGTTGACTTTACTTATTGTTGTTGTATACCCTTTGATTATCACGAGTTTAACGTTCCACTTGCTGCACTGACCACTAGCACTTGAAGATATGTACATCATCTAAAGTCAGGAAGATAATTTTGAGCCCTTGCTCCGATTATCGTGAGTACATAAACACTTGTAAATTTTCCTAATTTATTTTTTTCAGTTCTGTCTCTAGACTCTGGTGAATGAGCGAACAATATCTCCAAACTTCAGCGGGCGGTGAAGTGAACCACAATCAATGTTGTATTCAAATATAAGTTGAGGCAATCAAAACCGTGGGGCCGGTAATGAATTTTGGAGATTTAGCGGACAAAAAGAACGTACAATGGCTGCGTATCAATCGATTAGGATCCTTTGTGTGAATTGATAAGAAAGCGGATATATCTCGTTGGACGGATGTTTTCAACTGACCCGGTTTCGATTTGATTCAAGATTAAGTTTTTAATTATTGGATTTCTGAGCCGCACCGTCCGTAGACCGTAGTACTCATATCACATAGGACATAATATTATTTTACTTATTTATCATTTATTTAATTCACTCCCGAATCTATTTTTCTAACATCGGGCCGTCGTACTCCGTCCATCTTAATTTAAAACATGCAATATTCATAATTGGCGAATATCGGATTCGTTCGTAATCGATGTCACAAACTGATATTTCGGTTTTAGTTTGTTTATATAAAAATAAAACCGTCAAAGTTATTGATTAACCTAGTTTAAAAGATGTAACCGATTTCAATATTAGTTCACCGATATAAATCTCAGTTATATTACAATTAGACGTGTACCTATCGTGTGTATATATCATATAAATACCGAATGAAATAAAAAACTTAACTGATGTAAAATTTTAAAAACTTTTGTTTTCCTTTCTAGTCAACAAGTGTTATTACTCCGTAAATAATTATCTAATGGACAAGACATAATATTGTAAGAAATTGATGAATAAAAAATGTATAAAATATATAACTTAATTATGTTTCTATCTATCATTGTTAATTTTCATCTGTAAAACATTTAATATGAATTTATAATTATAATTGCATTGTTAATTTAATTTCTAATTTTAATTTAATTTTAATTTAATGTAAGCCTAATATTTGCATGCCTTAAGGTAGAATGTACTGGAACTTGTAATAAAATCTATTTATACATCTATATTCTGTACCTACATTCAGAGCAAATAATAATAATAATTATTATTATTATTATCATGTACTCATATATATTTGGACAGTGATGTTGAGAGTTGAGAGGCGAGGTCCGTCAGCGCTGTTCGTGTTTCTGATTCACGTCAACAACATCACAATAATAACACAAGTATAATAATTACCCGCCATGCCATATTAGACATTAATTCAAACCCGAGTCTTGCTATACGACGTCTCGTTTGATTCATGCGCACGCGCTTATAAATCTGTCGTTCCGGACAGGTTGCAGTCGAACGAAAATGAATTCTATTTTTATAGCAATTACTTTGCAAATAACTCGGCTCCAGTACGTCATGGATACGGGTGATGCCAATTGTCTTTGCGCGCAGATTAAATTGATTTATGTGACAGTTTGTCCGTCAGTCGTTTCTCGGTAAGTCGTAAAGCAGTGTCCGGGTCGGGCCGTGGCGCGGAGGACTGAGGACTGAGGACTGAGGAGTGAGGAGTGGTTCACGATCCTAGCTGATCGGAGACGAGACGGACAGCCGATTATTATTTATTACCGTCTTCGTTTCCTGCCGATAGTCCCATCTACACATGTGTATTAAATCACAGGAACAAATACCCTAGCTCGTGAGTCCCGGTCTCGGTATATTTATTATATAACATTATTGTTAACAGTAGGTAAACGTTTAACATTTAGTTATTCTCGTGTAATGCTCGTGTCAGTGCTCACTTCTAACAGGGAATAATTTACATTCTGTCACATTATCCCAAATTGAAATTGTCTAAACGTTAAGCTGAAGCATTTACGATCATTAGTGACATTAGTTCTATTTGTGTCTAGCATTCCTAGAAAGTGGGGAGCGGTACACGTTGGACACGTCGACGTCGTTTTGGTGAGGAAACTGTTGACAAAAAGACGACGGAAGACGTGGTCACCGTGAAAAATACTACAACTACACACACACGCACGCACGCACACACACGCACACACTCCGGACGTACTCACATTGTAACTGCTCTACCTGGACCGTAGACCTGGAACGATATGTAACGTTTAATATAAAAGACGATCGACTTTGATGAGCACTGTGAGTATTTAGAGTAAAGGAAAAAAACTGTACAGCGAAGAAAAAATCTAAAATATGCTTTAAACAAACCGAATGCTATAATGTAACCGCTGACTGATCCCGCGTCGCTCAAACAATATCATAGATATCGCTTCCATACATATCAGATCTGTCGCGACGAAGACTGTTGCCCGCGGACAGACATCCAATTTAACAATGAACATACTGTTCGGTCGCCCGCGCCGGTAGGGTTTTAATTACTACGACTATAAAAAGAGGAGTCGTTTATTAGCAATAAATATATATGAATGAAACATTAAACTGGTGGAGCGATGCGGTTATATTTATATGAGTATCACTGATTGATGTCTCAATATCACGAAACAATCAATGCGATGCTTCCAAATAAGTCGTAAACTTTCTGTTATTTTATTCGTAAATAATGAAATCGACCGCTTCCATAAATCATGTAACCGAATGTAAATACGACCCTCATACCGAGTTATTTATATGATTACGGCCTTTATTGCTACACGTATAAGAATTATGCATTTATGCAAATTTAGTACAGTTCGCGAAATAGAGCCGAACTAATACAGCCATCGAAATGATCCATATCGCGCACACAATAAGAGCTATATTGATTTAAATCGATCGGATATTAAGCCCGGCACGCCTGATGAAGTCCTTCGTCGCCCGCTGCGCGTGCGCATGTGCCATGTACATGTAGTAATAATCGTTGTTAAATTGCAAACAATGTTCTCATCGAAAAAAAAGTATTCTTATAAAGCTCTCTGTATAACCAACGAGGGATCAAAAGTTTTATAAATAAAATGATATGTGTCCCTGAGTGAGAGTTCTTATTTTAATCAAACATTAGGTATGTATATGTAGGGGTGATGGAGTGCGGGACGAGGGGCGGGGGGGGCTGATCATCGGATGATAATGGTAAGTCATCAGACAATCTCCGAAGACAATCGTCCGTAACAAAAGTCAACAAGACGAGTCATAAACGGCCGCGCTGGCCCAGTAAAGAACCGTTGGTCTCGTCCGTTCTATTTAATTAGATTCTCGTGAAGTCGTGAAGTCGTCTATCGGCACACAAAAGATGAATTTGTTGTATCTATCGATTACGATAGAGATTTCGTTTGCGGTTAACAAAGAGTTTTCGTATCAAATCACACAATTAGAAGTGATCGGTTGTATGGTTGTCGGGGTCTTTGTCGGCGCTTGTCATTGGGACTGGTGTGTTCCGCTACGGCCCGCCACAAGCACGCACCCACGTGCGCTGACTATAACAGCCAACGAGACACTATGGGAAGCGATTTGTTTATCATATTAATACAGAATCGTTACTCTAATAAAACAAGTAACTTTTACCATTCACCGATTTGTTCATTTTAAATATGTACCTAGTACATATTTGTTTATTTTAGTTTTTGTATCCATAATTATTTTGTTAATTGAAACAAAACTACTTTTTTAAAACCCGATTTCACATATTTTCACACAATGTCAATTGTTAGTTTTAGTATAAATTTTATATTAAACATCAATATTTGTCTTCTTTAATATTATTATAACAATAGTGTCAATATGAACACACCAGTCATGTTTGGCGTGAGACAGCCCGGCGGAGACGACTCGTAGGAATTAGAATGATCGACATCATGAGCCTGCGATTTATGTATTATCAGGACACTCTACACTGCATTGTTTATATTACACACTCTATACTGAAAACTTCATATATAATACTGCACTCTAAACTCCCAGACTCTAAACTACAATCAAGCATCCAAATCCCAGGTTCGATACAACACACGACACACTCCATAATGCACTGCAGCATACACATTCTACACTATACACGTACTGCACTATTCATTTTTTACATACTATGTTGCATATTCTACAAAAAATATTAACTGCTGCAAATACGTCAAATTTCACATTAGCTAACACATGCACACTGCATTCTTCCCAATCTTCATCTCACACTAGGAGTTCTTTGTCATCCGTTAGTTCGTCTTTTTGACAATCATTGTATCCATCCAAACCACCCTTCATTAAAATAATTATAATTGGTTTATACATTATATGTATTGGAAAATAATAATAAAAACTTAACGAGTGGCGTAGAACATAAAACGTTACACTGACATCTTACATCATGTACAAATACTTAAAGTTTAATAGTTAATTATTTTTGTAACCGCGAACCGCTTTGTAGAAACAGCACACACACATTGTAACACGTACAATGGACTGAGAACTATAAATATAGAGTACGTCGAACACAGAGAAAAAGTATGTTTTATAATATTTAGAGTTGAATCGAACATAAACATGTCATAGCCGATGGTATTTGGACAACAGCCACCGATCTATCAACGAGGTACAAAGAGGAGCCGTTCATAATGTAAAGATACTTTTACCTAAACAATAATAACGTAATAACTGTATGAGTTGGCCGGACCAGAATATCTCGCGGTGACGTCACTTCCGATAAAACTTCTAATGGCTCGTGATTAATACGAGCTGTGTCCGTATTGTTCTGTTTACATTGTTACCGTGAGGAGCGAGACCTGCTGAAACCTGGAGGAGGGAGCCCGGTGCTATCACTGACGATAGAGGACGGAGCGCCTACAAAGATATACGTGACTTGCGAATAGACGCCCTGTTGAACGACACGGTGTACATGCTGCGGCAGAACGTGGAGACTCCGAGTATAGACAATCTATGTACGAATATGTATGTATATGTACTCAACATTATCATCAACCTATAAGATCTCATTGTTGAGCAAAGGCCACTTCTCACATGGAGGAGGTTTAAACATAAATCACTAAGCTAGCTCAAAACGGGTTGGTGATTCCAAAGTTATAATTTGAAATTATAAGTTCAAATTTCCTCACGATGTTTTTCTTCACAGTCTGTCAATAGTGTCTAAATACTCGTAGGAAGTACACGTAACTCGAAAAATTAAAATAATACGTGCCAGGATCGAACCCGCGCCCTCATGCATGAGAGGCTGTAGGCCCCTATACTCATCATATGTACTAGTACATACAAAAAGTAATTAATGTATTTATAATATATACAGACAGTGAAGAATTTTTAGGATTAAAGCTCTACGAATAGTTCTCTGTGATATTAATCGTTATGTCCTGAGTTGTCACTAAATCGTGGTCATTGTACCGTATCATACGGCGCGGCTAAGTGACGGTGATCGACAAAAAGGGATGAAGAGAGATTTTATTAACAGGCTTTCATCACCGACAAAAAATAACGTTGAATGAGATAACAAATGATGTTGTTTGCTATTGAGAGGAAAATGGATTCCGCCAGGACCGGGGCGCACTTAGCGCTTTGACGGAGGTGACGGGCAGCTTCTGACTCGGGTTTAACTTGATGTACTATACGTACACGCGGGCTCACTCACATACAAACACCCTCACCCTGCCACATACACTACGGGTCCCACACATTATACCAGCAACAAAGAAATGTCGAACTCATTGCGAAAACAACGAGAAGTTTTAAAACGTTTTAGAGACCTAATGTCCCGTGACATATTTGAGATGTAAAAGAATTTTATTAATTAAAGTATTGCTATCTGTCGGTGAGCGACTGACTCTGAACTACAGTCTCCAGGAATGCGCTGAGTCACAGGGCCACCCTAAAGTTTCGCGCCGACAGCTGTGCACTTATTGTTATTCACACAGGTGTACGATAAATTAGCCATAAATAAAAAGCGTATTATAATATTATTATATGTTGTTGTCTAATTGAATTATATTTATTATAGTATTGTGTGTCACAGTTGTGTTACGGACAGCCCTCATATAATGAAATAGGAATTATATTCATAATAATTATAGAAGAACAAAGCTATGGTATATGTGAGCCCACGCTAATAAATATATTTAAATATATATAAGTAAATAGTATCGTATAGTATACAGTTATAATCAGACCATATTTAATAACGTTTTCAATTATTGTTTTGTATCAGTAAAGTTTTCTTGAACACTATAGAACTTAATATTTGACTCAATAATGAAAAGTTTGCAATATAAGAACGACTGAATATTACCATTGAGAGCTTTATTCAATAAAGTGAGAGGGTTTAAACAAACATAGCAATATAATAGGTAATTTTATATTACTTAAGACATAAAAGTAAAAGTGAAAATATTATATTCTTCAGTATTTGAAACAAAGAAAATAGAGAATCTATTAATGTTAATAAATTATTAAAAAATAAACAGAATTATAAACCATTATTCTGTCTCCAAGATCATTTATAACTATTAACTTTATGTAAAAATACAATTTGTTTTAATTATTATTTCTATTAGTTTTAGGACATTAATAATATTCTAGTTAAGTGTCAAGTCAAACAACTGTTGATGTAATCTCCGGCCACTCTCTGTATACAGTTATTTTAATAATCGTCCAATCAAATATTATAAATATAAGAAACAGAGAAATATTTGAAATCACCACACTACTAATAATAAACGAGATACAAATCATATCGTTTGTTTTATTAAATTACATTTATATTAACATAACTATGTGTGGTCTATAATTTGATCCACTTTACTATCGACGAAACGACAACGACAGGTCCACGTCACGACATCTCATTACGAACGAACGTTTTAAATAACTCGAGAGAAATAACATCAGATTCGATCGAGATGAACATCAAAACGGAATCGTCATCGGATCGGTAGGTATAAAAAAGATCTAAATGGTCGATGGAGGTGATGCTGGGCCCGTGATGATTGGATTACGAGCTCCTCATGACGAGGACTATAAACATTAATGAAGCTGAGGGATCGTAAACACACGGCTTGATGAGAGATGTCGCTGGCAGATTGGGAGTAGCCGGTGTAGGGACCGGCAGCACGGGCCGGTGACGGGCATTAAACTGGAAATTATAAGTCGTAAACATCGCGAAGGTTGATCTGGAGACGATCCTTGAATAACTTTGCATGTTATTGAGGGTTGGAGTGTTTAGAGGCATACCAGCAGAGACCGGTCACTGAGACCGTTACACAACCTATAAGGGTTCATCAAGGATCAGCTTGAAGGAGACCACTGAACTGATTATGATGAAGAGTCAATGACCCGCCTGGCACTCAGCTTGGAGGCAGGGTACAGGTGACAGGTTAAAGGTTTGGTGTATGAACGTTTTCGATACTACAATGAAAGACGAATGTACGAGTATCTGTGTGTTGTTAGTAACAATATATCTGGCGGGCATGTATCTGAGACGTATCGTCAATAAAGGCGCTCCTCGGACGCGGAAGTGCGCCGCCATTTTGTCAAACGTCATCCACCAGATGGCGATAAATGCATCGCTGGCTCGTGATTAATGTGAATAGTTTACAATATGATGGTGAGAACTGAGAGTAACTACTAGCCGGTTATATCTGTGATGCGCCCGCGCATGCTTCGCGGAACTCGTTACATACACACACACACACACACACACACACACACACACACACACACACACACACATACATACACACCACCGGCTACCGTTCACATAGGATATTATAAACAGGGTTCAGTATAGATGAAACTTGATTAATCTAAAACAATCTTAATACAAAAAATTATTGAAGTTAATATTTATATCAAATTTTTTAGACAAATTTCATGTATTTTATTTAGAGTTATATTTTAAATAAACCTACCACGGGGACTCTAAACTAATTAATTTATATATTCAATACCTTCACTCTTTTTCTACTCTTTAAAACCGAAGTTCAATAACTATTAATACATCAAAAACAATATATTCCATATATTTTTGATTGTTTTCCCTATAATCGACGCGAGCTTAACGGATTCAAGTTGTCATTATGTAATATTAAAAGGTCTGTCTGTCTGTCAACATTGAACACGATAAGAAGTCAATCAACGAGTGCCAGTGGAGCTCATACCGGCCTGGAGTTACGACTCTTACATTGTATACTTAAACTGAACATACATATATTATATAGGTACTAGTTTTTTCCCGCGACTTCATCCGCGTTTATTTCGGAATTAGTAATTTATGTATAGTTGACCGGGGAAACTGTATTCCCCCCAGAGGCAGAATAACCACGTATTGGAATTTATTAAGTTTTTTTTCGATAAATTGAATTAAATATCCTATGCCTGTCTCCTGGTATCTCTTCACCAATTTCCAAATATACCCCTACAGCTAATTATGAATAGTGTAACTAACACAACTTTAGTTTTATATGTATGTATGTAGATTTCAATATAATTTAAATTACCATATAAAACATATGTCTTTACAATAAACAAATATTTCCAATATTATAATACGTAACTGACTTTTAATAGAAAAATAATTATAAATGAGGAGCGACGTTTCAAATCATAATAATATAATAAGTATCAACCAGTCCGTGACAGATGATGATCTATAAACATATAATAACGACGGCTGCTGTATATATGTGTGGACTATCAATTATGTTAATCAATATTATATATGTATCAATAATATGTGATCGAATCTAATAAAAATATTGAAGAAGCGGCCTCGCTTATGGTGTCGCCTGAACCGTTCGTTAAAGAGATATTTGAATTCATCTTTATATATACATATAATTCTCCTGTGAGTGTGTATGTCACTAAACTTCTCGCAAACGACTGGACCGATTTTGATAAAAAAAATTGTGTGTGTTCAGGGGATCTAGGAATGGTTTAGATTCACAATTTTGTCCGCTGGACAATGTTTTTGTAATTAATTTTTAATTTATTAGTAGCTGTTGATACAAACGTTTTTTTTTTTGACATTAGATTTGACAACTCACTAATATGTCAATCATTCTGTCGCACTTCAAAACTCGGAAATTTATGGCATTAATAGGTAAACTCCAAAATTATAAATAAAAAACGTAACAGATATTTCTTGATTATAGGGCGATACTAAGTTCGCCGGGTCTTCTAGTCTTATTATAAATGACTAAACTATTTCGTTTAGGAAACAATCGGCAGGTCAAAGGTCAACAGTCAGCTGTACAAACGTTGGATACTGTCATAAAGGAAAGTATCTCGGGATACATACACAGTGAATAACATAACTACATGTGTCTGGTGATGTACAAGTATTGTAACGACTATTGGGAATATTAGGAATTTAATTATTTAGGAAATTAACAGGCGGCGGGCATGTTGTGTGTTGGAGGGCAAATTGCGTGGCTGGTACAGGGTGTTCAGAGTCAGGGTGGCCGGCCTCAGCTGATTGACGGCTGATATTGTTTTGTGAACACACCACTACCATCTGATTATATCACCTGACTCCTCATATATACAATATATTAAATGTGACGCGGATTTTCATACTAATTGTTCTCACTGTACAAATATTCGATATTATCAATAAGTATGGCATATTTATAGATTATTTCACGTATATTACAAAAAGTAAATATATATTTCTTAAAGCAAAATGTTCTAAACTAATGATCTAATCTTTCTGTTTAATCTACATGGTAACTAAATGTACTCTCGTCTCCTCGCCACGTCACGTTCGAGTCACGTGTTCCGTAGTAAGGGCCGCGAGTCTCTCGGAGCCTGAAACTGTGGCTTCATCGAAAATAGTTAATTTGAGTGTCGGTACATGATCACCGACCGGACGGTCGATTAGGAGGAGGGAGGACTTTGGAGGGGGGAAAACGATTGACGTTCATAATGAAGTATAACGAGACACATTATATTATAAAACATTTAGGATACACCGGTCACGAGCAGACTAATTGGTGACTGATACACGCACTCTATACTGACAGGGTTTAAACAACACAACACACTCACTCACTGTATGTGTTATATGTTACTAATAATGATGACCTACACCTGGAACTATTATATCAGTCTCATTGAAATTCATAGTTTTCAGAGGTTCCAGAACTTATTTTCCTACTTGAAAAGAAAAATAATAATCATGCTAAGTTAATATAATCTTTGAGAAACCCGGCGAACTTAGTATCGCCCTATAATCAAGAAATATCTGTTACGTTTTTTCATTTATATTTTTGCAGTTTACCTATTAAAGCCATAAATCTCTGTGTTTTGAAGTGCGACAGAATGATTGACACATTAGTTAGTTGTCAAATCTAATGTCAAAAAAAAACGTTTGTATCAACAACTACTAATAAATTAAAATTAATTAAAAAACATTGTCCAGGGGAAAAAATTGTGAATCTAAACAATACCCAGATCCCCTTGAACACACACAAAAAATTTCATCAAAATCGGTCCAGTCGTTTGAGAGAAGTTCAGTGACATACACACTCACAGAAGAATGTATATATAAAGATTATATTGGTCAGTAGAGATGTTCCTATCACGGCCAACGAAACCTGATAAATTTAGTAAATAAATATAGTTCAGATACAGATAATACAGTATGGATTTGCTTTAATAATATTTAATTTGAAGAGTGACAAACAGTACATTAGTTGTACATCTCATGTGTGATATAACACTGGCAATATATTGTATTGATATTTATTACATACATATTTAAATTTATATTTATATATAAATCAAAATTCTTAATAGTCTAGTAATAGGACGGACACTGGACATTATTAATATATACCTATGAATAGTAAAAATTACTTGTTTGTGTGTATGAATGTTCGACTGTATCTCAAAAACTTTTTAATGGAACTTCATCTGGTTTGTTTAACTTTTAATCTAACTCAATGGTCATCGCTAAATTGTTTCAAGCTCAATGTCACTAGTCCTTTCCCTGGTACATACTTTAAATATCATTCCATTTATCAGACACTGATAAGGACGTCCTTAAACAACCATACATTTTTGTTTGTGTATTTTAATTTTACAAATATCATGTCATACAATTATTATTATACTGATATATACTTGTATATATACATATATGTGTGAGTGTATCGTAGGTGAAGGTGTTAGTCGGTGGAGTGTAACGTTAACTGTGTACGTCACGTGACGCGTCAACCGATACCTCCGAACTGACTGTTTGAGATATCTGAATATATAAAACAGGTCGTGACTTTAAGATGGATTTATTACATTATTAATACAGTCGTTATAAACTATGAACAATCATTGTAATGTTTATGTATCGGTATGTTAGGAAGGAGTGTCTGTCTGTTCGTTCACGTTACACACTACATCTTAAACAATATATAGCATTAATTCTGGATTTATTATTATATGTATATCTATGAATGTTTTAATTCTAGTGAGAGATGAATGTGTGGTTGTAAAGTGGACCTTATTCCTGTGTGTTAAGGTCGTGCTGGTGTGTCCTTGCAGCCATCGATCTGCATCACCGCCGCGTCACCTTTGATTGACGGACGGACGGACGGCCGCAGCTCCGATATAATTACACTGCATATTTTATATTGCACAATAATATACAACAACCACTGATATGTGACCTATCACTGGGGAGTAAGGTTCATAATAATCTGACACACCTCACTGACGAGTGGAGTAAGAGACGACACGATAGAAATATAGCAAGTTTGTTTAGACTATGATATATCAGGAGTAGATGATGTTGAGAGGGTCACACTAGACTGGACGAACGGAACGAGGGAGGAAGACTGGTGAAAGGTGGCTGAAAGAAAACATGACATTTAATGATAATATTAAATATATAAGTGACGAGGAGTGAGGGAAACAGAAGAACATACAATACAGAACATAAAGCTTGTGTTAATGAGATGAAACTATATAAGTAGATTAAGATGTTGTCAACAGATGGTAAACGACCAGCGTAACATGAACCCTGGTAACGATCTCATAATTAGTGGCTCCTCATCTCATTTCTATTACCTGCTAGAGACATGCCTGGTGACGTCACACGTACCTACAACAACTCGCACTGAGAAGAAACAAGAAGATGTATCAGGCCGACTGTTCCAGTCAGAGTCTGGAGAGGGAGTAGAAGACATTAAGAAGGAATAAGAAACAGAACAAAGAATAGGGAGTACCTATTGTTGATAAATCAGTTAGGACTTGTTTGAAACCGTTTCGGAACTACTTATCATTTATAATATTTTCATTAATAATCCGAGTCGTACTGGACCGTGGACACAGTCTCTGTGTGTGTGTGTGTGTGTGTGTGTGTGTTTGACCTTCACTTTAGAACATAACTGACTGTCACTAATTGGCTTGATTACATGATTGATTGATTGATGACTGACAGGTGACGTCACGTCAGCTGATCAATACGACTTCATTACACGTGGACAGTATCGTATTGTTTCTTCTATATGTTAAGCTGCTCCTACCATCACCTGGTTCACCTGTTCTCCACGTTGTCTCACTTTCAGTTAGTAATGAACCACTCTTGGATCATACCGTGAGCCAACTATAATATCTACACTCTATAGAGCTCAATAGGCCTGACCTGAGGCTGTTCTAGATGAGGATTATGTCTCAGATCACAGACTCCAAATCATTTGTATAAAAGTCAATATTTTTATATGTTTGTACGTCTATGACTGTGTACCAGTGATCGTGTAACTCCTAACTATACGTTTGATCGACATAATACTTACTTATTCATTATCATTATAAAAGTTTCTTATTTAGATTTAAAAAAATCTTTACTTACTGTTTACCTAATAATAAAAAAAATTACTAACATTTTTAATTTATGAAAAATAATTTAATTTGTGAATACATCCATAAAATGGAAAAAATGTCCTTTAAATTAAAAAATATATATTTAATGTTATTGTTTGTTTGTCTGTCACAGTTAGAGGAGTTGATCTCAAGAAATAATGAACAGTGTTAGGTGGAGTATACATATGTACCTATATTTCTATGTAGAAATATATATATGTATAAGAACATATCTGTCTGTGTGTTTGTATGTTAGGAACACAGAAGACTACAGTTTAAATGTTTATTTTAATAATAAGTACCTACCTACCTAATTTAATATATAGGTACCTATGTACAATGAATTTATTTCTCTAAATTATGAAGTGTTTTTCTACTTATAAATATAAATATTATAATTATAATTTATTATAAATTAATAAATATTCATATGTATGAAGTACTTAAGTAAGTAGATACCAGTCAAGTTTTTTTAATATAAGTATATAATAATATATTGTATAGTTTAATGATCCCACTACAACTACTATTAAAAAAAACGCTTCAATTAATTATAGGTATATATCTACTAGAAGACCCGGCGAACTTCGTATCGCCCTATAATCAAAAAATATCTATTACGTTTTTTTATTTATATTTTTGGAGTTTCTCTGTAAGCCATAAATCTCCGTGTTTTGAAGTGCGACAGAATGATTGACATATTAGTTAGTTGTCAAATCTAATGTCAAAAAAAAAACGTTTGTATCAACAACTACTAATAAATTAAAAATTAATTAAAAAAACATTGTCCAGCGGACAAAATTGTGAATCTAAACAATTCCCAGACCCCCTTGAACACACAAAAAAAATATCATCAAAATCGGTCCAGAGAGAAGTTCAGTGACATACACTCTCACAGAAGAATTATATATATAAAGATACAGTACATATATAATTTTATACTAAATATATACCTATTGTATGTATGTTTGTTCCACATCACAACCTGTCAGGCGTCACTTGAACACTATATAGGTATATTTATAATGATTCACTCGTTATATTAAGATTAATTTAAATATTTTGAAACTGAAAACATTTTAATTAATTTAAGAGAAACAATAGAAAAATTTAATTATTAAAAAAATATATTTGTGAACAAAGAAATTGTTAGTTAAAAAATATTTATTAAATAAAATTATAAATATTAAGAATATTTATTTATAGTGAAAATTATAAGTTTTAACTACAACGTGTTCAGAGACCCTCCCCCCTGCCCCTTGCATCCCGAAGACGCCCCGCCTCCCCTCACACACACACAGACAAGAACACACACACACACACACACACATACACACACACATTAGTATAAAAATGGCGGTTAAAAAAATACAACAGAAAAACGACGTTCATAATAATATAATATAAAGTATGAAAAATAAATTATAATAATAATAATAAAAGTTAGTTTGTAATGTTGTTAAAGTAAGTTAATAAATACTATAAAAGTTTTATATTCACTGAGAGTTCTGACAGGAAACTACACACGCGGGGGAATGTATGAGGAACACAGACACGGACAGACAGACAGATAGACAAGAAAAATAATGAAAATAATGGATCAGAACAGATCTTAACTACACTTGAACACTGTCATAAATAACAATAATATACAGTGTATGAGACACGAGACACGAGCTCTCACCTGGACAGACAGTGACCGTGACACTCACGAGCTACACACGAGCAGCAGCAGCAGCAGCACTGAGCAGCACTCGCGCCGCACACACACACACACACACACTCCGACACACGGGACGCGCGCTCCGCGACACGGGACGGCGCGCACTGACGGACCGAGAGTGCCGGCTGATCGGCGGCCGAGCGGCGGGCACCGACCGACACGACGGGACGGGACGGGGACGACACGACGTAAACACGGGCTGTACGATTTAATTTTTATTAAAATATATTTTTTTGTAACATTTTTTTTTTAGTTACTATCCATCCCGTCCCGTCAGTCCCGTGACCTTGCCCCCCCCCCCCCCGGCCCGCCCCCGCCGCTGCCCGCGTGTCGTGTGCTCCGTCCCGCTCGCTGGCCCCGCCCCCGGTGCCGGCCGCCCCCCGCCCCCGGCCCGCCCCCCGCCCACCTCTCTCCGTCTCTCCCCTGCCGCGTCTGTGCCGGTGTCAGCGGTGGATGGTTGTTGTTATTATTGTGCCTACATCACATACAACAACATTGTCGTCTATGTTTTTACTTTCTGTTTTATTTATGTATTATTTTATATGTAACATATTAGGTATATGTGTGTGTGTGTGTATCGGTCGGTCAATGACCTCGTAGTTGTTTGAGCGATGCATATTATAATAAACGTGTTTAAGAGAAAAACAAAAGACAGACGAACAAACAATATATTATAATATTAATGATATACTAATGTAATATATATAATTTCCATGTCACAATGTTAGTTACCGTACTCCTCAGAAACGGTTTTACCGATTTTTAACAAATTTTATAAACATATTCAGTACCTAGATCTGAAAATTAGCTACTATTTAGATATTTTACATGCCCTTAAGTGATAAGGGTTGTTAACCCCAAAAAAAATTTTTTTGACGAAATTTTTTGTTTTTATTTTTTTTTATAACGTTACATTTAAAGCCCTAAACTTATAATTTTTATTACCAACCCCTATTTTTTTATATGTCAAAACGACGTTTTCAGGAAAACCTAGTAATAATTAGGTAGGTAGGTACCTATTGATGTAGGTATGCACTATGCATGTAACACAACTGTATTAATATTCATTCACAAATCGTTGCCACATTATTGCTTCACATATTTCATTAACTAGCTTCAGTCCACAGTATTGTCTTTATATCATTTGAGTGCCGGAGATCTCTTCATCAGATCCTGACTTCATATAAATTTAACTGATACATTTGAAGAGTTCCATCCAATGATCTATTTGTCTGTCTGTCTGTATGTTCATCAATATGTCAGAACCAGTCGAGTCAGTAATGTTATAACATCTCGCTAGTGTCATATATTCATATCAATAAACTCTAGTATATATTCACCTGTCTCGTCACCCTGTAAGCTGTATTCTCCACATCTCTCATAGTAACGTCACGAGTCCTATTACAGCTACCTCACTTTATAAACTGTTATTTAATAATATTTAAGACTTAATATAATTCTCATTAAAGAGTGAGGGAGACAGACAGAGAGAGACAGAGAATCATCAATTGACCTTTTTTATTAATGATTACTCCAAGTTTCCATCGTGTATTCTTCTCTTAACGTTTCCCTCATTATAATAATATTAGTGACGTCATAATCAGTCCGTTATCATTGTACGTAAGTCAGTGGTGGCCTAGTGGTTAAAGGCCCGCCTCTCATGCACGAGGGCGAGGGTTCGATCCTGGCCCGGGCAAGTACCAATGTGATTTTTCCGAGTCATAGGTAGGTATGTTCTTTCTAAGAGTACCTATTCAGACATCACTGATTAATGCATTCCCAAAGAGGGTTGATGTCAGGAAGGTGGACGGTAGTAAAAACAATTAGCCAAAACTATTCACAACACGTAAGGCAGACCCTGGCTAAAGCTGGAAAATTGCCAGGTAGAAGAAGTAGAAGTAAGCCAATCTGGCTGATGACGAATGTCCCGTAACTTCCAGGTGTTACCAGGAGCCTGCATTAGCTCACTAGGAGTTAACCTTCTAGAAGACAACAAACCGTCTCTCATATATTTAGACTAACATAGTACCTACATACTCGTTATACGACCATACTATGTCTTATAAAAAATAAATATAATTTATTATAATTAATTCATATGTTATTTTCGTTCGATGTAATACAAATTACATTATTATTCATTAATAGATTAATATAAATAATAATACTAAATAAATAACCGATGTTATAAATTTATCTTTATATGTTTCAAGTGTTAGAGAAACATTATTTTCCAACTGACACCACGATATACCTATACCTAACTAGCGATAACATTATTATATGTTTATTTAAACGACATATAGTCATTTTCAAACTATAAAGGTACATATGTTATATATAAATATATGTTAGGTATATATGTACAGTTCATTTCCCCGCCTCATATAAACCAGCAACATATCATAATATATGTACCTACCCCCTCACATAGTATGTTACCTACACGTGCCGCGTTTAGCGACTACAGGCAAAGGTGGTTATGTTTACGACGTATATGTAACAGACATACAAAACACACACACACATAATGATGTGTTCGTGAAGAACACGCTAAAGGTCCTAAAAAGGACTTGAAATAAATACTAGTGTGTGTCTCTGACTTTGTTCTCGTTAATTTAGAATTGGTCGTAATGTTTTAGAACAATAGCCAGGTGTAGTGGCCAGGGGTAGTGACATCTGTAGTGTAGTGTGAGGGGATAGAGTATATCTTACCTATATATTATTGTGTTGTTATTTAATCGGTAAATATAATCAAAATCAGTTAAGCAATTTATACTTCGAAGAAAAATAAAAACTGTACAGCTGGAGATGAAGTCCAGGTGTACAGGAGACCTGCTCCTTGCAAAAGAACTAACGTCACCAAATTAAAATATTCATACAGATATTTTAATTTATATACGTCATAGATTCCACCACAAATTCGTCTAAAATTAATTATTTTCAAAAAAACATAAAATAAAATTAATATAAAAAAATATATAAAAGAAATTCTTAATTAAATCAGTAATCATAATTATTAAACAATATAAATAATCGAAGTGTCGTGATCGACACACAGATATTTTTTATATATATGAAATATTGAATTAAAGTAGGTCTCATTGTACCTAAGTGTGCTACAACATACATGTTATATATCCAGACTCTGTCCGTCATCTCATTAACATTAATTAATATAACTATAAGGTTGACAGTACAATAGTTAATCTTCTATATATATAAAAATGGATTGCTGTTCCTTAGTCTCGCTAAAACTCGAGAACAGCTGAACGGATTTATCTCATCTTAGTCTTGAAATGTTTGTGGAGGTTCAGGGAAGGTATAAAAGCTGAAAAAAATTGATTCATCACTGGGAAAACCATAAAAACAGCCCTTTTCTATTCCCCATACAAACGTTTTTTTTGAGATTAGATTTGACAACTAACTAATATGTCAATCATTCTGTCGCACTTCAAAACACGGAGTTTTATGGCTTACAAGTAAACTCCAAAAATATAAATAAAAAAACGTAATAGACATTTGTTGATTATAGGGCGATACGAAGTTCGCCAGGTCTTCTAGTATTACATAATTATGGAGTGTTTAAACTATAGGAATAATAAAGGAAAGTCCATATGTTCACACACACGTACTGTTTCAGGAGGTCAGATAACCTTTCAGATATATCCTTGCATATGACGTCACAATACATCCAACACCTCGTGTGTATTTACAGGTTGTCTGTCTGTCCGTGTGTTCCCACAACGACCAGTCTATCAAGTGTCCAAGAGCCGGGGTATGTAGAGATCTAATGGTAGTAATAATTTGATGCGAGTGAGACCCTCTAGACTGGTTCTCCCTGTAGCCTGCCTCTCAGCGGCGCCCGCGCACTAATGTAGATAAACTGATGGCTGCGATCCCTTACTCGATTAATTTATGGTAATACGCTCCCATGGAGATACTCCGCCAACGACTCAACATTAAACACTCTTTATGTGGATCCGCCATCTTAGATCCGTCCCACTACAAACACTACCGACTACACTACATGGAAATGTGCTTACTACTATACAACTAGTAGTACATCGAGAGATCTAATTACTTATATGAAAATAAAATAATTAATTATTATAATAACGGTTACTAACACGACTTGAACATTACGGATAGATGAATATATGTACATACAAGTAAATATTAACGAGCGATTAAATACACGAGCTGTTTAAGAAGTGAGTTGAATTTAATCATTAATATGTAATACATATATATTATGATATAAGTATATAAATACAATTAATATGATGTATGAGGATCTCATGAAGATACGGCTCATAGGTCAAGATATGTTTTGTGTATACTTCTACAGAATACCTTCATAATAACACACTAATTGTTCCAGGTGATAGCTCCAGCACAAACTCCAAGAAAAGGGTGTGAGGAGGAAGACACTCGTATATCCTGATACATTTATTAGGTGGAAGTTAGTTTAAAACGAAACAAAAACAGAGCCATTCACACGTAACGTAATACGAGGAAATGTTCGCTGAGTTGAACCCATAAAGACCGATGAGGAATATTGAGGAAGGGAAGGAAGAGGAGCCGCGAGGAGCGAGGATGAGGGAAATACTCGTCTACAGAACAATATCAGGTATTGAGTGAGGACTGTCGACCGTACACCGCAGGACAAGACACACTACATACTTATATATAAACAAAATATCTGTTATAAGTAGATTCAATATATTGATACTAAATTAAATAAAAAAAAACAATATTTTCCACTCGCTCTGTGAAATAGTTACACTAATCATTTCAAAATATGTTATATACTATAATTTTTTTAACATTGTACCCCTTCTTGTGTGTTCAGTTCCGTTGTCCGCGAGTGTAGCTGTACTTGTTTATTCTGGGTTCACCCTCAACCGATATATTTATCGGTTATCATCCTACCTATCTACGTGTATCTACGTGTATCTACGTGTACGGCGCCGACTCAAAATCCGTGTAACACTTCACAAGTACGTTGACGAGAGTTACGACTCCCCCCGCTCGTACGTTCCTCGGTTCTCGTATCAGTTGTTCCTAGTTCGTGTATTAACTCCATCCATTAGTGTTCCGTCATAAACATCAACAGTTGATAGCTCTCATCGGTATTCATGTACGTTTGAAGCTTGAAGACAACACGAGACTGTACAGCAATCAATACACTCCTCAAGGACGCTCGTGAGCCGGCCTTTACTGTAGCAGAAGGTGTTTGGGTGTTTTTTTAAGTTATATTCTTCAATAATGATATTATTCTCCCTGTACAATAAATGTCAAGTGTATCGAGTGTCTCGTGTTAGCGGTGTATGAGTCTCTCTGCTCTCACGGTCATCAGAAGTCAGTCAACCGACCGAGTACATTATGTATGGATGTAGCAAAACTAATAGTAATAATTAAATCATTCTATACTATATAACTCGACAATAATATACGAAAAAAATAAAAGAAGAACGTTCCTCGAACTCACATTATCCTTTTATAAAACACATTAGGTTTTAATTGAATGATAAAACTGTATTGACGAAAACGTACATTACGGTCGCGACATTCACGCGGCTGACACACGACAGGTGCTTTATATATGTATGTATGTATATTGGCGAGGATTAAGAACCTCACAAGTTATGTTTATTATTACAAGCCTCCTCGACCACTTCTCTAAGTCACCTTTGTCATTTATTCTGATGCTCCGCCGACATTTGTCACAGTCGTTCAAACGGCCGGTCGTTTTATTGTGACGGCTCACGGCTCACGGCTGGTCCTCCATTAATGATGTATCAATATGCAACTTACTCGGTTATTATTTTTATTCGGTCGTCGAGAGATCAATGACACTACATATTAAAAATTAAACCTACTTAAACTGGTGGGAAGGAATAAATGTTTACGAAATCATAATGTTTAATAACTTACAATATGTCGTCAATGAGAGCAGGTAAACAGGAGGTAGGACTTTAGGAATACTTTTCAGTTTGTATGGGATGAGAGCAAGAAATGAGGTGAGCAGGATACAGCTATCACCAGCTCGAGAGTTAGAAATAATTCAATAATAAGAAAGTGCACCTTGCGAACCAGATTACATATGATATGAAGAATAGTCATTTAAGTTCAATGCGTTACCAACATGTCAGTGACACTGTAGTTAGGTCTTCCATCTTGGATAGAAAATTAAGTCTGCAGTTTAGTCCTCACAGAAACTTTCTGCAAACCTAGATATAACAAGAACTGAAAACACGACAAGGGAAGTTATAACTTCAATATGAAGACACATCATTCTGGATTATTATGTGGCAAGTGATCAGGAAAAAATGTTGCAACTGATACAAGGTGAGAAGTCAAATGATCACAACGTGAACTATGTGGTGACGCTGATAAAACCGGTTAGTGGGTCTTTGATTAGCGAACAAAAACTCTCGTTTAAGGGTTGCAAACGATTGGCTTTTGAAGGTTTTATTTAAAAAAATAAATTCTTGGGTGTATATTAATTAATTAATAATGTTTCATATTCTTAATGTTCCGCTGCCTTACAAATTAATATTTATTTTATTAAAATCGAATTAGTTCAATATCCTCTGAATTATTATACATTCGAACTCATTTTGCCCGAAAAAGGTTTTCATGGAGAAAATAAGGGGAGAAAAAAACGCTTTTAAGAAGCTTCTTGTAAATTTTAGTTTAACAATAACATACATATAACTATTGAAATTATTAAATGATTCTGTGTACTTAAAAATATGTGTTTCAATCAAAGTATATCACATTCTTTACATTTCAAATTTATCTAAAAATAAAAAATAAGAAAAAACTGGTAAAGTAGAATACAAAGTGTAATGTAATGGTTATATGTATTGTGTGATCCATACTATATGATGTACCAGGCGCGGTGGATTGATGAGCCAACAGCGACCGCTACCCTGGACACCATACACCTGGTAACGGTACCACCGGAGAATACACACACACACACACACACAGACATACACACACAAACTTCAATAGAATCACAAGAGTTAGGTATAAGCATGTACATATGTACATATGTATCAACAGGACACACTCCATTACACTCATTACTGGGGCCGCGAGAAGTAAATACATCAGTACTTATATATAAACATAATTATATTTTATTGTATGAATATTATAAGAACATTGTTATATGTTAATAGTATTGGTATCCTGTGGTTATACACGGAGTAGAAAAATTCGATGAAAGATGGACTTTAGTCTCAATAAACACACCGCGATATAAATCACAATGTGTACGTCGACATTGACGACAACGACTTAAGATAATTCTCATCAAACTATTATTATAATAAATGATTTGACGGCATTTTATTTATATAATAGAGAATATAAAATAATGATGTATATAAGGAATTTCTCATACTACGACATGTAACATTATATTATAATCATTTGTAATTTATAATTTTATTAATTACTATTAATAAGCTATAGACAAGAATACTTGACAGACCTATTTCGAATATATATACCTACATATATGTGCTAAGAATCTGCCTTATTATTTTAATAGAGTTCTTTTTATAAATGTATTTTTACTATACACCAATATATAATATTTCAGTTAATTCATTCTACTACTCGTAATAAATATTTATATATACTTATAGAGCGATAAATTTGATATTTTAGTAGTGGTTATTGTAATCATCATATTCTTACGTGTAGACTATAGTGTAGTGTTGAAGACTATACGGTCTAGACCTCGAAAGGTGGGTGGTAAGGATGTGAGTGTGTTAAGTCAGTGTGAGGTCTACCAGGTGTTACGGGTCCCCCCCCCCTTCCCCTCTAACGACTTGTTGGAGCTAAACAACTGAAAGAATATTGAATAATCCGTCAACCGCTGGCGGTCTGGTTAATATAAAGTGTACCTGTTAAATATTACTCAACATGTGCTACAGGTAAGGAAGGTCACCTGCACTACACCATCCGTCTTGATTTGAATCATATTTATTATAATGAACGTCAACTTTATATTCACACTCACTTCACCTAAGAACCGACCTCATTGACCTCTAACAATAAATATATTGAAACAGTTTTAATATTAATTAATTGATCAAGAGAAGCCTCCGATGCTTAAAAGTAGTTTTATAAAAGTCATACACACATTCCATTATATAATACAAACACCAATTTAATATTTATTAACCGTCAGTGGCAGATATCGGTTTGACATCATGCTGTACATTTTATAACTACACACACACACACAGAGGCAAATGGACACACACACATGGACAGTCGTACAACGTGCTTTATTATTGAACTAACATCAAAATTATGTGCAAATTAAATTATTCATTCTCTTCTTGTTATATAATAAATAAACAACCTTCATTGACTCTTATGGATTTTTTCCTAATAAATTAATAATCTCAGTTAGAACTCACGTAACATTTAAATATATAAAAAAACGTACTATGTCATCACTCATTATTTAAGACTGGCAACCTTGAGAAACAATCGTAGCGATTGTATATTCAATCAAACTGTTAAAAATACAACACGAACTAGATTCAGGGGTTCTTAGGTTTAATATAAATAAAGAAGAAATATAATGTGATGCACGAGGAACCAAGGAGATGTTTAATTGTTACAAAGATAAAGATAGAAGAGGTTCGTCTTTAATATAAGTGTTGTCTTCACAGAGGGAAGGTGAATGTTATATGTGGTCCATAGAAAAATTCTATGTGCTGATCGGATTCAGAGCAACAAACCTTCAAGTCGACATATTTATTATAGCCACAGCCTACTTACTGATGATCTCAACTAAGTATTCTAAGGTGCCAATTATTATAAATAAACATTCAGCAATAATACATTTAAATAAACTTATAGAACAGATTAAAATAAATGTATTTAAACGAAAAAAATATTTGGAAAGTCACTAAACTATTTCATGTCTTGAATTGAGTAGCTTCAAACTGTATGCGTATAAATAAATTAAATAAAAGAGTTAATTTTTTGTAAATATAGGTATACATATACATATAGTATGTACGTAATAAAAATATCTGTATATGAAGTTTGGCTGATTGTTTCAACCTTCACTTGGTTTTACTAAAGAGATGTCTACAATGACTTTAAAACGATGGTTAAAGTTGATCGCATCGTAATACTACGTAATCCAGTATCTACATATTATAGTACCTATATTAAGTTAAAAAAATTAAATTCCTCAAATAACCTTGATATCGTTATTATTTCAAGTTTGTATAAATACCATTACTCAGTTAATACTCTATATTACGTTATCAGTGTTATCATCTTATAGCCGACCCACAACTGATACCTACTCAATTAACTCACGTCGGTACTGACTTAAGAATATGGAATTTGATGTTGAAAAATGAGTTTAAATTAATGATAACCTTTAGAGTTAACTATAGAAGATAATCCGTTAATAAATTCAATTAATATTACCATCTCTATACTATTCATAAAAACCGTATTTTGAGGTCTTGTTTCAAAACTAACACATGTTATAAGAATTATTAGTGTGACTGAAATTATAAAGAACATGCCCTGACACCTGTCTCTCTTGTTTAATCAAATAAGAATATACGAGATGAAAGAGTCGTAACTTCTCATCATTCAATGTATTCACGGTGCGTGTGTCGGGTCCATCGTTGGAGTGAGAGGAGCTTCAACAGTGACTGGGACTTGTGACCCAGGTGTAGGTTTAAGAGGCCCCTATTTAACGCGCGTTAAACACTCACCTACCTAACCAAATTTGAAACGAACCTACTAGGGCTGCCTTCGACGTACGTTCCAAGAATGAATTAATGTGAGTTCTGGACAGGCCCAAGTCTTTTAGTAGGTTGTAGAAAGATTTAGCTGTTTTAAACCTCGATCCCACTTCTTGTAGGTAGTAAATGTAGAATTCAGTATTTTGAAATAAACAATTGCTGGTACAACCGCGTCAAGGGAACTCACTCTGTATATTTACGTCAACATAGCAGTCCAATCAATATTGCAAAATATATTAATTATAAAATTAATTCTTAATATACAGTTCCTTCAAGCATCGATACATGTTTTCTTTAAACTGTTCCTAAACTACAGATTCATAGAATCAAATGTAGTTCTGTTGTATGTCAATTACTTTACGTTTAAATATCTTAAACTTCCTTGTTTTATTTATGAAACATCTTAAGAGTATATTTTGTGTACATTCATAGGTATATACCGTTGATGTTTATCTTTAAAATATCAGTGCCAATAAAAAACGTTACTTACGAACTTTGGATCGAGTGCTATATTTCAATGGTTCCGTTAGTGTAGTAAGTTATACATGAAGTCTTTAAGAAATTTAAATTGAAATAAGGTAAATATCATATGATTAGAATGACAGTGATCCCTTTTGCTATACAACTATCTGTTATAAAATTGTCCAAAGTTGAATGACCGGGTCAGTGTTCATGGAAGGCTGTGTAGCTGCCATCCACGATCCGCACTACCGACAGCTCCTGACGACCTTACGCCGCGTGCCCATTGGACATTATATAACACAAACACACACGACATACATTATATTATAATACATTGATAACAACAAAGTAATATAATTGATAATATATTCCACTCTTCAATTAAAGTTTATCAACGTCACGTCACGTCACTTTCAAGTAATGTGAACTCCTTTAAACTCAAACCAAATATGAATTCTATGTAACAGTATCCTTGAAGTGTTAAAAATCGTAAATAAGTCGTGAGTGTTGTACGAGTCGTGTGAGGAGTACAATGGACACGTGCCTAATAGACAGCAGTATCAGATGTCTGCGGACTTGGACGCTCTGTGTTTATGACCGCGGATAATTTATTACAAATAGGAATAGTTAAGGCGCGGATCTTCGCGAAACGATAACATACTACAAAAATACAACAAAACTAATTAAATATATTCCACAGTGAGTACTCGTTTAATGGAATACTTCGAATCTATATCAAATTAACAATATTTTCCTATAAGAATCATAAAAAAAATTATAACTTTAGAAACATCTCAATCATCTCTCTCAATCACAGACAGAGAGTCTGCTGTGCCCAGGGTCACGTGAGTGTTAACTGTAATCTTCATAATATATAAGTATTATCAGCAGTACATATGTAAAGTAATTCTTGCATTAAACAGCAATACTTTGTTTGAGACAAGCTAATGACTATTATTAGCTCGCCGGCCGCTCGCTCTGCTTGTAATTATATTCTTATTAAAACAGTTCATTAATCAGCCACGCTCATAATTACTCGGACCACAATCGATATATTTCACGTGAGCCTTATAACACACCCGTCCGTCCGTCCGTTCGTTCCGCGTGTGACCTGACCTTTACTCACTTCCGATACCGAATCCTCCTTCTAGGTATAAAGGTGTTGAACCCTAGGTGTCCAGCGGGTTCATTGACCTGCCCGTTGTGTGTTCCGTACAATAACCGAGCATGATCACTGTTATGCGGATGTTTTTGCCTGGAATTGATTAATCCTTCCTATGTTAAGTGTAGTCCATGGAGCTGGTCGCAGCACGCGAGCCACTGCCTTGTCGCCGGTTCAATAATTATTATGCTAATAGTTGGGCCTCTCCCCTCGCACGTGAGTGGAATGATCTTTGAAGACATAGATTAAGATTCAATTACATCTAATAACTGCTGGCTCGACCGAATACTGTTCGACCTCGGGTAGAGGATGTATTACAGATGTTAGTTTAATGTGGACCTTACTATTTGATTCGTCTTGTTACAAAAATATAGACGAAAAAAATATATAAGCATGTAGAAGACTGTCCAAGAGGCAAGCTCTAGTATGTACGCCTGAGCCTCTCTGTGCGTCTGATTTGCGTGCGCACGCGCAACAAAAACGTCATAATCGCCGATCGCTTGACGTGTGACGGACAGCTCCTAGTTCAAGCCGTGGCCAGCGAGCCGTGTACTCGACGTCACTATAAATCGCGAATCGCGTAACTTGGCTTTTTATATCTCTCCTAGACGTAGCCTGTTCAATTATAGCTTGGGAATGAAGCGGGAATTGTTAAAAGCATAAAAACACACCTGCCTCGGAGTATCTAACTGATAGGATGCTTTCGTACTGTTTTATTACATACTTATTTCCTTTAAAAAAAGCTAATTACAATGTAACATTATATAGTTATGGTCGCATGCTAATTATCTGTAAAAGTCATTTAATATGTACAGGCAGACAGGACCTAGCGACTCCTGACGTTTTTATGAGAATCACCTTTTGTTATCGTAAAATATTTGGATTTATATTATAAGGGTTTTTTCAACTCCACTTAGAACAAGAGAGTCGTGAAGTAAGTTAAAATTGTTACATGTTTTAACAAGTATTTTAAACGAACACACTATACTAAAGAAAGCATTCTGTTTTATGATTTTAAGTTGTGACATTTAAAAATAAAGTAAATATGGTTATGTATGAAAATATGTTCGTTTATATTAAGCAATAAAACCTGATTGTGAAAATTTTGTTAAAACAATTAAGTCCGTGTAAAAAATATCAAATTTGTGTCGACGTTACTAGAATATATCCAAAGAGCAGTTACATTTTATAACGTAAAGGTAGCGTATATGTAGGGTCATAGGGATTATTTGTAGGCAACTGACTCTGAGTTACCTTTTCTCAAATAGACGTGAACTATCTACTATTGTAAATGATTTATGATGATAATAATACTGAACTCAAAATACACGCTCCGGACAACACTTAGGACTGAGGTGAAGTAACCGTGGCACACGCTGTATGTACCTACATATATGACACAACGGACATACAAACAACACAATAAAACATTACCTCCGACTATATGAACACTAGTACATGTATTATGTACATGTACCTACTTATATACAAATTAAAATGTCATTTAATCACGCAACAGACGAGCATTTATTTAGCTAACTATTTATAATAGTGGAATTCAGTTAAAATGCAAATTACATTAGCAACGTAATTTATGTTAATAAGCAATAAATGTTTAGTTATAATTGAAGCGTCATTAAAAAATTAATATATATTTTCATTTATTATAATATAATCACACACGTAGGGAGTGATCTCAGATAGTATGAACGTGAAGTTTCTCTCAAATATATTCCTCGCCTCAGATCAACCTGTACACTATCTATTGTATTCAGTCAGCTCATGTCACTGTCAAACCAATCCGAATGTCACTTGATTGACAGTGATGAGATATCGAGCCGTCACCCGTCACCCGTCACCCGTCACATGACAACATTATTCTCTGAACCGAACAATTTTCTATTCCACAACATTATTTCAAGTATGAATACACTATATTTTCAAATATAATTTACATATTATTGAATATAATTTATATTAATTATGTGATAACAAGATAAATATTCTAATTGATCCATTTAATATGTATATCTATCAACAGTTTTCTAGACTTAACGAATTCCAATAAAAAAAAGAAGGAAGGTCATCTTATTTAAGGAACATAATATTTTGTTGTTCATGAACTTGTTTATTTTTCTTTTTACATTCTATTGAGATGTATCATTGTCAGAAACCATATCTGATACTAATTTAAGATCATTCAGTCATCACTTATTCCTATACCTACTACCACTTACACAGCGATCCTTAAACTATGTATATTGTCAACAACTTATTAAAACACAACATATTGAAAGCGTCTTTCTACAAATAGGCAATTCGTAAACCAAGAAATTTGCTCTTCTCAATAAGCTAAGCTGTGTCGACTGTTGTGTGTGAATGTGTGTGTTGGAGGGTGGAGAGGGGTGGAGGGGGGGGGGGTAGTGCGAACCTTAAGTGAATGAGAACAAAACGAAGGGGACACCGCGTTGATGTAGATTTACGTGCGGCGGCGGGTGCAGTACCGGGCTGACCTGCTGCAGGCGGCCGTAGAGACTCCCGTACGGTTATAATACTAAATATACTACATATATAATGTGTGGGTTTAACTTTGCGTTATGATTTATTCCGATAGTAAAACTTTCCGGTACTCTTTGCCGAAGTTCATCTCATAATACCTTCTTGTATAGACTTCGACAACTTTCATCAGATCCAATCGTTTCTATGTTACACGTATCATTAGGTCAGTACCGCAGCCACCACAGGTCTCCTCGGCTCTACACGAGTCTCATATTCTTGAACACTCGCCAGTCTCCACGCATCCCATGTCCATTATTTGAGCCAGGATCGCGAGCTGTAGATAGCACGGCGGCAGACATTTTTTGCTGTCCATTTTGTTTGTTTGGTTTATTTTTGTTTTCGCTTTGTCCACATACGCTAATACTGACTACCGCTTGTAGGCTCTATGTCCTTAAGGAATTCTTTTAGCCGGACTCGTGGAGCATTCAATTTGCAAATAATAACCCACAGCCTGTCTGTTATCGCCCTGCTTAAGATAAACGACTGTTGCTCCTCTTGAAAACTTGACGATATGCTCAAATTAAAGTTAACATAATATTATCAATGACTAAGGGTAATGTTACTCGTAAATGATGTTAAAATAGTAAAGAATTTAAACAGTATTGAAGTACGAATCCAAAAAAAATGTACGTAATAATATACATTTGGTATGTATCTAAAGAAGACGGGCTTCTGAAGTTATTTAATTAGTGTCGTGATAATATTCAAGGGACGTATAGATATTGTGTTTTCGATAAACGAATAAAACGCGAGGTATTAGTGAGCAGCCTTCACACAAACATTTAATGACTATTATCTTTGAACATAAAGACGACATAAACACGTGTCAAATTAAAAACTCCCTGTTAGCATTAATGATATTAAAATAAATGCCTTTGTTCTGTTGAGAACATTCCTGCGAATTACGTGACGTGTGGTGGAAACAACGCTATGTACACACTCGTAATGATGGCTAATTATATTGGTATTATGGAGGCTGATGTGGACGGGCTGGTGACACCACACCACACCACACCACAGCGCGTCACCAGCACCCGGACAGCTGCTCATTAAAGCCTGGCTGCGCACACGCACGCCTCGAGATACTTCCAGTACAGTGTTTTAAACGCATTTCGTTGCTATCTGTCATCGGGAGCGGACGTGTCCCCGGATAGATTACATCTCCCCCCGGTGGTCATTATAATAAACTCACCCGGGATACACGCCGACGACGACTAATGAAACAAATCGAATTTATCTCCTTATATACAAGCTTAGGTACACCGAAATATGTACCGCGGAGTATATACTGGTTGATGGTGACTGAGATTTGTAATTGATACGGTTCTAACTTTTTAGATGACAAAAATTAATTCAATTATTGTCTGTAAGAAGAAAATTACAGAAGTCGATGTACCTACGAAAAGAAAACTTCGTGTCTAAATCTTACATGAATAAGTAAGTAACGTTTAAAATAACGTAGTATACGCTACTGATATACATCATTATGAAAGGATTCGAGAGGAGAACATATGTATACTATGAAAATAATTAAAAAGGTGAGTTATCTTTAAAGATAACTTAGAACCATACTCGAGAACTGTACTATACAGTTTTCTTTTGATAATAAAAAGAGTTCAATTACTTGTTATAACTATGTAATATTTTTTTTAATTTATTTTTAGCAATTGTATATTTAAAATTATTTAATTAGGGTCAGTCTATTCGTTGACTTAATTAAAAACTGGAACCAAGTAGTAAAATACTAAAAGAAAATGAATACATATACATTAACTAATAAGAAATGCCTGAATATTTGCTGAAATGTTCTTTGAATTTGATTGAATTTGAATTGAAAAATAGGTCAGTATTCTTAAATTTTTTGCATTTCCGTAAGCATTTAGCTCACTTATTGTTATTTATATCTGATAAGGGACGTGACCTTAGCGTTATCAGCGACACGCGTCCGTCAACACTCAACATGTGATATGACACGAGATCTACGAAACATCGATTGGCCGCATTGATTATATGAAAAGATTGTAAAAAATATACTAAATAAACAAAAAATAACGAAGATGAAGTAAGAAAGTCAGTATGACAATATCGGTGGTCATAACGCTAGGTTGTAGTGAGAAGCCTCATCTCGGAGGTTTCAATCTAAGTTCGCTCGTTGTCGGTCCGTTACTGGCCCACTACGAACACGATATCTACCAAACTTTTAATGAATCGCCCTGTTTTTGTTTCTCCACGCACACAATACTAACTTTGGTGCTTTTCTTTTATATACAATCATCATATTTAATATTTCTGATACCCTTCTATATTTCATTTTGTTAACGACATTACATTTCTTTCCTGCGTGGTTCAATATATTATTATTTTTATATATAAATCTCGTTTTATTTCTACTAAACTATTTTGATATAAAAATAATGTATAGCATAAAACAGACTTCGGCATACATACTTTTGAAACAACTAACTTTTAATTAATTCGACCGATGCTCGCAACGCCATCTATTTTCCTTGTCTAACAACTAACAAATATTTTAGTATTAATTATAATAATTTCCCCACCGCTCCTAGTCTACCTCATTGTAATGTTTAAAATCCACATTAGAAGTTACAAATGGCTTCCCGTGCTCCTGGCACCTGCATGACGTGTGAATTTTAATTAAATATATGCTTATTACATTAAAGGGATGGAAAAAAATGTTTTATTTTATTTTATATACGTTTATATTATTATTTACTGTATTATAATTTTCATTGCATGTCTATAAATTCCTTCGCCCCCACACAACCTTCTCTCATTTTAAATTGGCGCGTTAATTCAGTTTAGAGACAGGTGGCGCCATCTTTGGATCTCCTCGGTCAAATAAAACCTGCCCTTTTAATAATAACAATGACTTCATGTTTATTGTGAAATATTAATAATTTTATGTTATAAAAGACATAAAAAACAATGACAGTCGTTTAGAAATTAATAATTATATTATTGGTAGGAAATAAAAGATTGAACAAGAAACCGGTTGACGTTTAATAATTAAGATCGAAACGAAAAGAATACATGACAGTGTGATAAATTATTTATATAAACAGTGTAATGATCCAAGTACCTAGTTGGTATATAAAAGTTTTAGCGTGTACAGATATGTTTTATTTAATAAGCATGCAGCGCTCAGTCCGCGGCCCGCGGCCCGCGCTTAGCAGTAACGAACGAACGCAGCATAATACATTGAATATAATGCAGTGAGGTGATCTCGAATGTACGATGGTCTGCTTATGTGTTTTTTATTTATCATGTTTAATTAAGCGAATCGTGGCTCGATGGCGGATGGCGGATGGCCATTGTCCGACTTACCTGTTCAGCGATTTAAATCTGCTCTGTTCCCGCCGACCGGTTACAACGACTTGTCATCTGGCTTTTTATTTTCCTTAATTTATTTACCCCTCAATATACCACAACACTGAGCCACCGTATATCAAAATATTTGTATGTCGTACTCATATCAACACGTGCACAAACTATCACATTTAATATATTACTCAGTCTTCATTGTCAAAACTCAAATGTCATATAACAGTCTGTTTGTCAATTCTTTTTTTAATTCGTGTTACCATAACAGAGCAAAGACATTCCGTCGTTCAGCCGAACTTTCCCGGCGTATTTCGCGGCGAGTGTTTCGCGCCACGCGTTCAAAACACAGGACGCGTCGAGCGCGTCTGCTGCGGGCTGCCCGCTGCGACCTGTCACTGCCATCCGTCAACATGGGGCGGACCGAGGGTCGGGCCTCGAACGACTTCGGCTAACTTCGGAACGCTCGTTCCCGCAGACGCAAGGTGATCTGAGTCACAGTGATATTTGCGTACACGATTTTTCTTATCGATACTGATTATACGACAAATTACGAATACATCCTGGTGAGTGTTACGTTTGTTATACTTTTAAACCGTACCATATTGTATATTTACCGAAGTTGGCGTTTGTATTGAGCATTTACGATACGTATTTTTAGCGGACTGTAGTTGTAAACTTTTAGTAACAAAAAAACTAGTTTTAAGTAAAAAGACTATTAAAAATCATGTTCGGTATAAATTATAATATTGATTAGTTGCTACGTGACGACTTGCGAGGGCTTCAAACATGATTTAATTTATAATTATTGTTTTATAACCTCAAACTTTGACGCGTAAGTAGTTTGCGCTGCATGTCTCATAGATGTCGCTGTCAATGAGAATAACAAGTGAGGTGCAATAATAATCTTTATGACGTTTATTAATTAATTTCTTAATATTTTTTTATTAACTGTATTTTATTTTGCATTATTATGTTTTTTATTATATCCAACAAATACTTTCTAGATTTTTATAAAAGACAAAGAAGTATATATTTTTATATAGATATATAAGTGTGTATATATAAAAATATTACAATATGTATTAAAAAATAACACAAAAATTCTACATATATAACTTAAACATCATTTTTGTATGTTTTGTGAGTTGCGATCTAAGTTAGAGTTTCATACTAAGACATTGTCAGGTCGCTTTAGCGAGCCTTCCCTTCAAACAGCGCGGCGATAGTTAGAACGTAATAATGTTAAATTGAATACTTAGATATTGTGTACAAATGTTTAGTTTTTATACACGTAATGGAAGTTTAGTTACAGTTAAACTTAATATAAATTAAAAAATATATCTACATGTAAATTATATTTATGCGGAGATTATTATCTTTCGGTACAAATTATTCTGAGTGATTAAAATGTGATTCTGTGTAGAACCTTATTGAATTCATATTATTTATTATCAGAGATGGTAAAAATTGTAAAGGTTTCATTAATGTTGAAGCCAGGTACGGATACTAAGTTTGTTTGAGTCGTTCACACAGCAGTTTCCTCCTTTGTATAACGTATAACCATTTAAGGATATATGAACATAATATTTTCGTTTTATTAACATTAAATTGACAAAAAAAAATATTGCCGTTTGACATACGCGACTATAAAATACAATATACTTTTTAATCGATTGTTTATTTATTTGAAATCAAAACGACTAGTTCGATAAAATTATTATTAACAAAAATTTTATTTAAGCAAGGAATATTTTAAGTACTCTAAGATTATTAACAGATATTAAACACACGTGATATACACCTGCAAAGGTGCACTACGTCATATAAAAATACTTCAATAAACTGCTTAATTATAAATAAAATATAATTTTATGGTTCACTAGGAAATTAGCATTAGTCAGATATGACAAGAAACTTGACGTCTGCCTTATTAATATATTATGATAATAAAAAAACATGATCGTGAGAAACAAACAATAAACAGAGTGACGCTCACGGAACTGTTCATGAATATTAATAGATACGTTTATTATATAATAAATATAGTTAAGACACAGGTGGAGCCGGGGGCGCGCGTGTAGTATGTTGTAGTACATTAATATATGTGTTCACTATCAGTACAATTAGCAGGCAATTATAGAAATCATTTGTTAACAGTGACGCACAATCTTCAATATGAACACGATCACCGGGTTTATAATTATATGTAACTTATAATGTACGGCTCATTAGTGTGACTCTGACCAGCTGCTAATATATTTATAGGATTAATACATCGGTTTAGATTTTGATATTATTTTTATTAAGAAGATATTTATGTAGTATAGTATGACTTAATCAAAAATTGAGTTCGATGTACGTTGAAGTTAAAACTATTTAAATTAAATAAACAAAGTTGTGTCATACATTTCTCATGAATCGCCCAGGAGTTACAGTACAGGTATTCCCTTTATCTTCATCCTCAGTTTGCATAAACTTTCATCCGAATTGGGTTAAAAGCGAAAGTAGTAATGTATTAAAAATAAACACAGCCACGAACTTGTAGCGCCATCTATTGTCCGCGTCTGACTACATACAAAATACAACGCTTGTGACGAACTACCGGGAATTTGGTTATAAATTTCAGATATTGTTTTTATTTAACTCAGTAGATTTGTGTAAAAAAAATTTAGTTGTCCACACATACGTCCATATTCATTTTCATTATACTTGTAATTTTGGTGACAAGTACAGAGTAAGAAGTAACTATGAACTATGTAGATTAGTCAAACATTTAAGTATTGTTCCTCTACAACACTTTTCTATATATTTTGACCTAGATTTCAAGGACTTCCTTTTTTTCTTACATTACCCTTTAAACTTTTCAATATAATATTATGAACTCAATTTCAACGACTTAATCTTTTTCTTACAATACCCTTAATTATTTTATTAAAAGTAAGACAGTATGTTGTACAAACATTTATATATGTATATGTGTTTATCACTAGTATATGTATATGTGTTTATCATTAGTATTATTATCTTGAGACAAAAAACAGATCTTATAATATTATATCCCATAAATCTATAATTTATAAATATGACTTCAAGGAAGCCAACACCAAAGACTGTTATAATTCTTAGTGAATCTCAACTATGAAATCTTTATCAACATCTCACAAGCACCCCTCGAGTGTTCCGGAGCGAACTACAGACATACAAAAAAAACATAATTTACGACCTTCAAACAATACTAGTGATGCATCACTCGTCATAATGGTCAGATTACTAACGTCTACATGTGACAGATTTACGACTACCAGCATAATAGAGGCCTGAGAAAGAAACTCATAGGGCTGAGTCGGCTCACGTGTGAAGATGAACAGCATCACGACAGAGATGATCACGTGGTCATGGAAACATTCGCCGACCAGAAATATCTGAGCGTGTCGTGTCACATAATATATAATGAACTAATTAATAATAAATCACTTGTCCTGGATTACACGTGACGCGGCCGACGAACGCATCCGGTCCGGGACGGCTCTCGTTTATATTTTTCATTATTTTTATTTACAAAATAATAATTTACGAGCCCGGAGACCGCCTTCCGAGAGATTTAGCGAGTGTGTCATAGACTCGGGGACGCGATCTGTGTTGAGTTATAGGCAGCCCGCCTTTATGGTTGACTCCGGGAAGGTTGATATATCGCCGTATTAATAATTTTTATTATTAAAATTCATAATGTCGACTGCAAAGGAAAATCAGATTACAGAACAATAAATACTTCGTATCGCTCTCACAAACAAATAAACAGACGCTCCGTATATAACAGGCTTGTAATTACATTTCATTTAATGAGTCTTAATTTTTTCAGTCGATATCCTCGGAGATGAGGTCGATATTAATCGAAGTTAATTATTTTAATGTTCCACATACGTTCTAGACCTCCGTGTAATTCTTTAATTCGTCGTACACATGTTCATATAACCATCTGATCGTACAAACTGTTACATTAAGCCGCGTATCAATTAATACATTACGTCACATATAATGACTCCATCCATCTCCAAGTCCTCGTCTCCACCAGCCGGCTGGTGAGTGTTCTCGGAGCAGTCTCAGCTTGTATTACAAGGCCGAGTACTAATTCGCCCGTACTCCCACTCGCTCGTACTCGATTATTTATAATAATATGGTTTTGTACGTTTTGTTTTCGATTCAACATAAATAAGATATGTTATTTAAAGTCAATATATCACTTGACAGGTGGTAGGAGACTCCTAGCTGGAGGAGACGGTAATAGAGACCTTATATTCAGGTATTAGTGTTCATAATCGCTCGCAGATGCCGTCGGGTCGTCGGGTCGGAGCAGACGTTTCATAAGATTTATAAATATATCAAAGTAAAGCTTTGTGTGAATGCAGTGAGAGATTTTAATCAACGTCCGAACGCACGGCAATAAGTCCGGGGCCGGGGTTCGACTCCCGGCGCAGGGACAGGATGCTCCACAGATACACATTCATTACAGATAGGTTACTAGACGGTCAATAATTAAAAATTACCAGAATAACTTGACGAAGTATCACTCGTCAGCATTCAATGTTTTATTAATTATATACTAAGAAGTCTCTAATACATACTTATTGTAGTGTCGTGAGCGTTACACATAGATCTTATTAAAACTGTAGCTGTGTCAGGTCCCAGCATGGTACGATGGAGACGAACCAATAATAATTATAATGAGAAGGAGCAGCCTGTATGAACCTGAGACGTTAAATCTGTTATTTGTTATTGGACAACCTGACGCACTCCTCCGACCATAATGATATTGTAATTTATGACAACAATACGTCACACTATGGATACCGACGAACAGACGGAGATAAACATATGTACTGTACATATATATAGAAATTATCTTTATCGAGTATGGACAGTTTGTTTTAAATTACTTGTCATATTTCAACTTCGACGAAGATTTAGATCAATCGAGCACGCGAGCGTCTCCGCGGTGTGTTACTATATATACAGGGGAAGGTGCCCACACTGTATGTATGTATTCTGTTTATTAGAACAAAAAGCAGGTCGTCCTCCACGACGTGTGTATGTACCGCGGGACAGCTCTATAATAACGGCTCGGGTCGGAGCGGCGTGATTTATACCATTTATTAACTGACGGTGACACCATCGACATTACTACACGTTAATTGTCCGTCCACCGACCGCGACTCATACTACTGGCGCCATCTAGTGACACGCACGCGGGATGAAGGACGTCAGGGAGAGAGGAGACTCTCCGGCCGAGCTGATGCTGGAGGAGAGCGCGTGAGGGTAATGGGGCGCGAGGAAGCGTCGCGGAGTGTTCGTGGGCAGCGGAGTGAGCGTTGCGTCGGCGGCTGCGGGCTGGCGCGGCGACTCGGGGACGCTAATCGATGCGCGGCTCTGCGCTGTCTTCCGACGGCGGCCATTACGCACCTTTATGACCAGCTCGGCCTCCGCCGCCCCGCGCGCCGCGCCCCTCGGCCCGCTCTAAGGCGGCACATGACGAATCAATATGCCGCCGACCGACTCGACACTTATTTATTTGACGCGATTTATTAGCCGAATGCCTGTAAACTTTTATGCGCCCCCTCCGAGCGAGGGATGCTTTATGATGGACACGGCCGTGATAAAATTCTATGTTTCTGCTGCCGTCTACTTTTATTGCGATTTGGAACAGATGTCAGGAGAATTCGGAGGGCTTTCTGTGGGCGAAATTATTCCTAAATTTTAACGACGAAACGTGTCGGTTCTATCCTTTATGTGATACCTCCAGCGCCTAGCGTCCCACACCGAGGAGAAGTTCTCATTAAAATATTTAATAACACCGCTCACACACATACGTACATTCATAATAATTCATGTGAACGATCGCTCCTCCTGAACGGTTTAAGGAACACCTTATGTTGTAGCGGGAGAGAGGAATTAACAAAATAATTACAAACTACTCCAATGAAAAAGATAATCAAGAGCTTTTCCTTTTCTACAGTCGCGTAAGACTTTGTCTACTGTTTCTTTGTTCTCACAAAAGAAACAAAAACTTAAATCCAGATCTGAGCAATCTGAGTCCTGAAATCACAATTTATTTGTCTTTAAATTAACTTTCCTCTCATAATTATTCACAAGTATATATTTATAGGAAAATAGTTTATTACGAGGACCCTCAATATCGACACACACCACATAATTAATATCAAGATTTTGAAGTGACCAAAAAAGTAATAAAATTATTTTGAAAATTAATTTAAAGTTTGAAAAGTTTATGTCATCGAGTCATTCTGTTTTAGTTGTATACTATAACAATCAAACGAACAGTACGATGATGCCTTGATCCCGGTTCAAACAGCAGTTAGTTAAAGTTTAATGTCAACGGAACAGCAATTAACGTGACTTTCTTTTAATTTACTCGCGAGTTCTAGACTAAACGTCGGATGGAAAGTATACCTATTTTTTTTTTGACAAATATTGCGGAAGGAAGACGTCGCTTCCGTCGTTTGTCTGTTTAGATGTTTTTTATGTTAATCACGGAGATTTCGTAGATTTTCTTTTAGCACGGCATTTATTTAAAGAGGCCGCGGTCACCCTTAAGGTATTAGCGACGCGGTGACCACGCTTCGAACTAGTTCGAGGATAGGATGTCAATACTACAAACTAAACTAATCTATGCGTAGCCAGACCATGGATATCAAATGTGTCCTTCAAATGATAAGTATTGTAGGTAATATAGGTTTCTGCGTCGTTGTCAACTTCCGTAGTGTATAGACGACCCGGGCGACATAATAACAGTAAATCATAAACATTTATTTACGTAACTGGAGTAACAAAATGAACCTCATATAATATATATTATATGATGTTTTGAAATCTGTCCCGCCGGCCGGCTGACTGTTAATTTTTACGGGCGCTGTCTTTATGAAGCATGGTCGCCGTAACGTTTTATGGCCGCCATAGACGAGGACAAAGCAAACGACTTTGTAGTCTAATTAATTTGATAATAAAACACCTCAGCGACCTTACATTGTTTACACATTTTTACGTATCAAGTTTTGATTACAGAGGAATCTAATGTAGATGTACTAGTGTCGGTACTAGCACCTTAAACTACTCTTGTCTTGTGTATATTTTACAACCAACATTAATGTATGACGTCAAAATACTTTCAGAAAGGAATATCTAAAGATTTTGTGATTTGTGTACAATGTTTAAGACGCCACACTCGCTTGATCCAGCTCGTCTCTGTTCATAACACGAGGATATAGAAACACTTCGTGACCTCCATCTTAGTTTGTACGAAGTGCGAAAAACAAACGCGTCTGATCAATCCGCCGATTGGAGGTGGCCCACTTGCGAATGCAAATGTAAAACAATTTCCCTCCCCCCCGTCAGCCCCCCTTCCCCCGCGGCTCCCTCCTCTCCCCCAGCCTCGACCCCGGGGCCGGAGTCGCTCTCGTACTCGGATGCATAACAGACAAACAGGCTAATCCTGGAGTTATCGTAAATTGTCAGTTTATGACGTGCGGAACGATGCGGAACGGGGGGTAGAGTTTTCTAATTTGGCCCCCCTCCCCCCCTCGCCCCCCTCACACCTCGCTCCTCACCGCCTTCGCCCCTTTGATGCGCTAATTCGTGTAAGCAGTTTCTGAACGTGCTCGTTTCCACTTCACCCCGCTCTCCCCCTCTCATACCTTCACAGTACACTCGGTACAGTCTCCGCAGCAGCTCTTAACACCAGCCAGTAGGACCTATTTTAGCACAACACATGTGCAGTCCCACCTTGCAAGGTTATCGCCGGCTTTCACATAGAGTCGTGCAATTTACATACATTTGTTTGTTGTTAGGTTTTTAAATTGCGTATTAACGGTGTTAATAGTCGATGCTGTTTCGGTGAACGTTGAAAATTAAAAACTTATGACTATCGCCCGCCTTATACACAATATAATATTTCGCACCACATTGAAGACGTCGACTGATATTTTGTTTATAAATGTCTGAAAATATGAAAGCTTCAAAGTTTTTGTTACAATTTATTTATAATGATAGTTTGAGATACATATATAAGTATGGGGTTATAAGTTATGGGGAGAAAGTAATAAATATAACTAGGTACGTACGTATAACACGTGTTCTACGAACATATTATTTTACATATACAAATTATTATTTATTTTAATATTTCGTCATCAAATCATTAATATTAAACACTAGTTTAGATCTTTCTTCAACAGTCCTAGGTCTCTGATAATGAAAGCTGTTCGGTCGACCTATCCTTCTGTGTGTGTGTGTGTGTATTCGTGAGTGTGTGCATGCGGCCGTCCTGCGCGGGCGCATCACCAATTAATACTGTTCGTTTAATCGATTCCTTCAATTATTCCCTTGTGATATACGTTAATCCGTCGCAGTCAGCCTCCCGGGATATTGTTGGCTATAATTACGTGGGAGGCGACCTCTATTGACAAGTATTGATGTTTTTAATCTGATGTTAGGATAAGACATCAGTATGCGCGTCCGTCCGCTTTTGATTTGTAGCCGGCCGGCTCATTGGCCGGTAATTATTGTATTTCGACGCGATATTCCTTGGCATTTCTCCCCGGCCTGATTTATTCGGAGTCGTGTGATTTTTTTGGTCGTTGTTTTTATTACAATAAATATATTTTCCGTTCACCTCCGCCGGCTCCCCGGGGTGTCTGTAATACGTCATCCTTCAACACGTTACTCGGTAGGACACATGATCACTTCCATTAGGACGGCTCTCCCGACGGATTAGCGCCGCCATCGACGGCTAATGAGATGGAGAAAATATTGGAAATACGACAAATAATAATATACGTGACGGGCCGCACATGAGACACGGCTCCCGGCTCTGGTGACGGCTGTAGGAGGATGGATGGTGACGCGGGGACAAGGAGAGGATCTCAGTACTAGCATAGTCATTAGGATCTATTAAAATAACGCTTCGAGGAAATATGATGTCCACGTCAAAATAACATTCATAATTATTTGAGCCTATCGCGTACATTTTTACACGAATTACGTGAATTCAGATTCTGCTTTCATCGCTTTATTCGATTGTATTCTTTGTTTCTTAAAATACTCAATAAAATCAGACGATCGAAATCCGTTTATCTGGAATTTAGACACGATGCTTAATGTAAAACACAATACTTATCCTTTATCCACTAGCCTTTTTCTAACAGCACCTTATCCATATATAATTAATTACCTTCACACATTATTAGCGACTCAAACGCGGAGGTGATGGATTAACGTCAAACGGGAATTTCCATTAAAAACGCAAACAAAGTGGATAAAATTGCATCCAGCTAATATTCCCTTGCCAATCATCTCGCAAGTCAATTTTCAATTTTCCCTCTTAATAAGCACGTCAACGGCGCCTCGGAACAATACACAAGTGTTTTTAATTTTATTGCGCGCTCTAAATTAAACATTGTACACACGGAACAGGGTTGCCTTGTGAGGGGGCACTGGGCAGGCTAAACTATGACTATGTACTGGGAAGTTTTGTTGATAAAATGTTAGAATTTACAATTTTTGAGGCTTCTGTGTTTTCGATTTTTCTCGGTTGATGCCCTAAAATTTTAGTATACGTGTCATTATGTCAGTGGTTTTATTATTATTTTTTCTTTAAAGTTAAGTAGAATAAATAACTTGAAATGCCCTGACAAATTAAATTTATATATAGAATGGAAATGTATGTCTACAATATAATTTAAAACCTCAAACTATTTCTAGTCTTAATATTACAAAATGTTCCGTGCATTCATGTTTTATTGTTTAATAGCTAAAAAAAGTTAATCATAAAAAAATATTGAGTATTAATAGGTTAAATAGCTTATTTACGAAAATTTCGCACGTATTGTCAATAGCAGAGTGGCGCAGTGGAAGCGTGCTGGGCCCATAACCCAGAGGTCCGTGGATCGAAACCACGCTCTGCTAAACAACCTTTTTTGTCTTTTTTTGGTTTTTCTAGAGTTTAAACATTTTTATATAACTTAAGTAATAAACAAAATATTATATATTCACAATATATTGATACCTTTTTAGTAATTCATATTAAATCATAAAAGTGGCGCCATCTAGCACAAGATTACGTATTATTTTTAAAATCTGATTGCTTAATCACTTACAATATAAAAGTGTGAAGTAACAGTAGTTAATTGTTACTAATAAAATCGTTATTGTAGTATAAAATTTAATAGCTAAGTTCCATATTATTTAAGTTGTCGGTTATAATATATTATTGCAATGGATTCCGTCTACGTTTAACACAGGCGAGGTACAATTTAAATGGTAATAATATTACTATTGATGTTTAATAACAGTGAACGTACACAGACTACAGTCTACAGTCTACAGAGTACAGTACAGACTACAGACATTCAAGACCGTCGAGTTTCAACTCCATTAGCGGGCGTCGGGCGAGATTTATGTTTAATTGAAATCTTGGAGTTTATTGTGGACTCCTGATTTATGACGTCACACTATATAACCGAAGGGGATACATTGTTTGATTGACTTCGGCCCGAGGGGTACTGGGGGGGGGGGGCAACAGTGTACTCGGCTTACAGTTAAGAGACGGTTTTTCTATAAACGAGTAGTTATTTCATTATTATAACTTATAAGGGAAGTGTTTCTAGTCATTTAGATTATTTAAGTTTAAGGAGATGTACCGTCTTGTATCAACTGTAAAGGTCCTGATGTGATTGTTTAAAGTTTGTAGCCAGTTTAAGTACCTGTTGGTTGTGTGATCGAGTTACTAACTTTAGAGTTGTAACTTATAACCACCAGTTAAACGTCTGTTATCTATGTAGCATTCAAGATTTTAATTTTTGCCAACAGAACACTTCATTCTAGTGAACTCCATGATGTTTTTTTACTAATAGAATTAAAATAACTTAAGTCAACTACGATACTTTTAATATACCGTCCCCGTTCATACTTCGCTGTCCCATGTTAGAAGGTTCTTTTCATTTAAAATACTGTTCTTAGAAAATTCATAAATAAATTAGAAAACCTTGATATAGATTTAGAGGTTTACCTTGCAAGTTTTCACAATTTTATTTTCGCTCCATATTATGTACATAGTTTTCTAAATTAGTCCGATGTTCCACGTCTTAACTTTCAGTTCATAACCAGGTCTATACTTATATGTATATCAAACCAAATGCTCAGTAACAAAACATTCTCATCACATTCTTAATGTTATAATTCTTTCGTTCGTCCAGTATAATAGTTTTCACGGGGCGCGTGTGTGTGTGTGTGTGTGTGTGTTCGTATTAATCTCCCCTCATATATCGTCCGTCCTGTCATTAAGGGCTGTCCATGAATAATATTAAACTCAGTCATTTTCATCTCGGTATAAGTACAAATGAAGTCATCGTCGTCTCGCAGGCCACATTGGCATCTATCACATATAGTCTAAGGCCTACAGTCGCGTCTAACCCGCGGGAGGTCAGCGCGAGAAGGAACGAACACATCAATTTCCACAAATCCGTGTCAAGTTTGAAAAAAAAGCATTATAAATATCTCGTTTCCACATATTATTTATTGGCCGGCGGCGTGGTGCGGCCGGTGTGTTGTGGTTCCTTGCGGTGCGGAGAGCCAGCCTCCGACGTCTGCTTAACGATGACGAATACGAGAGACGGCTGTGGAGTCATTCACAGTGACGCGTGATATATTGAAGAAGCGGCCGCATCATAAAAAACGCGGCGGGGTGCGCGCGCGACCCACGCTCATTGGACGAGCACGGGGCTCCGATGATGATGGCCGGCAGACGGGCGATTGACAGGGAGACGGAACATACATACATACATACAACACACTGAGAACTGAGGTTGGGGCTCCTTGGACGGACCAGAAAAAATATATAACAAACGTTACTGAGAAGACAGATGGATCGATTTTACATGAGAAGGTTCCATAGAGAACGATCGGTCTAACGAGCCACAAAGAGCATGTAGTAAATGGTCTTCAGTAATGTAAAGGGGTCAAAGGATAACATATTTATTTGAAATATTCTGACGATGTCACATAAATGCAACAATTTTTATTAGAAAATATAGAGTGATTAATTCATCGACAGAAACAGGAATCAAACCAGTAACCATAGGAATGCGCGCTCTAATTGTTTCATACTTTACGTTGAAAAAACATAAACATCATTTCATGAATTTACATAAATTCAACATTCCTAACGGTTGAGATATATTTACTATGGAATTAATTTGTATCTCTTAGAAAACAATAGTTTGTTTTCACCTACTCCTAATCAAATCAGATATTCTATTTTCTTTAGGATCCTTTCAGTATTTTTCGCATTTCTTGTCAGGATTAAAAAAAATATTATTTACATTACAAATCCAATATAAGATATTCAAACTGTTTTGTCTAAAGTAACACTGTAAAGGATCGTATCAAAAAAACTAATGTTAGTAGACTTACACATTTGGGGAAAGTTAATCTGTTTACCCTTGTCTGGGAACAGAGGTGAGGGTTCACACTTGAGATACCGCTCACAATACACTGAATGTTTCAGACGGACAACCCTAGCATAGGATACATATAATACAATAGTATATACACATTTAAAATTACAACAATAGTTACTAATTTAAGACCATATTTAAATCGTTCGTATTAAACTTTTTGTTTTTATCAAATCCTTATTCAAAACAAAAGAATATATTAAAGTATATCTAGTGTCATATAGGTGTATATATTCACGAGACACAGACATTTGATAAATTAAACTTCACGCTAATGTAATTAAGGCAACTAAAGAAATACTTAACACTGGAACAAAAGAATAGTAAGTATATACAGTACAAAAACAGGCCGACATGCAAGTTAAAGCGAGTTGATCGGCTAGTTGGGAGGGAATCAATTATAATTCCCATTAGATTTAGGCGGGGCCATGGATTTATGGCCACCGCAAAAATGCACCTTGCGACTCCGTACCGGACCTCCGTATAATATTGTATTCCTCTACTCGTAACGTTACATTCGAAGCACTCCTCCGCTAGTTACCGGCTTGAGATCATTTTCTATCGTTCCTATTATCATTAGTGCTTCATTTATTTTCCACTTCAAGTACTTCATGATGTTACTTGAGTTACAATTACTAAGAGTCGTTAGTTTTTATGACGGAGCTGTATCAAAACAACGTTTATTTCGGTTTCATGACATCGAAGTTGTTGATAAGTTTAAACAGACAAAGAACGATAAATGACGCCTACCGAATGTAATGGTTGCTTATTAGACTAATTTGTTAAGCTGTTATAATATCATATGTTTGTTTTATATACGCGTGTGTGTGTGTGTGTTTGTGTGCATGTAATATAAAACAATTAAAGTTTCAAAGTCTTCTTCCACCGTCCATTGTTCTGTAGGTGAGTCGTGAGGGCGCCTCGATCGATGCCGACGTCGTTATTAGGACGACAGCCTTTGACGACGCGGCCTGCTCCCGGTTCGGACTACACCTCGACACATTACTATTATATTATATTACAATACTTCTCACTGTGGTGACCAACAAAGAAACATTATTCTTGTTTTGAATCCTTCATTACTATATCATAAGAATCTTTTTTTTTTTCGAGATATTTAAGAGTAAGATTCGGTTGCTCTTAAAATATTATTTTAATAAGTAATAGTTTGTTTTTTCGTATTTCTATTTCTATAATATTTAGCCGAACAGCGAACTCGCCGTGTATGTGCGAGACGTCCACTCGCGGACAAGTGAATGACGAACGTCACACACACTCGAACAAATACTTTTATGTAATATTTTGTTTATTTATAAACTGCTGTTGATTATTTAAAAACATTATTGAATATCACCATATTATTGTACATCTAAAATATATACCTATATGTTTATCAATACATAACTTAAATGTCACCATACAGACACATCCCTTGAAAAAGACAAAATTATTGTTCATTGTTCCGAGACTTGCCTTATTGAATTTATTAATATAAAACCAACAATATAAAATTATCATGAGTATTAACGGCAGTGAATTTGTGCTAGGTTAATAATAGTGAGCCTACATATTTTTAAATACAAATTAATCAAAAAAGTTGTAGGGAAAAATTCTGAAGGTGAAAACAGATAAAGAATAATTATCTACTTGATTAATACACATAGAAGTGCCAAAATAATAACAATTTGAATCTTAATGTTCCGTGAGTGTTGCAGTTATGATATCGTTATTAATTTATACTAATGCGACGACTAGCAACATCGCTAATGAAAAAGGCGAATTATTAAATACATCGCGGGCGGTGTAATGACATTGATGACATTAATGACATATCGGTGACAGCGGCGTGTCATTTGTCAACAGTCGTTTGTCAGTCGTTTGTCTGACACAATGGTGTCGGGCGGCGCGGGGACGGCGGGGCGGCCGTCACACTGTCTATTAAAGGACGATTCGACATTTCGACTTACTCAAAAACGAGTAGAAAATTATACAACTCCTAAATGTCATGGCTTAACATTACAAACATTGGTACGGAAAATACTACGAACGAGTTTCAAATGTAAAGCCCTACGTTGACGTACTTTCACCTAATGATTTATTATTTTTCATTGAAGATATTTAAATGTAATTTAATGAACACAAAGTTGTGTAAGCCGTTATAAGTGTGAGTAATCTCGACGAGTCGTTTTGATTGCGAGCTCGATACAACAGCGTGGAGCTGAGCTAGGTACTAGTAGGAATCAGTATCCGATCTAATTCCCAGCCGACGTCGTGAAAGTGAGGTAGAACGGCGATGGAAGCGGACAGGTGAACGGCGCATTATTAATGACCCTTTGATTTGTACCTCGGACTTACCTTCGTTATGTACACGGCGTTATGTACGACTCGCTGTCGACATAATCTCATAATAAAAACACCCTTTCACAACGATCGCACGGGCTCACTTTAAAATTTATAGGATGTCATATTGCACCAGTTCCTTATTTAGTCGCCGGCTCGACGACAATCACATTCCCATTCGACTCCGCTAATGGTAACGGTGTAATAGATAGTTCTATGCTAATAGCGGTTATGACAAAACAAAGTTTCACTGTAATGAGACTCGGTGACTTGCATATATTATCGATCATCACGAAACGGCTAGGTATTCAGTAGTTAAATAATCCGAAGCATATTTAATGCCCCAGTTCATCGCGACGACCTCCGAGACGTCACCGCTTAATATCTATGCACCACGCGATTAACGAGTTATTTCCACCCCTCGACGATGTCACCACTCACCACCCGTCCCCCCGCGGCGCTATCCTTCCTCCGCTATCAATCTTGTCAGCGGTCTTTGTCTTACGTTTATGATGCAACTTTCAGATGCTCTCGCCTCACGATGACGACGATGACAACCATCTTTGCATTAAATGTAACGCCACTATTATTGGCCTCGATAACTATGTGAAACACAGAAAACAAGGATGCCGTAAAAGAAAAATCGATTCTAAACCAGAACTCGCTTCCATTGACCCATTAGAAGCAACTTACAACCTCGGTGCGGACGTATTCTTTCAATCTTTAGAGTTGCAGAGCAGCGTGAAGAGATCACCGCTGTCTCGACTCACGCCTCCAACACCGGTTACCAAAAATAGTATCGATAAGAAAAACTCATTGAATGTAGCGTCGACATCTAGAGATATCCCTAGAATTAGTCCCATTGAAAGTAATTTAAGAGGTGAAGATTGGATCGGTGGTCATAGCTTGAGGATAGGAAGTAACGAAGATAATCAGACTAAATTAATCAACGCTGTGGCGAATATCAGCGGATCTGTTAAGAAAGAACCTCTAAATTCCTACAATATAACTAACTTCAGCGTGTACAAAGAAGACAATGATTCTGAAGAATCGAATGTTTCGGAAGACGAGGAAGAAGATGAAATAGTCGTTGATGAAGGTTCATGGCCACCTCCACCCAACTACACGGGTGGCAAATGGCGACCAGCGTCACCGGACCAGGAGTGGGATGTCAGAGAAGAACAGGAACAGGTCGATCGGGACTACGACTATGACGCTCCTCCGCCAGAACATACCAAGGGAAAATGGATCCCAGGAGCCAACGAAAGAACTCAAATCATGCAAACTACTATTCAGACTAAAGGCTCGGTCCAGTACTGGTGTGGTCCGTGTAATCGACGACTAGGCTCTAGAGCTATTTACGAAAAACATTTAAAATCAAACTTGCACATCAGAAAAGTCCTTCCTGAACAAGAGTTAGAGTTTTCTGGAAGTTTAGTTTCTACTAACAATTCATTAGTGAGACCCAGATCAGCTGGTGCAGCGATGTTTGTTAGCGCAGTTTACTCGTCGCCGACAAGAAAAAGAATTAAGAAAGAGTCAAAAGTTAGCATTAAAATGAATAAAAAGAAAAGGAAAAGAACATCATGCTTTGTTCAATGCTCCGGTTGTAAGACGAGAGTCAAAAGAAATTTAATGGGGAAACATTTGATATCTCACTACCATTTCAGAAAAGGAACCGTCGTTAAAAATTTTCTGTACAAACAATTAGTTCTCAATAACATAGACGCTATCGTGCATCAAGCCCCTTTCCAATGCAGTCCATGCAAATTTTACACCAACTGGCAAACTAACTTTATGCAACACTGGAACTCGGAAGAACATAGAAGTACCATTTCAACAATAGAAGGTGTATATTGGTGTTCATTTTGTAAATTTGAGTCCGAAACGTGTGAGGAGATGTCCGCCCACATAACGAGCACTGAACATGGAGAAGTCGCATCAGTTATTAATAGGTCCATGCCTATAATAATACGCAAAAAATCTGTAATAAAATGTCACACGTGTTCGATGGTGTTCAGATACAATGTGGAGGTGAAACATCATTGTCGTTCAACAGGACATGACTTGCCATACTCGGCCAGTGACATCTACCAGGAAGTACATAGATGTCATCACTGTAAGAAGAAGTTCAAGCTATCCATCTCACTTGTAGCGCATTTAAAAAAAAGACACAACGACAGTGTATACTTCTGTCTCCTTTGTTCGAAGACCTTTGACTCAGCTGTTGAAGTCAAGAACCATCGGCAGAGCACTGAGCACCGAGTCAAGAGGTTAGAAGTATTACGCGAGCGGGGACTGCTCACGAAAGATATATCCAAGAAGTGTCCTTACTGTCCACAGTATGTCGTGTTGAAAAACACGTTGGAACTGAGGGAGCATATTATAAACGTACATCCAAGCATTAAGAAAAAGTAAGTTGTTTGAACTTATTGTGTGGCTAATTAATAGTTGTTTTATTTATTATTATTATATATTTGAATATTGAGAGCCCCATCCTGCGTATAATGATATATACTTTCTTGCCAATTGATAAAATTCCAAAATTTCTTAAAACTCTACCATTTGGTTCTGTATGTTCTTTCACACATTGATAACTAATAAGTTTTGTTTATTGTATCTATTATAAAGCAACAGAAGAATATTTGTTTTTATATTAAACAAATATAGACAATTGGAATAACTATGTATATACAGCTAATGATATTATGAGTAAGCAAACTTGACATTAATATAACTGCTGCGTTTAATAATTCTAATAGGCAAGAAATATAAGACTATTAATTTATTTATTTCAGATGTCCCAAATGTGGGAAGGAATTCATTTTCTCCCAGGAGGTGTCTCGTCACATTCGCTCCAACGCGTGTAAGCTTCACAATCCCGAAGTTCCTCAGTCATCCATCACGTGGAAGTGCAGCCAGTGTCTGTTCGTGACGGACTCGCAGGCCGAGTGTTTCTTCCACGAGGTCCTGCACACGGAACCGACCACCGAGACTACCAACACGAATAAAATCATTAAGAAATACAAATGTCCGCTGTGTCCAAAGATTTTCAGGAAGCCATCACTGAGGCTACATCTGAGGCAGCACACGTTCGAGAGGCCTCTAGTGTGTACTATCTGTGGAGCGAACTTCACGCGGCAGTCCACTCTGGCTAACCACACGCGCACCGAGCACACGGACCAGCGACACGAACATGACGAGCAGACAGACGAACAGACTCTCAAGTGTAGGAAGTGCAAGAAAACATTTGATAGAAGGTAGGTCACGCTATATAGTATGTGTCTGCATTAAAACAATTTAGCAACAGTTGAATAATCTGGTCAAAAAGCTGTTGATACCTGATTTTTTGGTCTCATCATCATGTATTCGTTATTTAATGACACTTAATTTAAATAAATATTTAATAAGCATTCAATTTATGAGTGAAGAGTTTATTTTAAAAATAATGACATTCATTAACCGTATATAATTTTAATGCAATCATTTATTGTTGTGAGTCGTGACTTTATATGATCTTTAATTATATGACTTCTGTTAATAAATGATACAAACACTTCAAACACAAGCTTGTTGAACCCGTGCTCGTTAACTGTCAGTCTGTCCGTGTTCAGGTTGTTAGGAATAAACAGTTAACTAGCTGATGAAATATTATACATATATCCCAGGCTCCAGATGACTGACACGTCTAGCCTCAAATTTGTTTCAGTCGCGATGCATGTTACTTATATGTGTCATATTAATGTGGGTTATCATCTCGTTCTGTATCTGTATCAGTCACCCAATGTGGATAGTAGTGTGTTCGATGCGCGATATTGTGGAGCCGCGGCGTACGAATATAACATCTCGTCACACGTCGCCGTGTCAACATCAATTTGCATCACTAACGGCGCCCGGATGCGTCCGTGTCAGCCGTCACACAACTCCTTCACAAATATAAGGAAACATAATTTGACACTCTCTTTGATAGAACATTCCCGGCTTCGGTGGTCGCGATGATGTTTTTATATCCGACTGTAATAAATTCCTCCGGATACTCGATTCAAAGACGCTCGGATAGAGTGCCGCTTGATTTTATTAAAAACACGTGCATCGGTTTTGCGGACCGTCATACGAGTGCCAAACGATCTTCGACAATCCTCTGATAGAAATATTTATGTTGATGTATATAAATAAGACACTCGCTTCTGTTATGTTTCCCGACGCCTCATAACTTGTCACATACATCTCGTGATTACGATTTAGTTCGTCAGTCCGTGGTGACGTGAAACTACATTAAAAACTGTAAACAAAGGAATGTCGCGAGACAGTAATAGTGCTGGCGGTCCGAGGGAACAGAACAGAAGTAAAGATTAGTTTCCATTAAAGTGCATGGAGTGTGAGATGTAATTGGAGCCCAGACCGCATGAATCAAGTCAGCACCGCCATTAGTGGAAGTTTCATCGTATCTAGAACATTGTGGAGCCATTGAGGGAGTCTAACACCGTTGATGATCTAACTTGTGTAATATCTTATGCATTATTGCGCCCGGTGCCTGCATTAATGCACGGAGAGCGCTAACGTTCACCCAGCGGATGCCACGAAACTGTCAATGGCTCCGTTGCCAGATCTAACATTAGCATTACGACTTATAACTTCGACTGGGACTGTACGCTGGTCGGCGGCCGCTAGCACTAATAAAACTTATTATATACATACACCCCGCTCATTATATACCAACACACTCACACACACTCGATACATTATTCTAATATTATTTTTTTTATATCGTCTCAACTCAGAAGTGACAAGTACAGTGATAAAAGTTAATCAACTTTTAGTACATTTTTAATTACTTTATGAGATTTCGTGTTCAAATATCAGATTTTTCATGTTATGTAAATGTTCATATAACAATTAACTACTACACCCAAAAAAAATTAATTCAAAAAGAATCTTCGCAATCTGTTTAGATCATAATGAAATATGAAGTTCCTCAATAATAAAGTGACACGACGTCCTCGGGAGGTCGGAGTATTGGATAATAATTCCATCATCAGATAATTGCATCTATTGAATGCAAAAAGAATGAAGAAATACGTTTTATAACAAGAGATATAACAACGACCATAAAACACTTCATACAAACTGCACATGTGGAACTGGTTACTATATTATAACACGACATATTGTGATCTACTAGGTTTCTTCTTAATTTCCAAAGAGTAAAATTACTAATGATTTTGTTCAACTCTTTACAAACCATAAAAATACTTCATCTACATTCATATAATTAAGAAACGATTTAGGACAAATATATTATTATCATGCTACTACAGATTTATATACTGCTTATAAATCGTCTAAAACTCTCTTAAACTCTTAAATATAAGTTGTATAACAATAAAAGTATCAATTAAAGCCCAGTCCGTACTCCGCAGTACATAATATATATCGCCGGGCCCTCTCCGTCCGTCACATTCCGCTACAGAGGGAATTCCTCACTCCGCGTCCTCCGTCGCCTCGAACGAATTTAATAATGTAATTAAGACGAACTCTGTATTTATTACCCGTTTACTAGTTCACGTGATTGCATCAATCCTCTCGCGCACCGACTGAATATTTGTGTAACGACTGTTTATAATGATCGCGAGGACGAATATAATGTAGGAATGTTCATGAATTAATATAATATATTAGTAATAATATCATACAATGTTATATTCCACACACCCTATTGAAATTGAAACTAGTAACATCGCCTCATTCTATTTCGTTCGTCTATCGCATGTCGCATTACACGGGCCCCGTTGAGATTATATACTTGTTTTTTTGTCCACGTAAATTTAATATAATAATAATAATAATCTTTTATTTCGACCAGTCTGATCATATTTACAAAATTGTTAGTATAGTGGATATAAGATCTAAATTAAAAACAAAACAATGTATTATATTCGAGCAATTTAAATTAAAATTTCAAAATAAAATGAATTATGAGGTAAATATTACATATAGTCTAACATATTTCATATAATACAAAAATATTAAAAATGTAAACACAAATCAAACAAGACGACAATAAAACGAAATATAAACTGACTCTAAAATTTATTCGCATGAATCTAAAAAAAAAGTTAAAATATATTTGTCCAGAATTTTTGTTGGCAACTCATTTTTAATAAATTTTCGAATACAGGTATTACATTTATTGCAAAATAAGTTTCATCCTGTTATCAGCTCGGTGAAGGTCCATATAGGTTCTGATCTTGACTAAATGTCTGTTAAAACTGTGTCCTTTATATGGGATTTCGATACATATTTTTGCCCCAGTTTGTAAGAAGCGTCTGTCATACGAACAATTCTATTTACCTAGTATCAAGTATGTATGTATTTCGTATTTTATGCGAAGATTTAAATGAAAGTATTTATACTCCATTACCTTTCTCATACTTGAATCATTAAGGGAGTATTAAAAAGGATAAGTACTTTTATACCATAACATGATTTTTTAAATTTCGTGTTGGTCACTAGTAGTTACGATTAAAAAAAATTACTCTGCCGTGGATTTATAAAATTACAAACCAAACTTTTTATAGGTGTTATTTAAGAGGCATTAATGTCCTTGCTTCAATCAACCTTAACTCCATATCTATAACGTATGACCTGTATCTTTACAGAGTGTCCCTGACTCATCACGAGGTGACGTGTGAGGGTATGGAGCGCCGCTGTCCTCACCCCGACTGTTCCTACATCGCCTCCACTGTGGCTCAACTCACCAGGTTACACAACTTAATACTTATCAATGCTTTTAATAAACACTAATTACTTAGTATACGAAGTATACTAACTTAATATATTACGAGTTTAGTTTAATCTTAATCGTTGGTGGAACAGTTAATTCTATTTTTGAATATCTTTAAACGTTATAACTCTCTTAGCAACCTGTTAAACTGCTCCTTAGTAATATTTTAATTACACTGCCACCTATGGGACAAACAGAGTACTTAATGCTGGTTTGCATTACTCGCTAAGTGTTTCACTCGTTCGTGATGCGTTTAATTAATAGATGGCGCTAGTAACCGTATTAATTGAATATTTCTTATTCCAGGCATCGTTATGGACATAAAGAAATTGTAAAGCAGTACGAATGTCCTCACTGCGACTTCAAAGCCGAAAAATCGAGTCACATGAAGAGGCATTTGTTCTGTCACGAACGTATTAAACCCTACGCCTGTCCTCATTGCGACTTCACGTGTGGTAGTCTGGTAAGTCACATTGATATTGGTAACCGAGCAATGAAAATATAACTCTGAATTTCCTGTGACTTCAAAATCTGAGTCTACATTATAACAAGGATGGTGTTAATTAAAAAAAAAGCTACTTGTTGAGACCTATACACTTAATCCATTTCTTAATTACGTTAGTCTAATATACTGACAAGTAAGCGTCGACGGGAACATCACCTCCGGTGGTGTTGATCTGTTTGCTTTAGAAATAGTTTGTTTCCTATGTATGTGAATCATTTAATTCCTCCCCTACTCTCCGATTTCAGTCCATCCTTTACTGTTGTTACTGTATTACATACTACCAACTCAACATGATCTTACACTAACATCGGTACTGTTATGTTTCATACATAGTGTTCACGCGTATGTTTTTTTCTCTCCAGGAGAACCTCCGTAAGCACGCGGTCCACAGTAAGCTTCACGTAGGTCTCTGTCTTTACTCGTGTCCTCAGTCGTGCGGCTTCTCGTCGGACCGCGCGGCGTCTCTCCGGCGCCACTTGACGTCTTGTCACAGTGACGTATACGACGCGCCCGCCGCTAACGCTACTGTCAAGACGCTGCTCATGACGGGGGACGCGATGTAGACTATATAACACACTGACATATATATAATAAAGACAATATTAATATTAAACATTTATTTATATTCCTTGTTATTTACCTTAAACTCTTCAAACATCGCTTTAAAATATTATAACGAATAAAAACAATAAAGAAAATTCTCATTTAATATAACAGTTACATGCAGCACCTTTTATATAGTGGTGTTTAGTGTATTATTAGCCTTATATTCCCGGTCAGTAGCAGAGTTAGTATAGAATCGTTGATATTAATGTACTGTTCAGGTGAAGGTGATGCGCCGCTGTTTGTTTTCCCGCCGTATAACGATGGTTTTATTGTTATAATAAACATTTATGTTGATGATCCTCTGGGTAACGTACGGCCTTGTTTATGACGACGTGAGTATACACCGCTGGTGATGTTAATATAAAACACGAGGCGGTGATGAATAAAAATATATGTTTACATATTAAACATACACGTACATAAACTTTATTTACTTATTGTTTATGAAATACCAACTGTTGATGAATCTAAATGTAGTAAATTAAATTATTAATAATATTTTACTACATTTATTTATTTATTTACATATTTATTTATTTATTGGAAATAGTTACACCATCGACTTATCACTAACACATTCACTCAGCAGTAGATACAGTGTAATAAATCTAGGTGAATAAATCATTACAGGGGTAAACAACATTGACCTTAAGATAAGACTATGCTAACCTAATTATATCTTAATATAGAGATTAATTTTCTTTATTATTGTATTTCAAATTGTAATGAAATTATATATATTAGTTGAAACGATAACTACCTCAAGGCTGTACCAACATTATTCAATATTTTAGGATAGTTTAGGACTTAGGGTTTAAGTTTTGATGCTATCCCCAATTAGATTTGTTATGAACCCAGTTCATATTGATATCTGCAACGTGTGTGATTGATAATCACGCTTATTATATATTTTTTACTTTTACATTCCGCTCACAGCTAGGTACTATGATATCAAGTCGCTGTTCCAACACTTTACGAGAGATGTATACCAAAATTATTGTTTTATCTCGGTGGACCGACGCATCACATTGTTAGATCCCTGACAATATAAGCCCGTCCATTATAGATCAGACTCGAGTGTGGAGAAACTACTAGCTACTGAATCATCTCTTATAGATTGACGCATTGTGAGTCATTTGGTAGAAACGATTTAAGAAGATTTATCTTTCTTTTAGAAATCAAATTGGGATTGCTATGGGTTTCAGTTCGCCTCAATGAAGTCGTCTGCATACACAGATACAGAGCATACTTTATTTAGACGTACTCTCATAGCGACAGTTACACTTAAAAATCGATGACTGTAAAAAACCGCAAAAAGGAAGTAGGAAATATTATACCATTTCTGAATAAAGGTAGATAACAGAGATTGCCATCCTGCGGTCCGAATTCTTATCTTTCTTCTCTTTTTACTCGGAATCTTCCTTGTTACCAGTGCTTTTTAATTTTTCCGAACATATATAAAATTATCCGGTTCGAGTAACGAGTTAACTTACTTTTCAGAAAACTTAACAATTTAAAAATATTACATATTGAGAGATATAATGTTTAAGTACAAATAACTAATAAGTTATGATAAAATAGTATAAATAAATCAATAAAATATGTAAATATTATGTAAAGCGCCATCTCTCCTCCAAATTAGGAACTACTAACAACTCCTTAATGATTCATATCGGGACATTTATAGTTGATATACTTTTAATTATTATAAATGTTGAAATTATTATCTTATTATTTTACGTAACAATTACTAAAAAAAATAGAGATTTTAAACAATAATAATCGACCAAAGTATTGTTCTGGCAACACTGCTTACAGCTGTCATGTCATCTAAATAGCGCGCCAGCTGCCGACAGCGCTCGAGGTAAAAATTATTGCCTTACGAACGGCGTAGCGCGCTCACATGTCTTGTAGTACATCAAATATTAATCGTTTTTTCGGAATTAACGATCGGCAAACGTATACTTCTATATAGGACATTTATACTAAAACCGGCACACTGTTACATAATGTAAAATTAATAACTATTGAGGTAGAAGTATTACGTATGTGTAAATAAACAATATATATTGTAGTGCAATTATCGTTGAGAAATGCAATTTGTTGTTTATGTGTAAGAAGGGTTATAAGGAGTTCCTTGACATCAGTAAAAATGTCTTTAAAGGTAAGTTTTTAAATTTTAAATTGTATTAAATGTGGAAGTATCGTGCTGCAATGCGGTGCAAATAGCTCGATGAATATGTTGTTAACAATCCATTGAAACGAATGAACAGAAAATTGAAACGCGTCTAAATTATTTTAATTATATACCTTACGGTACATAACGACTGCAATTAATTGTGATCGCGGATTATGCAATATAAATTAGTATAGATGGGAAGGGCAGTCGAACCATTATTTCCTATTTTATATGTAATAAAAAAATCGTACATTCGGAAATTAAAACGTTTGACGAGACCATTTAATTTCAAAAATATGGTTACAAATTTCATTTCAAATCTAATGTATTACTGAATTGAAACAATCACGAAGTATCGGTATTCTAACAACATAAATAATCATATTTATCGAGAATTTTCAATGCATTAGCAGTATTAATTTATTGCCATAGAAGAATAATTACACATTATTATTGGTCGTAATATATCATCATATTGATGAATAAAGCGACATACAGGGGTTATCAAGATATATAATGACATATATTTGAGTGCACTATGTTATTATTTGATTGCAATTTCTATACAATTTTAAAACTATCCCTTTTCTGTATACGCTGAACTGAACTTATAAGTTCATGTATGACTCTTAGTGGTGTCTATACATCTAATTAACTTAAAATCTATCAATTTTTTTTTGATTACGTATATCCTCGTCATAAGCCAGATCGAAACAGACATATAGTTAGCGGTTTGTCAATCTAGTGTTTTCCATATTTAGACCAGTTGCCACAGTTGCCGTATCCGACCTAACCAGTTCCTAAACCAGTCGGCGCCCAGTCACTGAACGAAAAACCACTGAGGATAGACCTCTTATGTAGCTTAGCTATTGTAAGTGTGAGCATCGGGTAGAAGGGTGTAACGTCACCCCATGGGAAGTTAACAATACTAAGCGCTTAGGAAACCGCGACTAAAACACAAAAAATACTTACTGTTGCAATTGAACAAACACTTAATGGTCGTGCGTACAATGACGATAGTTAATGTAGCACATGTTCCGAACATTCAAGGAGCGTTTAAAGAAATTCCGGCATGTGTTTCAGTCATGAAACATTTATAGTTTTTGTAAAATAAAATATATACTTAATTGTTTTTCGTATTTATATAATTACATAATATTTCATCCTAGTAGTCCAAACAAACGTCGTCGTAGTCTCTTAATGGGTTGCATATTTAGAATTGACCTTTGATAATCTATATTCATCTGTATAAAGAAATAGATAGAAATGGATAAAATTCATAATACAGTATAAAGTACATTTCAGCTCCCAATGTTTCTTTAAATCTGTAATAATATTAAAAAACTGTTATTTGTTTTTCGCTATGATATTTTTATTGCTTCATCATCATTATATCAAAGAGATGATATGGTTTTGAGCATTTATCACCACATTTGTACAAAACGGGTCGGTGATTTCAAAGTTATAATTTCAAGTCTAGGTCCAAGTTTCCTCACGATGTTTTCCTTCACCGTTTATTGCTTAATTATCTTTAATTCAAAGATCACATCCAGATATCTATTTCCATCTCCATTCTCCAGCCGTCCATAGTAATCGGTTCATATTGATATCAGTACATAGTAATCTAAACTCCTCACATTTCTTAACTTTCATCCCGTCGTTGTCGTATTCAGAGTGAAACCGCATCCTCGCTCCGGAAAGGAATTAGAAATTAGGGTCACGGAAATAATTGTCACCGATACATTTCGTAGGATTGTTAATTTCTCTCTATACAAGGACTCGAGGCGACGGTCGATGTACGGATTGAAATTTACTCTTTTTACGGTTTATTGAATATGGGATGTTTAACAGCTTATGTAGTCAAAATATGTAAAGAATACTCGGTCGCCTGGATAGATCTGGTCACAATTGAAACAGACTAGAAGATAAAGAGATCTCTTTAAGAAAAATAATTATATTGTGCCATTAGTGTTTATACATAGGTAACATCATAGGTATCTAAAACACCTACTGCTTATAACGGGTTTTTAAATACATCCTTATATGACAGAAATGTATCATGATTGCCTAATAGTCATCATTGGAAATGGTAAATTACAACATCATGATCTAAGATATAAGCGATCTACTTGCAAAAATATTATGAAGTTATTTCATTGACTTACAATATTAAATAAAAACCAAATATTATAAGCAGGTCATTGGTTAAAGACATAGATTGTGTAGAATACAAGCAGACAGTTTGTGTAAGAGCTAAGGTAGGAATAAATTATGTCTTTTGTTTTCAAACAATCAGTTTATTTGTTCATAGGTCCGTTCAGTGACAACACGACAAGGTCGACACACAATATTATATATAACACAGAATATTATATACTAGCTTTCCGTCCGCAGCTTCGCCCGCGTGGATTTCGGTTATATCGCGTTTCCAAGAGAACCTTTCAAAAGTCGAAGATAAAAACTATTCTATGTTATTTCTCAAGGTTAATTTTATCTCTGTACCAAATTTCATTAAAATCAGTCCATTGGTTTAGGCGTCAAAGCGTAACAGACAGACAGACAGAGTTACTTTCGCATTTATAATATTAGTAGGGATAGTAGGGATTCTGTGTCAGGTGATACTGGACCGAATATAACCAGGAAGTCACAAAATATGACGAGATGACGTCAAAATAAAAGAAATATTTCACTATGAGAATTATATTGAAAGAATCGTTTACAGATCACTATGTATATAGTAGAAATAGTGTATTTAGTAGTAGTTGAGGAGCGTACTCCTTACAAGTTACTGTAAAATATATTTGAAGTTTAATCGTTCAGTTAGGCGTATTTGTGTGCTGTTTCTCGCTTTGTCTCTGAAATAACAAAGAAATCATAGCAAGAATAATATAGAACATTATATTATCATTCATTAAATAATAGTTAATTAAAATAACCCAGGAAGTAAGCGACTCTGAGATAATAGAGCAGAGAGTTTAATTAACTGTAATGAACTAGTTAGTATTGCGCAAGCGCAGGCGCCGGGGACCGACTGTCAGTTAGTAAGATCTCTCGTAGTTGGATGAGATTAGTATAATCCGTTAAGATTCGACCGTCACGTAACAATTAACAATTATATTGATCACTTTCACTAGTAACAATTCGACAAACATTATCATTACTATAATAAGTATCGTATATCCAATAACATTAATAACTATCACCTGTTGTGTGATGGCCGTAGTGTATCTGTTGTCAGACGCTGAACCATTTCGAGCCAAATGTGTCAGCAGTTTGACACACATTGGACATTACGTAATGATAGTACAGTATGAGACTACGAACATGACCTGATGCTAATATTGATGACCTGGCTGACATCTTTTAATATGACATCAATTAATCATTTGACTAATATTAATAAGTTATGAATTATCAATTATTAATTTAAGACGAGCGACTAACAAACTTCTTTTAGTAACTCTAAGTATAACGTAATGTGTTTTTAAATAGTACAGTCTTATTTTAAATTTACTACGACTTAAATTTACGAAAATTCTGCTTTGGTTATGAGTACAACGTTCAATGATTTAACAACTGATTTCAAATAACATGAGATAAACGTGAACTTCAAACACACATTCCGATTTATCTTTAGATATGTCGTCAGCGTGATGTCATTTATCTGATTTCCCGGACTTAACATACTTTGATGTTGTTTCGATTAGCACGCAGTCAGTGTTGTTGAATAACTGGAGAGATTGTAATAATGTTTATAAACACCAACCTAATTTAGTAACCCTTATCATTACATCTAAACTAGTACATGGTTAAGAAATCCCGAGTACTTGCTATATATTTAAAACAGTATCGTATTATCCTTATTCCATGTCTTTAAACGGGAAAATCGATAAACTTCCAAGCCTATGATATATCATTTAAAGTATTTCAATTTTAAATCACGTGAAACCTTGGTAAAGGATAATACTGGCTTGCTCCCTTGTAACTGAATTTGCATGTAATCGTGATCTACAAGAATCCGTACAAACTTAACCCTGACCTCGTTTAGCGAGGCCTCTAACAGCCTTTCCTGCACCGTACACTCTCCTCATAGTAATAGTGTATACATTATAATCAATTATATAAAACACAAAACCTAAATATTATAAAACACCTTCCATATTCGTAGCAGGTACCAAAGCTTAATCGATTCCCGAGCGTTCCACTCGACGACCCCCGTTCCCGCGACCCGTGTGACTCCCGGAAGAATTTTCATTTTCATTTAAGTTCTTTGTTAGTCTTGTAAAAGGAGAGTTTCATTGTTATTCTTACTAATTAATGAAAACCTTTATATTGTATGCTTATAAATGTCTTTATAATCATTACTGCATGGTTAGGTAATATTTTATGGGCCATATATATATAATGTCTCAAAATCGTTCCATGTCTCTCCTCCATACTCGTTCCTCCGTTCAAGTTGTTCTAATCTGTTCCTCCCACTTATTTCCTTTTCCTAACAATGTTCCATTAAAATCTCTCTTTGATCACTCGCCTCATGAATGTCGTCGTATTTTAAGAGTAGGTCTTTGTTAACATCATCTGTTGTTTTTGTTCATTGAATTTAATCTTCAGAGAGCAGAAAATTTGTGATAATCGTGTTTATTCTAAAACATTTTAATTATAACCAAAAGGAACAAAACTTCATACTTTATATAAATTAAAGTAAAATTAAGGAACGAGATTATTTTATTATTAAAAATCATCTTAATATATAGTTTAAGAAAGTACAATAATAATAATGTGTTCATAAAAGTAGAAAGTAACAATACAATAAGATATAACTTCAGTCAAAGACATGACTTGTTATAAATGTACGCGACCTTGGATTCAAACATTAACTGATATAAAACAGAGCTCGCTGCCAATTTATATTATTTAATGAGCTCTAAGTACACATCTCAAGGATGTTCAAGTCGTTAAACATTCTCTTCATATACTTGTTATTAATTATAATAAAGAAATATGTGATAAAAAAATAATAAAACAAAAAAACTACCGATACCATCTGTGGTCGCTTACTAAGTCATGTGGTTTTTCCAATCTGACAAACATAACTGACATCTTTATAGATTTTTTAAATGGAACAAACTCCTAGTTTCAAGAGAGAGGTATTCATCAGTCGTGTTTAAGAAACAGATGACTTGAAGAATACAAACCAGTATCATTAACAGGGTTTTTTTCATAGCAGAGGTTGAATGACCCGCAGGCCGCAGCAAACAGCGGAATCCCATGTGGTGTGTAGGAACCGCGACCGAGAACACATACTGAAGTGAATGCAGACGATATTGTGGTTAAAACAAATAAAAATTCAGTCCGGTGAATGTTTTGTGAACTGCATTTAGTACGAAGGTCGTCTAGAATTCCTTGACGTTTTCTTTGTAATTCGGTTCGCGCGATCACAAAGTTATTTAATTTAACAATCGGTCTGAATAACTGAAATACTCCATCTAATATCAAGGACGAAACCAAAATTCCGTTTACATTCCATCCGTGATCTGTTCCTCGAAATAATTTCACAATTGTTATGAACATTATAAACAAAACAAATGGAGAAGCCGTTCATGGAATTGCGTTATTAAACTTATATTAAGTCGTATTCAAAAGTCATAAGCAATCACAGTTGGCGTCATGGAGTAAATTCAATCTAAGATGTAATAATGAAATTTCCTAGTAATACCAGTCCTCGCAATCACGCATACAATACTTGTATTGTTGAATATAAGTTAGGGCATGCCCTAAAGATCGTTGACCCCACCAGGTTTTTCTCTTATTATTTTTTTTTGCTGCCTACAAACGTTTATAATTTTTAAATGATATTAACTTTAAATCAGTTGTAAAATCTTTATAAAGCAATTGTTAATTGAGTACAGAACTTATCCTCTACTAATAATAATAAGTATAACCTTTAGAAGGTTAACAGTTTCTATAATTTAATTTTAAAAAGTTTATTGTCGTCTCATCACTTCAAAATTAAATTCGTTACGTAGCCAATTACTAAACAACGTCGGTATTTTAGAAGGAATTTCCCACGACAACCTACAGTTGTTTGAGAATAATTGAAGGTTAATTGAATGTTTTTTGATGTTTTACGAGTTGACTTTCTCAAGCCAGAGGTCCAAACAGACTCAACTAATGTTCTCACTCGCCGTCAGTGGTCCGCTAATTATAACTGAAGCCAGGTCAGAGCTCACAGCCATTATGTAACTATAATGGACTGCTGTTGTTGCTACTAACGTCAAACTAGACTACAGAATTGTTGTTTCCGTGATTAATGGACGTTTATTATATGATACTAACTCTTATTTTTCATTTAACCCCTACCAAGGAACCTTTCTTCATATCTATCTAACGACTGTCCCCAACTCTATCTGTATATATGTAGTATAAGCTATGGATCTCTAGAGGACGCTCCTAGTGTCCGTAACCTCTACCGTGATCGTCGGTTCGTCGTTTTGTAATCATCTTTAAGGTAATGCAATGCGCTTTCTACTAAATCATGCAGTGTTTCCACGGTGGGTGGATATTAATAACATATTTGCACGCGACGCCAGAGAAAGTTTACTTTTGACACCGATAACGTTCCTTGTGGGTCACACGGCTGCGGGCGGAGCGCGTCGCTCACATCTTATCACACATCTGTTACGTGGAATGAGCAGAATATTAATTTAGATTACTCCCGAACAAACATCGCGCAGTTTTCGTTATACAAACACTGTAAGGTAGTTTACACTTTCTAAATAATTCAAGATCATATGAGATGTTTACCGAGAACAGATTCATTTCTGTTAATAATGGTCACCTGTGAATTACACGCTCGAGCTGGTGTCACTAACTGTAGCTAGCCCTGGTCCGACGTCATCACTCGGTTCGTGACTGTCAATAGAAAGTCATCATGTAAACAATGGTTCAATGTCCTGTGTCCATTGTGATAACTAACACAGTATTTCCCTACTCGTTGCCCTATACTCTTCCTCGTCACTTCTAGGTCTCTGTTTTTCGTCATATCTCTTACGTAACTCCACTATCGTCAGTCCCGTTGTACGATCGTCCGTCATTTTTTGTCCGTCACAAAAAGCCGGCGCCGTCCTCACATAAACAACTCTCTGTTTCTAAGACGCTTGGTTCAAATACAAGGTTACAGCTTTTATATTATGTCTAGAGGCTTCGTATGTCTTTTAAATCGAATAATATACATTGTATGTATAGTGTAACTTTATAATCTTAGAATTTTTTTCTTATAATCTGTAACATTATATGTACATGTTTGAGAATTACCGGCGCCAACGATAAAATATAGAAAAAAAGCTTTTATTTATATAATTAATTAATAAAACATCAAAGTTATTAATTATTTTTTACACGATAAGTTACGAAGTAAATAATATGTAGGATCTTTCGTTCGTCACTGATTATTAAAACAGTTTTTGTTGATTAAAACAATTTGGTTGAGGCAGAGTGTTTTAAATTAATTGTTATAATTGATACTTAATTTCGTGTTAACAATCATAATGAAATATTTTATACAACAGCTAGTTAATTCATCATGCTCTGTTTAAAATTTAACAATAAATTAATTCTTTAACTGTAACCGAACATTACGTACGTCGGACGAGCCGAGGCCATTTTAACTTCTATAAAGACTAGTAGTATATTTTGATTTTTGTTTATTCGTAGTATTTTTTTTACATTTAGACAAAGTTCTAAGATTTCCTTAATTTTTAAAAAATATGCGGTTTAATTTTAAGATAATAATTGAAGATAAAACAATGAATTATTAAATACTAGCTTTCCGCCTGGTGCTTCGCCCCCATGGAGTTCTGTTATATCGCGTTTCCAAGTGAACCTTTCAAAAGTCTGGGATAAAAACTATCCTATGTTCTTTCTCAGGGTCAACTCTATCTCTGTACCAGATTTCATTAAAATCAGTTCAGTGGTTTAGGCGTGAAAGCGTAACAGACAGACAGACAGACAGAGTTACTTTCGCATTTATAATATTAGTAGGTATTAATAGGTATTAAGAGTATAACTTGTGTTTTTACGTTTAACAGTAATAAGATACAATATGATTCGACTCGACGTTTGAAACTCAAGGTTCTAGCTTATTAACATATTAGGTACTTGAAAATTGAAATATTATAAGGGACGGTTGTATGTCTATTAGCCGATCGTGCTGAAGTATTATATTATTATAACTTATACATTGGATAGAATATGTGAATGTGTATTGTTTTTTATTTACATATGCTTCTTGTTGTTCTTGTTTGTCTCGGTATATAACAGGACTTAACAGTTTTTTCTGGCACATCACGGTCAATTAAAAATTTATTCTTGTGTTTTACCTAATGCACTTTCGGTACGATTTGGTTCTTGAATCTGAATCACTAAATCATTTACTAATAAGGTTAGTTTTTATAACGGCTATTAGTTGTAAGTTGCCATTATAAGTGGTCATTCATCTCAACAGGACGACCTAATTCAGTTAATAGTCTCGTATACACGGTGTTATTTCAGTCGTCCCTGTTGTTGTGTTAGATAAATGTACTTCCTGAAATACTCTTCATCATGTAAACAATGTTTTATTTCGCGTCGGACGCTACACACTGTACTGATTCGAATTTTATTAACATTTCCTTTAATATTAAGCGTTTTGTTATGTACGTATGTGTGTGTGTGTATGTTTGTGTGTGTGTATGTGTATGTAACAGGACACTCCTACATCAACATCACACAGTCACCAAATATTAAGGACATATATTACACAACGTATTTCTTATCGGAGTTATATGAAACATTATCCGCGAACATGATCGACCACAAATTCTCAATTTCATTTTCATTTGATCTATATCGTGTGGATTCTGTTTCCCGTCCGTACAGTACTCATATCAGTGAGATCAGAATATTTGTGATCTTATCTTTTATTCAGTAATAATCTAATGTATTATTTATGTTCTATATCTGTGTTGTCGTGTGTATCTACTCTACACACATACATACGCTCCACTCGACTTTTCCTTCACGACATCGTCTTTACATTATGTTACCGATGACTGAACACTCAGTCCACTCTCTGTACGTACACACATACACTACCACTGTATGTGTATATATTATTATAATATACATTTTGTTATTGTTCTTGAATGTCAACTGAACTTGACCTTTTTTATTACTTGATAATGCTATGAAATTGGTTATATGTTATTTAATCAATGCATTCAGACGTTTTTATCAACAATTAATTATTTTTATTTATTTCATATCAACAAAAAAAAATGTATTCACCTAAAATACGAATTGGGTCAGATGAACAATGTAACGAGATCGCTTTGTTAATTACAATTGAATAAAATATTTTATAACTTTTTTTAGTCCAGATTTTCTTTATAAATATGGACACATTGTATGTACCATGTGCTCATTGTAGCAGGAGGTTTAGGTCAATGAATAAGAAAATTAGGGTTAAGGTTCTAACGACACTATATATAATAAGTATTTTAATGACATGTAGTTATATGTACATATACAAAGATAAATTTTATATCACACTAATAATTATAATTCTTTTGTCTTATAACAGTGACTTCAATTAATTATAATAACGAAAATAAAGCACACTTTATTCAACAATAATTTATTAACTAACCAATTATCCTACATTGTCAAGTCCAACATCATATCTGTAAGGAAATTCTCTTAAGACGCAGCGTCTGCGAGCTGTTGATTTAATTAAGATACTGTAAGCTTGACAAGAAACATTAAATTATCTAACTAACTAACTTATTTACTTTGAGAAAATTATATTAGATAAAACTCATGTTCAGTTCCGCGTTGTTTCAAAGAAGATTATCTGAAAGTAAACGACACAGTAAATGTTTTAAACTTAATTCACAAGACGTGTCTACATGTCACTCTAACTGATACTAAGGTTAGTTCATTAGCACTGTTTTTGCTCATTTTTTCAAACGATAGACGAAGGGAGATATAACCGAATATTGTATGACAAACTTTGTAATTGGCTTTGACTGCTACCAATACATATTTTCGTTTATCCTCTTTTGATTTTAAACTGCGATAGAATGGTGAGTCCTTTATAAACTCTTTTATATATGTAGGTAATATAAACATATTTATACTTAGATAATACTATTACTATACCTATAAGTCTAAGATACATACACATCAGTCACTTCTAGTAGTAAAACCATGAACACATTAACTGTAAGTGGATGTACTGTACATTATAATATGAGTAGTGTCATTAACAAAACAGAAGACATTCCAGATTCATGAAGTGGGCCTTTTTACCGCAACCCGCGCTACAATCACTCACATACCATATACATTACAACGAACAGATTCTTCTCCACACAGAGAGTGTCTGTTTATAACCTAACTTGACGACTTAGAACATAGAACAATTTAGATAAAATAGTTAATCTTATATTATATAAAATTCTCGTGTCGCGGTGTTAGACAGAGAACTCCTTCGAAACGGCTGGCATTATGATTAAATTTTTCGAGCATATTGAGTAGGTCTGAGAATCGGCCAACATCTATTTCTCAATCCCCCAAGTCATAAGGGTTGTTCACCCTTAATTTTTTTTTAATTTTCGGATGAAATATTTTGTTTTTATTTTTTCATTATGTAGCATTAAAAAATCCATTGTACTTATAATCCATTTTATCACCAAACCCTATTTTTTTACATGGCAAAACAACGTTTGCCGGGTCAGCTAGTATGTATATAAAAGGAGCGTAAAACATTACATTCCGTCGTATTCAATAATTGCTTTGTACATCCCATGTTCAATTCTCCCCTCATTCCCCTCTATATCCGTCGCGGAAAATGCAATCCAGTAACTACATATTATTATTTTTATTAACAATTTATGTATTATTTTTTAAATGAGTCATTGTTACTTGAAATGGAAATAAATAAAATAAATAAACTAATAATACTTTATACAAATTAAATATTATGTGTATTATAACGTTGTATCAGCTATGAATATCTTGCTCAGCAAATTCCAAAGCATCTAACACGTATTGAATAAATGTTCAATAACAGATAGATTTTGCAGAATACTCAAATGACTTTTATTGTTTCAAATTAGCAATTTACCGCTGCTTGTATCGTTTACCTAAACGATCACATCGCGTGCACGGAACTTATAAAGTTACTTTGTGTGGCTCTCTGTGCCTAAACTAATGGAACTGGTTTTTTGTCATTCTCTAATAGTTTAGTCTTTTTATATTTTTACCTGAAAAGAATTCAAATTCGTTCCTTTGTAAATTTTTATTGTTTCTCTATTTACCTCCATATCTGTTTTTTATAATAATTGTTGTATACACCCAACTGTTGTTTTCAACAATCTCAATAAGTTGCATTTTTCTTGTACAATCAATAGTTCTGTCGTAGGAGGGCCGCAATGTACCTAATTCATATTGTGTTTTGACCGTCAGCCTTGAAGAGTTGGTATCACAAAAATAACTTTAGAGGAAACAAGTAACAACAACCTTCGTTTAATAATAATGTCACATATTTTCCTAATCATCAAATGTTTTCCTTAATATTTCAATGTTACAGAACAATAATTATTATATAAATAAACAATATAATACATAATGAGATTTAAGATTTACGCGAGTGTTCATTTAAATGAAACTAATATTTTCGGATGTACCTACTACGCATTTAAATTTTTGATTACAAACTATACACTCCCGACGTTTCGGTTACTTTACAGCAACCGTGATCATGAGCAGACGAGATGAGTAAAGAGTAAAAACGGTTGCTGTAAAGTAACTGAAACGTCAAGAGTATGTAGTTTATTATCAAAAATAAAAATCGCGTAGTACATTTGAAAATGTTAGTTTCATTTAGATATAATATATTTTATATTAACTGTAGCAAAGAGACGAGTTACTCCAAGTGCAGATCTCAATATAATTACTAAACGTTGCTACCAAACTTACTATATTATTAATCTTTTTATTTTACGATCTTTTTTATTGCATTTTAACGTAAACAATAACTGTTAGTGTATAGTCATGTCACGCAATCAATGTGTTATTTATTTATTTTTTTATTTATTTTCCGTATTAACAAGAGTAGAAACAGAACATAATTCTTCTGAAAGGATTAATATAAGTATAATATATGCCTATGATTTCTATATGAAGATATCTTAATACTTCTCATCTTATAGTAAGTCACGTGTTTATTTCTTATTCCAGAAAGAGTCCCGTACAGACGTTCAGTTCCACCTGGCGGCGCTGCGAGGTGACTGTGAGCGACTCAAACAACTGCTGGACACGGGGAAGGTGCACATAGACTCCAGGGACAGGGTGAGCATACATAGACACACACACACACACACACACACATACACATATAGAATAATATCTCGTGTTACTGTAGAACAAAGATATCATGAATATTATTAATGTTCACTCATTCATATTTATTTTATTTAAAAAAACCTTTGAAAATGGAGCAGCATATACATTACACGTTTGAATCATCACACTACATTCAACTTGTTTCCCGTTTCTCACTCAACGACCGCCGTTAATATTATAATGTGAGAAGATTTATGGGGGAAAGACGATTGACTTTCGATTTTAATAACCCGCTAGTGTTCAATATTGTTGTAGTAACTGAATTGAACATAATTATAACTCATGTACTTTTGTCATTTTCATTTTCAAACAGTACACGAATCCTATCAAATTCAAACTATAATTTCTTTGTAGATTATCATAAAATATTTATATGAAAAGCAATCGATACAACATTAGTTCAGAATTTATAAACAACTTGTCATTCAACGAGATGATTTATCTTAATCAAGTACTAAATCATTAACGTTGTTTATCGTTCATGACGCTAGAACTTCTCGGTATTAACATTATTAGTAGTATTATTATAATGAAACAAAAACTAAACACTCGTAGTTTGTAGTATGTTCGTAGTCACCAATAACGGGGAAACAAAAGTCCAGTTAGGAGCCAACCCGCGGTATAGGAATGTTTTCTATCAGTAACAGATCTCGCACGGTTCACTTGATATGCGTTCCGCTGAGAATACTACAAGAGCGAACTCTTTAACATTATACTATATAATATATTATCGGGACGCTGGCTCCGTGCGAGGATATGAGTCATAGTTGTGTAGCAACACTGTGCTACTTTCACTGAAATATCCTTATGGTAAGGAGTTACGTAACACGCGGGTTATGGCTTTAGGTTAACGACGCGCTGAACAAATGAGACGGATGAAGAACTACCGACAGACATCACGTGTATACAATATAGAACACATAACTCAGCTTCATATAGTTACACGAGAAGCTGCCAAAAACAAAACACATTAAACGCTTATATAAGTACATGCTAGGTACAAGTTAGAGAATGATGCTAAACTATCAGAAATTAAAATACATATTACAGTGACGACGAGACTCACTATGATTTATGAACGATTGATTGATGATCTTATCAAGACAGATTTATTTGAAAAAACTAAATTCTCTAAGATAGAGAGACAGACGGGACATGTAATGTAAAGACGAAACACGTAATCATATTTAAAGTTTATGAACATGGGAACTTCTTGTGATGTACACTTCTTGTGATGTAACATGGGAACTTTATGTCGTTGGAGTTATTGGGTCGGTGGAGCGTGCGGCGATCTCGAACACATTATAACTAATATGTCATGTTATATATATTTCCAGGACGGCACCACCCCGCTCATCCTGTCAGCGGCCATGGGTCACACGGACTGTGTCAAGGAGCTACTGGCGCAGGGAGCCGACCCCACCTGCTGCAGGACGGTACGTACACACACACACACACACGCACACACACACACACACACACGCACACACACACGCGTTAAGTGAACACGTTAAGAAAACACAAAACAAAATAAGGGTGAATATACGCTATTTATTTGGCACTTTTTAAAATTAGTAATCACAAGGGCCAGACGATTATTATTATTTTTTCAGTTTTATAAGCACCAGAGGGAAATGTGTTACCAGAAGAGTGACACTGTTGCTAGAGTATAATAACAAATCAAAGAAGGATATTGTCATACCATTAATTATAATAATTATTAGCTAAGAAAGTTGACTAATATTAAATGAAACGTCTATTTACTTCTATTTATTTATTTTTAAAAATTGTCACTTCTCTGGCTATCATGTCTGTAATATGCCAGAGGAGTGACGCTAGAAAAGTGACAAAATCACACATAATGTATTAAAATTAACATCACTCGCTTTTCTTACATCATTTTAAGTTAATATTTAACATCTACGGACAATAAACATTACATTGATTAATTATAGAAATTAACAATTTCGTAACGATAAAATACAAATACATATATATGATTACCAAAGGGAATACTCCAACGGCTGGCACAAAATTACTTTCCGAAAGTTTGTCGAAAACTGAAAAAAAAATATTTATTTTTCCTCAAATTATTTAGGATTTATTCTTTAAGATAAAAAGCACAAAGTTGTGATTTTTAATAAATTTTTAAGTGACAGAATTGACAATTAACATGACTCGAAAATAAGTTATATTATTTTCTATTAATAGATATTTTTACTCTTAATTTTGTTCAAATATGTTTCGATGTTTATTAAAGCGTATGTCCACATTAAATAAAAAACATAATTGCGTACTTTTTGAAAGTATTCAGCCATAAGTTCATTTTAATTCATAAATGGGAAGGCCAGAGGAGTGTACCTTTAAAATATTATTAAAATTAAAAATATAAATTAAATAATTATCGTGAATAGTCTTTGTGGGCCAGATAAAATGCCATATTCTTTATTTGTTTGTTTGTTTAAGCATGTAGAGACAATGATATAATAAGTTTCACATAAAATCTGTCTATAGACCAATGGGATTCAAATAGCGTATATTCACCCATAAATCAATAATTAATTTCTTAGTCTAACCTTAAAACAAACACTCGTTCACTTCCTGGTAATTAACAACGCCATTTGCTGTTTTGTCGTTAAATCAATTAGTAAAAAGTAGTATTACTATTCGCCAATAGATGTCAGGAAGAGTCATATTTTAAACGACTCCTTTTTGTATTTTTTTAAATAAAATAACAGTAATAAAATAAAATTTTCTAAAAGTGATTCCTAGCTAGATCGATTTATCACCCCCGAAATCCCCTACATATTAAATTTCATGAAAATCATCCAAGCGGATTTCAAGATTCCAATAAATATACAGGGTGACTGGTGAATTACTAACGATACTTGAGGACGTGATATTTGACGATCATATATGACAAAATAAAAATTAATATAACATAAATATTAATAAACTTCTAAGTAAAGTTAACCAAAAGTTATGTTATTAATTACGCATCGTGTGAACACCCTACAGATTAGGTATACACACACACACACACACACACACACGCGTGCGGCGGCGTGGTGTTGTATCAGCACGCCGCCGCACGCGTCCACACTTGGAACACTTGGAACGTGTCCACACTTTATTTATTTATACGGAAATTTGGTCAAAAATTAAGTACCTATTTTTTTACATAATTCGAATGAGAATCATGTACCGAGTATTCTCCTTAAATAATGATAGTAATTCACCAGTCACCCTGTATAAGATTATAGGACACAGACGGGTCACTAATATTATTTGAATGTAAAACTAAAAATTCTCCTTCAAACCTTTGACAGTTAAATAATAACTGTATTCCACACTGGTAACATTTAAAGTATATGTCTCCACTCTTCTTCAGACTGGTACCAGTGCCCTGTTCTTCGCTGCTCAAGGCGGGTTCCTAGAGGCTGCGCGCGCTCTGTTGGACGCGGGCGCTCCAGTGGACGCTCCTAGTGTGGTAAATACTATATACTAAACTCCTCACCTCATTGGAATCATAACTTATATGTCTCTGTATGGAGAACAGTTACTATATCTTCTAAACTTATCTCTGTAAAGTTTCTCTTGCTTAAAATAACGAGGCTTTTAAAATGATGCCTGTACGCTACCACTGAGAACGTAAAAATGTCATTAATCGTAAATTTAAACAAGATCACGAAAACTTGTATTTTTTAATGACTTTGAATGTACAGAATAAACTATGTAGTTTGTAATACAATAGATTGGTGCGTGATGAAATGATGAAAAAACTAAACGATATTATAATGTATGTATGTGTATGTCCAGGACGGCGGCACGGCCCTGTTCGTGTCGTGTCAGTGTGGACACCTGCCTGTGGTGGAGGAACTCATACACCGAGGAGCGGACGTTAACTGTGCTATGAAGGTACACACACACACACGCACGCACACACACACACACACACACACACACACACACACACACACACACACACACACACACACACACACACACACACACACACACACACACACACACACACACACACACACACACACACACACACACACACACACACACACACACACACACACACACACACACACACACACACACACACACATACACACACACAGAGAGCAGTTACTATAAACCACCCGTCCTAACTTCCTGTAGAGGAGCATTCAAGTATTTCTAAGGTGTCCCATAAAACTCTTTAAGGGCCCGCCTCTCGTTGCCGAGGGCGCGGGTTCAAACCTGGCAAGTACCAATGTGATTTTTCGGAGTCATATGTACTTTCTAAGAGTATTTAGACACGACTGACATACGGTGAAGGAAAACATCGTGAGGAAACCTGGACTTATAGTTTCACAATTATAAGTTTGAAATTACCAACCCGTCTTGAGCAAGCGTGGTGATTAATGCTCAAACCTTCTCCATGTAAGAAAGAAGCCTGTGCTCAGCAGTGGGCTCTGATAGGCTGATGATGAAACGTATCCTCTCTCTCACCTGTGTTCTCCCTCCAGGACGGCGCCACTCCCCTTTTTATCTCGTCTCATCATAAAACTCTGAAGCAAGTCTCTTTCATCTCTTTCTCTCTCACCTGTCTCTCTCCCTCCCCAGGACGGCGCCACTCCCCTGTTCATCTCGTCTCAGAACGGCCACTCGTCCGTGTGTTCCCTACTACTATCCGCGGGGTCGCGTGTGGACGCCCGCCGGTCGGACGGTGCCACTCCCCTGTGGATCGCGTGTCAGTGTGGTCACGCGCCGGTGGTGCGGCTGCTGCTGGCGGCCGGCGCTGACGTGGACGCGCTCCGACAGGTAACACACCTACTACATCATGATACACCCTGTATAGTTCACTCACTCCTCAGTATGTATGTATGTCTGTCTCTCTCCAGGACGGCGCCAGTCCCCTGTTCAAGGCGGCCCACAAGGGTCACTCGTCGGTGGTGTCGGAGCTGCTCCGGTACCGCGCTAACAGAGGCCTGCTGCCGGTGAGTGTATACACACACACACACACACACATTATATATAGAACACTATACATACATCATATCGTCGCCTCGAGCCGTCTGTCCGTGAGTTCTCTGTATATTCTACGAGTACATACACTCCTGTAATCCATTCCCTTACTATACAACATATTAACTCCTCGTTCCCTTTGTTCATGTCGAGTCCCCTCTATTCCCTCTCCTACTGTGTCACTCCTCCACTCATTCTAAGACCCTCCTACCTACCTCTCGAGTCTCCGTCACTACTGCTCCATATCTTTATATTTAATATTTGTTTCATTCTATTGTTTCTTTTTCCTTGTCTCAGGTTCCACTTTTATACTATCTGTATGAGAAATATAACAGAGTGAGTTTCTTTAATGTTATAACTTGACAAATATTTATTGATCCTATTCTATCCTTGTCTACCTCACTCCTCTCTACTCCCCTCCGGTCACGCTTCTTATTATAAATATACTAAGACACCAGTTTGTCCACTCTATAAACTCCACCCGGTCCTACGGATTAATTAAGATATGTTCGGTACATATTTCTTATATCATTAAAGCTATCAGAGGTACATATGGATATCTATTTTTATCTATTTATAATTCTATGTAAACCTGAAATATTAGTCTGCAACTGGTGTTAATGTTATGTGCTCTTAATGTTATGAATACGAAAAATAGTGATGCCGTACAGATGTTTGGTGTTCTTACAAAACAAAAATATTTAACGGATTTCAATGAAATTCTACAAGAATGTAGATGAGTGATCAGAATAAGGCACAAGCTTAAACTGACCCAAGTGATTCTCAGAGCATTACAGTAATATTGTAAATAAAGTTACGTGATAGAGGCCATAGATGCCGCTATCAGTTAGTTACCAAATGTATAGTTTTAACATTTTTATACATTTCTCTCTTAAGGTCCATGTGAACGAAGTCACTGGCACAAACCAGTATGTATGTACATGCACATAATATATAAATCTGTTTCTATGTCCTCAGAACGGCCAGTCGGCGCTCCACGGCGCGGCCATGTTTGGGCACGTGTCGTGCGCGCGTCTGTTGCTGACCGGATGTGACGTCACGTCCGCCCTCCGGCTCCGTAACGCGGCCGGGCTCACTCCACCGCAGGCCGCCGCCGCGCACGGACGACACGACATACTCAAATACTTCGATTCACTCACTAAGACGCACTCGTGATGACTCGCGTACAACACGACTGTTGTTGCCCGAACACATGAAACTGTTGTTTAGTTCCTATTACATACATGCTGTTGAATCAATCCAACGCTTAGTCTGTCGAGCTGTACACGTTGTAAGCACAAGAAGTGCATGTAATATATTTTTATATTGATATAATAATGTTATTCTCAGTGAAGCACAATAAATGATAAAGCTTGCCTCAAACACTCCCCAGACTGATTGTAAGCTACTCTCCCCGGCCGGCTTGTATGTACACCTGAGTCTGTTTTTACACGGTAGATTGGTTCCAGAAGGAGCCGTGTAAAAAAAAACCGTGTAAAAAAAGGCATTGATCTTATACAAAAATGGGTGATTTGTTCCTAATCTCTAAAACCTATTAAAATTAGTGAAAAACAAGAATTTTTAAGAACAAGAATTCATGTTTATTTTATTAAATCAAATATATAATGCTTATTTTCACAAGCATAGTAATTAATGATAAAAAAGATATGCACTCTAATCTTAAAAGTAATATACATATGCACATAAGGGAATTCCCCTAAATTAGTGCTATTCACATTTCCTTGGACCAGTAAAAATTGTTTGTACGCGCTAAAGGGGAATTCACTTAAATCTTTAAGCTAGTGTTCGCAAACTATCGATACTATCGATGGTTTCAGACTTTTTTCTTTCATAAATACTTTTTTGTGATATGAACCAACTTCGCAAAAATTAAATTTGACAAAAAAAAATTAAGTACATAAAATTTCAAATCGTGCTAAATGGAATAAAATCGTGTAAAAAAAATAAAAATATTCAATTTTCAAACCGTGTTATATCAAAACCGTGTACAAAAAGACCGTGTAAAAACAGACTTAGGTGTACTCCAAGTATCTCGTACTACTCTCATAATCATATTAACTCGCCGTTTCTTCATACCTCATACATTTTACATTCATACAAATATATAAAATCCTCTGACCTGTATTCACATACAAGTGTATTGTATATCAAATATATTGTCCGATTCATTATAAGACTCGGACTTTTAACGTTAAGTTATTTTTTTTAAACTAAGGTTTATTTTTTTAACTTCAATTAGATATTAATCGGTGCTTTAAGTCTTCTATAAGTACATTAAAATTGCTAGTCAATTAGAATTTTATCTAAAAGTATGAATTAATGTTCTACACGAGTCTCGGAAGAATTAAAAAAAACTGTAAATATTGTTTTAGATATAATTTTTTCTTTTAATGTTTTTTTAATCTCATTTATTGTGAACAGTGTATATGTGGTCAGTGTCTTGATGAACACACATCATGTTCCCTGTAACGTCAGTGTTATAACATGTGTTAGTGTACTTTATACATACATCGTTACTTATTTTAATGGTTGATATTAATATAAATATAGTTGTTTAAAAATATTTTTGCGTTTCTCATTTCTAACCTCCTCATGGATTCCTCTTTACAGGGTGTGTTCAAAAAGTTACTGAATTGAACGAAATACAATAAACGTTTAAAATAATTAAGTTTATTAAATTTCTGTTAAAAAATACATATTATAATATTAACGTGAACAAGTTAACAGGGAGCTGTTTTTTTTAAACTTAATCATCTCATTGTGATACATCCAGTTTTGTACTGTATAGGTCTTGTATTACTACACTATACTACACTTTATCACATTATCCACAACAGTATAAAGTTATGACAGAGAAATAGTAATCAATGTATAGTTCATGTTATCATTATAGTAAGTCCTGTGGACATTTTATAAATAACTCCATTGTGTATCAATATCGTGTCAGTCACGTTCCATGTTATCTAAACAAACTCGAGCAACCTCGGCCAGGGTGCAGGCGGAGGGTCGGTCACCGGCTGTGAGAGATGTACAGTGGTAGAACAATGTTAGTGGAGCGGAGTAACGCTGTTCACATATGTTGATGGGAATAGGAGGGACCGTGCCTGGAAGAATACAATTATATGCATTAGATAATAGTAGAGTTGTAAATTCATTTATCACTACCATCAAAATAAATAATTTTCAATAAAAAATAAGATGACAGAGGAAATTAAAGCCACTCACCGAATCTACTGAAGCAATCCATACTGTCATCAGACACGACACTGTCATCAAGAGTCTCGTCTATAGAGTGTGGAGGAGCGAGGGCCAACATCTCCCAGAATGTAAGACCCAGTGACCAAACATCTGTCCTGTTAGTGATCACTCCTCCGTGGATAACCTCCGGAGCACTCCAAGCTTCTGTACCTACAACAAATATATTAATTTGTTACAATAATAACAAACATAATGTTTATTAAAAATATAAAGTAATGAAAGAAAACTGATTGTAACATCCAATAGTATAAATAAATAAAGTAACTCCAGGATTTAAGCATGTTAATGTAACAATAATGTTGTAACACTGACACACTATTGTTCTAGTTTTGTTCGTAGTGAACTCTAAATTAAACATTTAATTGTTTGATTTATTGCCAGCGGTTATGATTACAACATTTATAATTATATATAATACATTATCTTCCATCATATGAACATGTTTTATAATTACCATAGTAAACAGCGTTGCCTGCATTTTCTTTGTTAAAAACTCCATTCTCATCGAGCGGTAAAGTGACTCCAAAATCACAAAGTTTACAAATAACAAAGTTACCATTGACCAAAATATTATATGATTTCATATCACCATGAAGGATTTGCATCTTAGTGTGGAGATAATCTAAAGCACTACCAATGTCAAGTGCAACCTGAAATATAATAAGTAATGAAAGCCACAAATCAATTGATACATAATTGAATATGTCAATAGTTCTAACATAGTTTCAATAGAAATTATACCTTTACTATTTGCCAAGGGGCGAATGGCTCACAGTCTTGTTCTTCTACTCTTTTTTCAATCATGTCTCCGAGGGATAGATCACAGGCTTCCATTCCCAGGTATAAGATTTTGGATTTACTGAACGCTCTAAATCCTACGATATTGGGATGCGACATACGCTTCAGCAGGTCAGCCTCGGCCTGCAGTCTTTCCGTGTATACTTTATTTGGTTTTACACGCTTATTTAACATCTTGAGAGCCCATGGTGATCGAATCTGTCCGGCTTTGGGCGATCTTACTAGCTGCATAACTGATACACCTGTTTAAATAACATGTTAAAAAGTTTAGTTTATCAATCGAATAACAGTTTCAGAATAACTAGAGTTAGAAATCTTATACCTGTTCCATAACCGAGTCTATTTAGAAATGGAGAAGGTGGAATAACGATTTTATCATCAGTTTTTAATGATGTCTGTGTTTTAACTGGAGTTTTAAATTCGGCCATCGTATTAACGCAATGATTACTATTTTGACAATATTTCTAGAGAACTTAATAATATCTCTTTATGTAGAAAGCACATAAAACAAACCAGTCACTTATTCATTTAACTGTAATATAATACTTCAAAAACAATTCAAATTGTTTAGTATTTAACGGAAAATCATAGTTTGACACATGTAATGACATTGAAATTTGAAAAGTTGAAATATCTGATAGTGATGGGACGCGTAGTGTCTACGTACAGGATCCTTATGTTTGATATTGCCATATACAATTAAATTAATTATTACATATTTATATAAAATATGAATTAAATAGGTTGTAGGACAAAAAAAACTCTTGAATGTTCTTGAGGTTAAAAGTGTTCTTTTATATGCGCCGACTACAGTGAAATGATGGCATTTGCATATTTTACTTCCCAATCCAAATTAACATATGAAAAATATTCAACGGTACTGACTTTGGATATAGAGGTAGTGGCATTCTCTTTTCTCCATTTTCGAATGAAATTGATATCGGTACTATTGCCGACCCTCTTTGTACTGCACATCAACGGCATATTGGAAACTGATATTATAAACAGAAGTTTCGTCAGTTTTGAATTTAAAAGGGTCGCTATATGAAATACTCTTCTTCTTCCTGGCAATTTCCCAGCTATAGCCAGGGTGTGCCTTACATGTTATGAATAGTTTTGGCTAATTGTTTTTACGACCGACCGTCTGCCTGACATCAGCCCTCTTTGGGAATGCATTAACAAGTGATGTTTAAATACTTTTAGAGAGTACATATGAGTCGGAAAAATCACATTGGTACCTTCCCGGGCCAGGATCGAACCCGCGCCGTCGTGCATGAGAGGCGGGCCTTTTAACCACTAGGCCACCACTGAATTATTATACGTTTCTCATACGTATCCATCATTATAGTCCAATGCGGAGCCACTTTAAGGACAGTAAAGATTATATTTGTTTGCTTAATTGATTACAACTAGTAAGTTTTCGTTATACAAGAGAAAAACTATTGGGACCTTGAGAATAGATGTATCGAAATATCTTTTTTTTGTCATCCGTAAAGCATAGCATTGGTTGGGTTCTCCAAAAGCACGACTGAATTTAGAGCTGCGGTTATTGTACAAATCATATTTTTTTCATCACCTGATGGACTGTTTACTTCACTAGACCAGAATCTCAGGCCCTCAATAATCTATTAAATCAAAAAATTTAAAGGAATCATTCAACATATTAAAATCGTTACCACATGCCTCATTCACTCAGCGTTGTGGGAAGTCATCCACAACAAATGGGTTTAGCGTCTTTGTGAATGTGTTCGGTCATTGAGGTTCCTAATAATCTTCCCCCCGAGAACTACGAGTATAATAAATAAAAGAGAAAGTTTCAAGAAAGAAAAGAGAAAGATGGATGTTAGTTTTTGTTGGACCATATCATTTGGAATGGGAAAGCTGTTTGTTATTTCTAGAATACTAATAATACAGTATACAAGTTAAAAATTGATATATAATCTTGAGTGCGTCCGTTACTAGTATAATTGATTGTTCCTTTTCTCAACTTATTATAATTATTAAAGTCCATTAATGGTTTTCGGATGGTAAAGAACAGTGAAGGTCGCTGGTCAGTAAAGAAAACCAGTGAAAAACAACGAATTTATTGAATAAGAGTATCCTCTGTTGTTCTGTTTATCGTTACTCAATGGACGGAAGTACAGTTAAGCGAGCATCACACTTTAACTTTGAAAATAATCTGACAGTAAAGTTCATGTTGTTGACATATAGTTTGTCGTTTTATAGGCGAACGTAAATTGAAGAAAATAAATAGGTACTCTGATTCCAAAACTGTAAATGCAATATCTTTTTCAATTTATTAGTACATAGGTATATAATTTAAGATGGGCTGCATCCTTTAATGATTAAAAATATAAATGTTGTATTTTGAATTTGTAAGGTCATTTTGAGATTCAATTTTGGTAACTATTTAATTTATCGATTCCTGTAAATCTTTACAGTTTCAGTGCGTTTTTATTATGATAACAGACTATAAGTGCTGACTTATGACACATCACAACTTTTCTGTATAAAAATATGTCATACAAAGCTTTAGTTTTGCTCAACTAAAACAAAACATGTATGCAATGAATACATATAGTGCAGTGTATTCAGTGTTACAGTATAGACCCCACTTTATACAAACATTTTAATCACTGAACATCGACTAATACCGATCGCAGTGATCGTACATCGTCCTCAGCGCCCGCGCGTGTTTCATATCATGTGGTCACAGTGTTGAAATGTATTGTCCTATCAAGATGTCACTGTGCAACTCATACAGGTATGTGAATTAGTGCGTTACCGGCTACCGATCATTAATTAAATAATTTATTTATTAATTTGGCCAACTTTAAAAGGATATGAATTTAACTGTTTAAATTTCTACACAGAACATTTGCAGCTCTAGCCTGTCTGAAATTTAAAGCTGAGTGTTTTTCTATTTGCTAGAAAGAACTTCTCTTAATTCATTCAAATATTACGCCGCTTGAATAGTCTGGATTATGAAAGTATTAAGTAAGGTCGGTTGCAGCCAGTAATCGTACCTGAACTAAATGGAAATTAATCTACCACATATATTTTTTTTATTGACAAATTAATAGCAGCAAAACAAACCGGCTGATGACTTCAGAACCAGAAAAAACGGTATTACATGAATAATGATAACTCGTTAGGCCCAACATTAGCAGCTTTCCCTCGATTTGTTTATTACGACGGCTACTGTTATATCTTCACTCGCCATCTCTACTTCATTAGGTACTTAAAATAGGTTGCACTCTTATAATGTAGAAACAACATTTATATATCTACTTCCCAAAAATACAATAAATTTATTTCGTAATATTTTTTGTTAATGTTTTAATTATATATTTATTTGATAGCGACTACAGTCAAATCAATTATTTTAATTATTTTCGATACAGTTACAGATAGGATTATCAGGAGTAAGATTTACAAAACAAATAATTCCTTCAAAATCTCTTCAGCGACACGGTTAGGCAGTTTCCTAATGCTTAAAAGGAAAGAAATTTCCCTAATGCAAACGTGAAATTAATTTAACAAATTTAAATGTAATTTAAAATCATTCCTCTCGTCGTTGGCTGCAGTTGTAGAAAAAAACAAATAATTATTGACATAACTATTTTTCTACTAGCAATCAAATAAGCTCTTGGGCTTCATTTTCGTGGCTTAATTTTCAATTTCACGCTGAATGGATTTTAAATGGAAAAGTACCGTGGTCCTGAAACCAAAAAACCTATTTGAAGAAACCTACATATATTAAGTAAAGGTTATTAAAGTTTGTTATTTTAAATATCAGATCGTTTTTATAGATGTGAGTTAACAAATATGAATTGAAAACCAGTAATCGTGCATCAATGTCTATTGTGAACTTGAAAAAACTGTTTGTAGTAAACCATTTATTTGCAGTCGAGAGTCTTAGATCACAGAAACGCGAAAAAATGGTTAGAAGATGAAAGACAGTTCTTGAGTATAAAAATATAAACATATTTATAACTACCGAGGTTCGTCCGGAAGTTAAATTATAATAATAATAGTGAGACAAGGCATAATAAAGATATGTGATCTGATTTAGCGTCTGGGAGTTTAACAAAACATTCGAATACAATGGTATTATATTCGTTTATTTTATAAACAATGCTAAGGTAATTATAATAAGTAACATCTCTAATAACAACCTTTAGGATGGGCCACACAGTTTAAACTCCTCGTATTTTTCTAGTAATACTTACATATTTATTCATCGGTTTCTATCCGCAATATATTTTTAATTATATTTATATAAACGTTTAGTTCCGAGACTCGTGTAGCGTATCTAATAGGTTCTTTCTCATTCATTATAATGACATCTTAATTTCTAATGCCTTCATCCGTCCGTTTCTTAATGTTCATTCATTACGGTGATATTTCGCGTGATACTCGTAGCTGAAATGTGCGTGATTGTTTTCAGCTTGAACGCTACCGTCGGCTGTTGGGAAACAAAACTAAATTACCGATCGATTCGGTTACATCACCACTGTCGAGGGCGATTTAAAAATATTCCAACGATTTATCAATTATTGTTACAAATAAGGTTATCGTTCCAGGTTGATCGTCGTGTCGTGTGTCGTGTTATCGCTTATTGACACACATGCAGCATTCACGCTCCGCCGCCCCACTCACGATACTGACGCCAGGGACCTGGACCAACAGGAGAGTGTCCTGCTGGAAGTCAAACACAAATTGAACAGACCGAACGATATTAGAAATGATTCCCAAAGAAATGCAAACGTCACTGGGCTCAGCGATGACGTCGACTTGACTTCATCACGACTACTCACAGACATGATGACGGTCACTTCTAGTGATAGAGTCATCTCTACAGAGAAACCGATCCAAGTAAACACGGACATCACGACAGATGCAACTTACATTGAGAAAACTACTAATGAAAATAAAGTTACTCAGACCGTTGTTGAAAGTTTTGAACCTACAACATTGTTTTTGTTAACGCAGAGCCCAGCCTTAGACACAGAAAAAGAAACTACAACTTTCCAAGATAATGTGGAGTCTTTAAGTTCTAGTTCAGGGACATCTTCAGGAACGAAATCGAGTAACACTCTGCAAGAACCAAGGACTTTAAGTGTATCTGAGGATACAAAACCATCTTGGAAGAAATATACAACGATAGAGAGAACACGTTCCAGTACCACAACTCCTAGCCCATCGATACTAGGAGAAGAGACTACGACCTATACAACATTAGGGACTGAAGTGAAAACAGAAACGAAACGATTAAGGAATTTATTCCAGAATGCATCCGATATAGCATCATTAGAGAAATTAAAAATAGAACTTTTGCTAACAACTCAAAGGCAACAACTTCAAGCATCAGAAAATAAATTTTCTAGACTTTATTCATCCGCACCTCCTACAACCGATCAGTACATTAATAATCCTTCAGGAGTTTCAGAAGAAGTTCCAACGACTGAATCAAATGTATCTAGTGATAATAGATATACAGTGGAATCTAGGAGAGGTGGATATTTAGATTATTCAGCAAAGAGCACAGCTGATGATGTGGCTGTAACTACAGAGACTTCTCCTTTAGAAGCCTATAAAGAAAAAGAAGCGCCGTATGTTAAGCACGAAGTTGAAAACGAGACCGATGTTCCTTATGAGAAGACAGGCTTTAGGATGGAGTCGCAGAGCCAGTTGGTGAGTTATGAGTCTATGATATATAGGTATTTAAACAAAAAATTCGTTCGTACTTAAGTAAAAGTTAAGACTAAAGAGGTATCAGTATACTTTATTAACTACAATCAAATATTATAATTATTAATATTCAACAAATTGAAGTTTACTTTGATAGTGATGAATAACATTAAATATTGAAGTTTGCTAATTTCATGCACTACGGTTCGCAGCGTGAAACGTCATAACTGTTCTTTAAGATTAGTCTAAAAGAAAATCTCATGCTCAATTCATTCGGTAATCAATAAAGTAGTAGTTTTATACTGGGACCACTAAAGAACTCATTGATATGGAGATCGACAGTGTAGGCTTCTACCGATCTTAATTCCTTCAGTGTCTAAGTCCGAAGGATGAGGAAAACATTATTTAATTCAATCGGGTGATTTATACTATTAATATAATATTTGTACTAATTAACATGATTAAAATTTTGTTGCAAATTACTGTTTTCAGTTTTATTACAATATTGAGTATGAAAGCGGTAAAGCAGAACCGTACCTTGTGAATACTGTCGAAGAATGTGATATATGTATTACAGTTCACTTAACTTAAATTATTGTATTTTTCAGAATGAAGATGCTTTAAAGGAAGAATTATTGAAAGAAGATGTATTGATAGATAACGAAGAAAACGCGAAACGTATCCGAGACGACAGGTTACCTAACTCCTCGAATATTGAAATAAATAGTAACCAAGATAACTCTCAAAATAATTCTCATATTGATGACAAGCTCATGGTGAAACCCATAGATATGAACACAGAGAAAAACACTATTTTATATCCCGTTAGTTCTAACTATAAACCTTTGAAGAAAATAGAAGTAAAACCACCGAAAGTGTTCATCAGAGACCCAGACGATAACAGTTGGAGGAACGAAAGTCTCAGTTCCTTAGGAATTGTTTTTAAATCAAAAAATTCTTCGAAGCCTTTCACTCAGGTTTTGAAAAATAAGACCGAAACAGAATTAAATAAATTAAATGAAAAAGACGAGAAAAACGAAACACCAGAACTAAGAGAGCGGCTACAGAAGATGGCGGAGATTAGGAAGTCGAAAAAAAAGAAAACTGACTCCTTGGGAAATGTTGTGTACTTCGATTACGAAGAAAGTGTTTCCGGAGAAAAAGGAAAAACATCTAAAGAAGAAATTCCAACTGCTGTTAATGAAACAAACACAAACCTCGGATCTTCTGAAAAATCTTCAGATATAACGACAAATTCATCCTCATCATCATCAACAACAACAACCACGGAAAAATCAATTTTTGATGAATTTATTCCTCCGTCAACAAAAAAACCGAAAAAATTCTTTAACGTTGAATATTACGATAATACAGAAGACGACGACACCGACTACCTCAATATGGCTAAGATAGATATCAAAAAATACACAACAACCAAGATGTCAACCACAATGTCAAAGATACGAGACTGGTCACGACCCACAGTTTTCCACAAGCCAACTCCTGTTACATCACCGGAAAGAAAAGGAACCGTACAGTACTTCCCGCCGCTTACAACACAGAAAGTTAACATCAACGATTACGATACTGACTTTAAATCTAAGGTGAACTCTTTCACTACAGAAAGCGAACCACCGAAGAACGTGATACCGATGTCGACACCCCTTCCGACTAAAACTGTACATGGAACAACAATACAGTACAATGAATACAAAAACCAAGGTAGAGAATTCACACCAGTACCTCAACAAAACTTGGACAAAAATTTATATCTCACAAGGCCGCCTTTAACGACCGAACTATTTACTTTACCTGGCGACGGTAGAGACGGATACGTCGTAAAACATTACCGAGATTTCATCAATCAGGCGGCGAAAGACGAAGAATACGACAAGAACATAGATTACGCCTTCGTAACTCAAGCTCCGATACAAGGTGTCACCAAAACAGATCTCAACACATACCAGAAGGATAAGTCGAGACTCAACACTGGCGACGACTATGACTACGAAACACATTTCCGAAAAGACGTTTTACAGAGATTCGTTGACAACTTCAACCGAAACAGCCACAGGTATGACTTGATGTCTCTGGGTTTATATTAGTATTCTGGATTTAAAAAGTTCATCCTTGGTGTTGACAGCACTGGGCTTAGGAATTAATGGTCTTATATGAAAAAAATAATTCTTTGATACTAACTTCAGCGGTTTACACAACACAATATTGGTTGTTTTTATCCATTTAGTCTCCATTCACAAATATAGGAAAACCTTACTGAACTGAAAAGAAAACGAATGTACCTGTATATTATTACAAAGAACTAAACTGAGATAATTTTGACGATAAAAGTTAAGGTCTTTTTATGACCTTTGGTCTTTAGCGATATTTTGGCTCTTACCAAAAGTTATCTGTGTAGAATATAATATGTCTCTCCTATTGTTTCAACAGATACATTTGATAGTTTAGTTTGAGTTTTTACTCTCCCACAACAAATATTAAAGAAATCGAGTTCTGCTTCTGTTCTTGCCTTTTTTATACCATTTATAAAAAAAAAAAACGATGAAATCAATTACTCCTTTTTTTGCGAACTTCAAAATACTGCTTGTTTATCACAATTATCTTACAGAGAGGACGAAACTCAATAGATGTACATTATTTTATCTTATCTTAAAAAAAATCTCTTCGACTATTTATTTATTGGAAAGAATTGTAAGGCCTGTAAAATTCTCAACTAAATCAAAGACTGAACTGAGGCATTAAAATCGAAAATATATTAATAAATTGTCGGAATTTGGCGGGCTTGAGTGGACGAAAAATAATACAGCTTGTTGTTCTTATAATAATTTTAACCTGTTCATCATATTTCTTATAAAAAAAGTCACCAGAACCATGTTTGGAACATGTTAATATATTATTGTAACACATGCGAGTAAACACTAAACTTATTCTCCTCAGAACTTTTGTATGAACTCCTCTAAGCTCCTTGTACTTTGGATATAAGACATCAGCGCACGAGGTGTACTGTTTCGTTACAATCAACCAATGTTTACATCGGCAGGTTCAAGTCTGATTTCCCGATCCTGTTCAACAACAGCGTGATCCACAGTAACGCCAACCAGGGCGGCGAGGTGGCGTCGTCTCGCGCGTTCATGAGGGGTCTGTATGAGAACAGGCTGAGGTCCCGCGCCCGGGGCTGCGAGCCTCACTGTGACGTCACCGTGGAGCTGTCCCCCGCCTACGAGCTGCACTACTACGTGCCCGAGCAAGAGGAGAGGCAGGAGGCCGGCTCATACAGACACGTGTGACCATCAATATTACTCGCGAACATTCTAGTTGCCATTCACGAGTGCTTTGTATTATACATATGTATGAAATGACATTAACTTTTAACAGATATTTGACTTAATATGACGTCTCTCGAGTGGAGTCTATCCATTGAAATAATCATTAATTAAAATATGTAGCACTCGGAGATTTCTTTCTTGTAGGTAAAGTTATAATATCATAGACAAATTCCATTTAAATCAATGAATGTGTATATTATTATGATTCATATTTTAAATGAACCTTTTATTTTTATTTACACGCCATCTCTGTCTATATTGTTTATGGCGTGGATTCTTCAGGTTCAATCCTAAGTAGTTTGTCTATGTATATATTATTTTCTATGTAAAGGTTAGTGTGAGTAGTAAGAGTTAGGTATTTATTATGAAATAATGTCTTAGATGAAGACTTCCTTAGATGCATTAATAGAAACTTATGAAACTTTAATAAACTTGTAAATAATCATCTTATATAGTAGACGTAGTTGTTAGTGTTGCAGATGTGTTGTGATCTATATGACATGTAGATGTTGGCTGATTTTAATATAATAAACTTACTGACACCGAACATGGCGTTTTAATATTACAAACTTATTTTAATGAAATTGAAAAACAAAAATAACAAAGATGACAAATATTCGTAGTTTAATATTACGAAACAGTTATTTAATACAAATATTTTGATGATTAGAAACTTATATTCTGTTTCACAAATGTACTTTTTATAAAATCAATATCAGAAGTTATGAGTTATTAAATATCAAATTAATAGATATGTATTAATGGTAGGAGGTACACGATAGAAACAAGGCTGGCTGTTTAAAATACCATTTTATTGACATTATCATTTTATAATATGTAGTACGCAAACATCACTCGATCAGAAGATCTTTACCAGTTGTCATTTGAGCATAAAATATTAGATAAATGGTTCGGAAGATTATGACACCGTGGAGGGAAATACAGCCCGGGCGAATAAATATATGACATACAATATACAATAAAGAAAACTCAAATAAAACAAGACGATTCGATAAATGAACACATTCCTCTTTGGATAAAAAATAGTGGTTTATATACACGACGACGGAACGACAGTGGGCTGTGGCCGGTACAGATAAATAAAGAAACAGAGGCAGCTGAGAATGAGGTACGAGAATAACACGAATATTGCAAAAATAACATTAAAAATAACTTAAAAGAAATACGTGTGGAATACATCGGCTGCGGTTGACCGACGGGTAGCTCTTAGACTACACGCGGAGACAGCTCCTGGCCCGAGCGAGCCTTCTTATACTGCGTTTAATAACAAACGGAGGAAAAACATCGGCTCGGACACACACAGAGACGAACGAGTGGCTGACGAATTAGAAACGAACAGTGCTCCGAGGTGCGACCGGTGTACCAGAGAATGTCGTTTTGTATAAAATCTGTTAATATATTCTATCGCTTTAATATAACGGACTCCGTACACTGCAAGCGGTGTAGATTTAAACGCCTAATCTTATTACATAGACCCTAGGAGGCGCGTTGATCCGCCTAGTGCCCTATCTATAGATAAAATTCGTCTATATCTAAACCTAAGCTCCACCGGTCGTGACGTGTCGGGGGTCGAACGCAACATAAGCATCTCATCCGATACATCGATAAACAATAATATAAAAAGTAACCAATAAATATTAAAGCAATACGTCGCGCGGAGACGCTCGGCCCGCGACGAACCCAATTACAGTATTGATACATCGTAGTTTAGACTAAAAGCGACTATATACAAGGGCGCCCCCCCTCCTGCCCCCTCCTCCCGCCCGTTATGTTATCCAGTCTTTCGTTTCCACTACACTAAGCGCTCGTACTCTAACGTCGTAGATATGGATCGAGGTCGAAGCTTCAACTAAACACTAAATAATAATAATAATATAATAGATGGAGTGTCGAGATGGTCGCGTGTGACCTCACACACCTCACACGTGGCACCGCCGAGACGAATAGGAACTGAGAGCACCAACGGAACTAGGAACTCGGTGCACTCGCTTATAAATGCAAAACGATCTCATACGACGAGCGAGGAGACTGAACCTCGACCGGCGTAGGGTCGGACGCGTGCAGTCATCTCTTGTGAGAAGCGAAAAAGATAAAAAAATAAATGTCCGCGAGCAAATTTCGACCTTACTTCGATAGTGAGTATGTTTCAAATTTCCGTATACTTACATAACCATATCCATAAAGCTCTAAGAGGAAGCCTCACTATAAATATATTAATTAATGTAATCATTTCATTAAATATTTTTTAAATATCATTTACACATTCATACAAATCCTAAAATCACTAAAGCATACTCGATGTCCAAACCGAACCGCTACGGATCTCTCCGAACATATAATCTTTATACAATGTCCACGAGGGGCGCGGTCTCCTCGTAGTTAGATTCATATCGACTAGTAAACTGTAAACGGTCTGCTCGGCCTGTGACGTCACAGTACAGCGGCACGACTCAGGAAACAATATCAACACTACCATCGATTCGTGCAAAAATACAAGTTCTCGATTAAATCTCTTTCATAAGACACTATATATTATGTATTAATGTTTTTTTTTTATCTTAACCTGAGCGATGTCTGTTCGTGGCTCCCTAGGGCGTGTGTTCCCTAGGGCCCGTCCTTGCCCCGTCTCCAGGCGCTAATCGTTAAAAGCCGTGCGCTTCTTAAATTTAAATGCCGAAGGTCATACACCAGCTCTTCAAAATCTTATTTTGGATATACATACGCCTACAACAGACCGCGATCTGTTAATTTCTAAACCCCACCCCGTCCGTTAAAACCTAGAACTACTTATATATACATATATAATCATTTTTGAAAGCGAACGACCTAACGTATTAAATGTTCGAAATTCCCAGTCCCTTCGACACGAGGGTCAGACACCATCGTAGACGACTTTACTAATGAAGCAAACGGAATCCTCATATATAGATACAGCACGTGTATCTGCGCCGTGGTCGCTGACAACCGACCGGCGGGGCCCGCTCGCTGGCCCTCCTTATATAGTGTCGTGTGGTGGGTGGGGCGGGGCCGGTGGTGGGGGGACGCTACTAGCTGGCCACGTGCGTCACTCGCTGGCCGAAGCTGCCTCGCAGAGAGTCCTCCATCAATCGACAGATCTTGTCGCGGTCGGCCTGTAAACAGGAGGTTTTTTCATTAATATTAATCTTTATATATTTACAAATTTCGTGTCACGTGTTTGTCCGCGATGGACTCCTAAACTACTAAACCGCTCTTAAATTTGATTTGCATTCCGTGTGAATTTTGATACAACATGAAAGATAAGATAGCTAACATCATCTATACGCAGATGATGTATAATTATATTTCTCTTTTCGGCCACGAGACACAGATGACGCTATATGTAATATTAATTAGGATCTGCAACGTATCACCAACTAGGCTGCAAATAATTCACTAATACTAAATCCAAAAAATTCTAAATATATATGTAATACTAGGTTCAACAAAAATGAGTAAATCAATTGAAAGATTACAGCCCCTTATTAAGATTAATGGTGACGTAGTACAAAGAGAATCGGAGGTCAGAAACTTGGGTGTTATTTTTGATTCCAAATTGCATTTTGAAAAGCACATCTCAAATACAATTAAAAGCTGTTTTTACAGATTGAAATATGTATAGGATACGACTTTACATAAGCACTGAGGTAAGTATTCGACTATGTGAATCACTTATACTATCGAGGTTAAACTATGCTGACACCGCATACGGTCCATGTTTATTGGAAAGAAGAAAAAAGCTAATACAGCGAGTACAAAATGCTTGCGCACGGTTTTGTTTTCCGATTCCTCCCCGAGCACATGTCAGTACATATCTTAATAATGCAAGTATGCTTAACATGTCAGCTCGACGAGACTTACATTTAGCCACAATGCTCTTTAGTATTGCAACCTCTAAAAAGCCTGAATACCTTCTCCAAAAAATCAAATGGGCACGAGAAGGTAAGAAATATGGAATAAGAGGTTCAGTCTATCGGATCTCCGTACCGAGGCATAAGACAGCTGCATTCCGCGGTAGTTTCAGCTACGCCTCTAGCAAAATTTGGAATACCATATCTCCCCCATTACAAAATTCGCAATCATTATTTAATTTTAAAGTCAAGATTAGAGCATATTTGTTAGAAAGACATAAAAGCGTTATCTAGAGGCGAAAACTATCGTATGTATGTCTAGTTAAACTTTCAAATATCACTTTTAGCAAAGACTTGATTCTACAATCTAGACCAACTACTTTTTTATTTGTTTATTTTACTTTCCCTTAGGTAAAAACCTTTAATAGATGCTATACTGCTACTGGTCCAAAACATTAACACGTGGCAACTGAAAACCAGCGCTGTAATAAATCCAAATTTATTGCAGCAGTACGCTGAGTTGCAGCCTTTTTTGGTTAAAACACCTCAATTCTGTCTCCAGTAACTCGATAAGATTAAAATAATTTTAATTTTAAAAATGGTGGTGGTTTTTTATCTTATTATTATTTTAAATGTTTTGTTTTGTTTTTGTTCACTGTTACTTTTTTATATGTTTTTTCTTTGTAATGTTGTTGTTTTAACTTGAATAAATTATTTATTATTATTATTAACATCTCAATTTATAGTCACAATATTATTTTATTGCAAAATTATTTATCTATTAAAGAAAATTATTTGTAATTATTACAATTATCTGTTAACTGAGTTAAGTATTCAATAGATAGCGCTATGTTAAAAATACAAACGTCATATATGAGCGACTATTTAATAATAGTATAACTAAATTTATTTATTAAAAAAACGTAACAGATATTTCTTGATTATAGGGCGATACGAAGTTCGCCGGGTCTTCTAGTATAATATATATGACGATTGCTTGTACGTCTTATATTTCTAGGGACCGCGTTTTCATTGTACTCTATTTGTTGTTGTTGTTAGTTATATTCGTGACCTCACCTCGTGTATGAACCCCAGCGCGACCAGCTCCGCGGCGAGCGCGGCGGCGGAGTCTCTCCTGGTGACGGCGCACGTCAGCTGGCGGTTCATCTTGTCGTCCATACGGAGCAGGATCGTCATCTACAAACATGAATATATATTCATTATAGTAAAAGGCCCAACAAGATGGAAAAAACACCTTTTGTTACACAAAATCTATTGAAATTCCTTTCTGATCTCTGTATCTACATATATCTTAGGTTTAGAGACGATTTATTTCCCATTAAGAACAAAGTTCACTTACATAGGAAACTTAAACTAGTAACATAATAATATACATTTATAAAGTTAATGGTGACCTTATTTATACAAACATTCAAATATTATACAGTTTGACAGTATGTTTTTAAGTTAGCCTTAAATATCAAAAAAGATTTTTCGTTAAATATTTCTTTCGGTAGATTATTGTACATTAGCGCTCCCTCAAATTGTATAGTTTTGTTACCATAATGTTTAGTTCTAGATTTAGGTATTTGTAATTTATATGTATATATTTTTTTAATGATGCATTATAATTCGTCAATTTTGCCCAATTTGACTAAACTTCTAACATGCGCATAAAATTTTAAAGAAGAGGAGGTCATTGTAACCGAGCCATAATCATGAGTAATTTGGTAAGTGAGTGGTTCATTTTTTGGTGGTGTTAAAGCCACTATTTATTTATTTATTTATTTATTTATTTGGAGTTTTTTGGAATAAATTTTGTAATTTTTGGTATTCCGTTAAAATATTTTATACTTAGGTCGGACTCACCATTTTGTTTACGCTCCTCAAGCTCATTCTTTAAATTTTGTAAATATTTAAATTGAGTCGGAGTTTGATCCCAAAAAATACGAATACTTTTATTTTTTGTTAATATACGGTTTCTTAATATACAGTTCGCAATGTCCTGACTATCAAAACATACCTTTATGTTGCGATTTTTACTCGGGGTGTATTTACCTACTCAAAAAGTTTTATTTGGTTTTGGGCAGTTTTCATAGTCTTGTAATAATTTTAAATTTATTTTTGTTTTGAGAATATATCATATTTATTTTTGTTTTGAGAATTTTTATCGTTATTTCAGGTATACCCGCAAGTACGATATTTTTCTGCCGATTGCAACGATTTTGTATGTCTAGCATAAGGTCTTCGTAGCCAAGCGTATCTTGGTATCACAGACCTGTGTCTGTATTCCCCGCCCCGTGTGTTTGTGTGTGTGTGTGTGTGTGTACTAACCAGCAGGTCGTGTGTGTGTGGTGTCGCGGGCGGTGCGGGCGCGGCGGCGGGCGCGGGCTTGAGGCTGCACATCATGTTGACGACCCTCCGTGTCTCGAGGTCCCGGGCGCGAGGCTCGGGGGACGCGGGCGCGCTCTCGGACGCCGCGCGGGCTCGCTCACACGGAGACGAAGACCGGACAGACGACCCGTACGCGGTCAGCGGGTAGATGCCGTACCTGGAACGATTATACACACTGGGTGAGAACTACGACCACGGTTAGCAAGAGACGGGTGAGTGACACTATGATACTAGTACAGTGGTGGCCTAGTGGTGCATGAGGGCGCGGGTTCGATCCTGGCCCGGGCAAGTACCAATGTGATTTTTCCGAGTCATATGTACTTTCTAAAAATATTTAGACATCACTGATTAATGCTGATTCCCAAAAGAGGGTTGATGTCAGGCAGGCGGGCGGTCGTAAAAAACAAATAGCCAAAACTATTCACAACAAGTAAGGCAGACCCTAGTTATAGCCGGGAAATTACCAGGTAGAAGAAGAAGAATCAACATATACAAAAAAAAATTGTATAATAAGAATCTGTTGAAAGAGAACATAATTTTCACATATTTTTTTTCTTTGTGGGAGTAACATCACGTCCTTCATTGTGTTACTCATCTTCTTCTCTTCTTCTGCTTTACATGTAAATTGTTTTCACTCTTAGAAAGTACATATGACTCGGAAAAATCACATTGGTACTTGCCCGGGCCAGGATCTAACCCCCACTCTTAGCAATGAGAGGCAGGCCCTCTAACCATTAGACCGCCACTGACTTATATATGTTGACTTTGTATAAGTTGATGACTACTTAGTAACATAATTTGTTAGTAATATATATGTGAGTATGTCTCACTTAACGTCCTCCACAAACTTCTCCAGTTTCTCAGCGTGCGGCAGGTCGCGAGCCGCTAGTTCGCTCCTCACTCCTCCCCGGCTGCTCCAGGCCGCCACTCCGCCGCCTGAACTCATCTCGTCCGTGATCGTCTCTGATATATTCGCTGGAACATTCACCAAAGAAATTTGTATTTTTTTTACGGACTATCTTTATACAGGGTGACTGGTGAATTACTATCGATACTTGAGGACCTGATATTTGACGATCATATATGACAAAATAAAAATTAATATAACATAAATATTAATAAACTTCTAAGTAAAGTTAACCAAAAGTTATGTAATTAATTACGCATCCTGTGAACACCCTACAGATTAGGTATACACACACACACACATACGCGTGCGGCGGCGTGCTGATACAACACCACGCCACCACGCGTCCACACTTGGAACACTTGGAACGTGTCAACATTATTTATTTATACGGAAATTTGGTCAAAATGTAAGTACCTATTTTTTTTACATAATTCGAATGAGAATCATGTACCGAGTATTCTCCTTAAATATTGATAGTAATTCACCAGTCACCCTGTATATATGTATAATTCTTCTATGAGTGTGTATGTCACTGAACTTCTCTCAAACGACTGGACCGATTTTGATGAATTTTTTTGTGTGTGTTCAAGGGGATCTGAGAATGGTTTAGATTCAAAATTTTGTCCGCTGGACAATGTTTTTTTTTATTTATTAGTAGTTGTTGATACAAACGTTTTTTTTACATTAGATTTGACAACTAAATAATAAGTATGTCAATCATTCTGTCGCACTTCAAAACACGGAGATTTATGGCTTTAATAGGTAAACTCCAAAAATAAAAATATAAAAAATGTAACAGATATTTCTTCATTATAGGGCGATACGAAGTTCTCCGGGTCTTCTAGAGTAAATATAAATACTGTCTGTATGGTATGTTACCACAAGTGTTGACGAGCGTGTGTGCTGCGAGCAGTTTCAATGAGTGGACTTCGAACAGTAGAGGATGGAAGAGGAGCTCCCTGGCGGTTGGCCTCTTTGATGGGTCTTTGTTGATGCATCTAGAAACAGAGAATTCCCAGAATATATCTCGCAAAAAAATAACCTTTGAAATGTGCATTCATCTCTAAGACGTGATACAATTCAAATAATTATAACTTTCTTTTTGTTATCAATGATTGTTTGTTATGTTATTATATTGATATTATTGTTATATTTTTTTCTCTTCACTTTGTTTAAAATTTATTTTCACAGATTCTATTAAATGTTTAGTTAGCTTTGTTAACATGTAAGTTGTAAAATGTATATACCTGTAATGGTGTATCACATTTTTTTTTTCTTTTTTTGGTATTTTTAAAATAAATAAATAATTTCTCCTCACCTGTATATAAAGTCTTTCTGCCTCGTTTCCTCCAATGACTCCACTGTCCTTGTAACATGTTCGTCCGTCACATGGCTGCCCGTCTCTCCGTTCCCTTGTATCTCCAGAGCGGCCGTCTCCAGGGCACACATACCGAACGAGTATATGTCCATGGCCGGGGTTACCATTTGTGATGCTGTTAATAAATGTTACACTTCATAAGTTAGTTGACAGTTACTTGACAGCTCTATGATATGATTGAATACGTTTTTCTGTAAAATTCGTTTCTTCGATATGCTAACGTAGAAAACAAATTATATAAAGAGAATAAGTAATCGTACAGTCAATCTGGGTAACTTTGATTCATCGGATAACTTTGTCAGCGGGACCATGAACTAGTTTCGATTATTTTTCCGCATGAAACCAACACTATTCATATATGTTTATTTTAGATGTGCGATTTTAAAGATCTTTCGTAAACGCAACTTAAAAAAAAGTAAGTTTTCAAAGTAAGAAAACGTCGAAAATTTTTTTGAATATAGCGCACTAATTTAAGTTTGCTTTAGGATGAATAACTTTTTGAACATTTTGTGATTTTGGTTGCTGATAAGGTAAGTGAGATGTTATACAGAGCCATTTGTGATTGTACTACCGCATTTTCATGAATTATTTGCATATAATTACGTCTTATTTTCAAATTTCATGCATAAATATGAAGATATGTATTTTGAACAGTAACTGGGTAACTTTGACACTGTCAACCCTTACATAGAAACTGAAATGGTGGAGGAAGAGGTGATAGAAGAGGTAATTGAAGAATTTGTTGTTAAAGATGGAGTTTTGCAACATGCACATCAAAGATGTTGAGTTCTCACCTGGAACAACAGTTATATTTAAAACAGAAGGCACACTGTTCCCGCGAAAAGTGACAAGTTTCACATTCCCGTATTATACATTGTTGTCATGAGTAGATCAACACAAGGTGGTTGGAAATGGCCAGATAAAGGAGAAATTATTAAAATTAAATATGATGATGTTGTATCTATAGTAGATAACAGTAGAATCAGTATAACACAGCCTGGGCTCTACACAATTAATGACGATTTGCTCTATATGGAGTGTAGAGAATAGACAATTTAGGCTCAAGATTTCACAAAATGTTTGTTTGTTTTAATTATTTTTGCTTGTTTCCTTTTTAATTTGAATAAAAATGTTTAATTAAAAGAGTTTTAAAGCGTTTTTGATGGTGTTCAAAAATGTGTGTAACATTGCCAAATGTTGTAGACTGATTCTTCATATTTTTATTTTAATATAAGACAAAACTGCAAAATGGTCGTTTTATTGCGTCACATGCATACATTAGTTAATAAATATATACACCAATGTTACCCAGATTGATAAAAATAATACTTATTACTACTTTTTTATGCATGGCTCTGTGTGTGTCAAAGTTACCCATTTTATGAGGGTAACTTTGACAGGGCCCAGAATTGAGATTTTATACTATATTGGTATGTTTTATGAAATTTTTGTGAATGTCTAGAGATGGAAAGTAATACGAGAGCACTGATATAATAAAAAACACTCGAGTGATACTTTAAATTTTCTTAAATATAGTATAAAATATCACCCTTATCTGTCAAAGTTACCCAGATTGACTGTACTAATTCAAGACTTTTGAGTGTATATTTAGCAATATATTTATGAGCCTCTCTGAATACTAACATCCATATTCAGGCGCTATCAGATGCATGTTCCTCATGTTCTCCCTGCACGTCTTCACGTGATGATGTATCGCGTCCGGAGCCACCGAGCCGATCTTCACCAGCCCGTTGTGTTGTATGAAGATCGTGTCGCAGGTCAGATTGCCGTGTACTATCGGAGGAACGCAGCCATGGAGATAACTGATACATACAAATGCATATTAAACATTCATTTGACGTGTGATGATAAGATAATAGGTGGTGTTGTCTGTGAGGGTGTACCTGAGAGCGGACAGTATCTGTGTGCACCATCTCTTCCAGGCCTGCAGCGGTAGACGTTTAACGTTTCGTTTGGTTCGTTTGAGGAACTGCTTCAGCGAGCCGCAGGACATGTACTCCGTTATGAATATGACCTGGACATTACCAATACAATATTTCTTCTAAACACCTCAGTCAGAATCTCTGAATGTATGTAATGTGATACTTACCCTCGGCTTGTCGTTGTGAGTGTCTGTCCAGTACCGATGGAACTTGACTATGTTGGGGTGTTCCAGCCTGGTGAGGTTGTCGAACACCATCTGTATCTTGTCCTCCTGTGCCTTGAAGTTCTTCCTCTCTGAGAACTGCACCTCGTTCCACACAACCTCCACACCCTCCTCGGTGTCCATCGCGAGGTGAGCGCAGTCGATCCCGGGAACATCGCGCTGTTCCACCTGGAAATAACACAGAGACACATTAATTCAACACTCACGAAATATATCATTCGAAAGAGATAGACAAATGTTACTAATTAGTCTAATAGATACTACATGTTACTAAATTTCTTGGTATTGTTTTATAATGATTTTAGAACTTTTAAGATATTCATTTCAATATAAAGAGAATAAACCTGACATAATGTTATGTTTAATAAAAACAGATTTCCTGTTTTCGCACCATTTCAGAATAGTTCTACTTAAGAACAGTATATATGTATATTGTAATCAAGTTAGTGAAGCAATCATTGTATGAACTTAACATTTGTGTCATTGTGAACCGTAATGTTGGTAATCTTCTAAAGATAGATCGTGTATATAGAATTCTATCAATTCCGCGTCTCAACTTCAACCGAGTCATTGTCGTTTTATTATACTTAATATTATATACTAATATTATTAATGCGAAATTAACTCTGTCTGTCTGTTACGCTTTCACGCCTAAACCACAGAACGGATTTTAATGAAATTTGGTATAGAGATGGAGTTGACCTTGAGAAAGAACATATAATAATTTTTATCCCAGACTTTTGAAAGGTTCTCTTGGAAACGCGATATAACCGAACTCAACGCGGGCGAAGCTGCGGGCGGAAAACTAGTATTATATATATTATTTCGTTATCGCCCTCTGTTCTCTGATGACCACAGTCAGTCAGTCATCAGTCGTCAGCCTCCTCTCACATCAATCATTCAATTTAAATCTCTGCGCACTTCACAATCTATTTATAGTGCTTCCTCTGTATCACGTGATGAGGACATTTATATTGTCTGTTATTTTATCGAGCGTTTTATTGTATTTGTATATGTTATTAATAAAATGTATCGTGTTGTGTTTGTGTCTGTGTGTAGTTTCATTACCTTATAATGTTTTTCGTTTTAGTTCCTCTATCCCTCTGAGGGTATAAAGTTTTTGTAATGTGTTCTCGGTAAACCTTTGGGAATTTCGTCTTTAGGGACTTCTTTGAGACGCTCCAAGTTTTATATATTGATTTTATTTTAATATATAAACTAAGTTTTAGTTCAATAAAATGATAAGATACTGGTCCCGTCGTGATATCGAGGCGTTTGCTTGTCTATGCAATAATAAATTATTTATCATCCTCAGGCTTTTAGTTAAGGCTATCGCACGAAACGGAATCGTTAATAGACTATTTGTTATTCAGAGAGAGTACAGTGTCGTGATAATTTAACGAATACTTCGAACCATAGTTAAACAACAACTGTGATAGTTAAATATTGAATATTTGTATCTAATATTCTCTGTGATAGTAATTTTTAATTTCTCTTTTAAATACTTGTATTATATGAGCACACACAGACATACTGTTCATAGTACATCAGAGAGATGGTAACGTTCAAATCGTAAACTTATTACGGAGCGTGTTGCACGCTCTCATTTGCATTCGGCGGGTTGGTACGGGCCGGCGGCCCCGGCATCTTTGTCTTCATACGTAACCACCGCTCGTATTGAATGTGATTCATTTAAACAGATTCTTTTGATAGTTATAATATAATATTCCTATCGCAGAACAACCAATTAAATCACGTTTATGATCCAAACAGTTGCACTTCTATTTCCACAGACAGTTTCATCATATTGTTCGGTACTCCATCAAGCCAGTGGTTATCCCACGTCTCGTTTTAATCGTCTAATGATCGTTTTCTCTCAACACAATTTATTCACCGACAAACGTTGTCGACTTCGTGATCTTCAAACATCGCTACGTAATTTATTTATATTTTTTAACATAAAATGCCAACCTCTCGAGCGCGCACTCGTGTGAAAATGAGTGTAGCGACATTACTTAAAAAACTTTTCCCATTTCGTTGTTGGAATTTATGTTATAAATTTCTTTTAATGTTTAATTGTGATATAATAATATTGTTAAAATATATATGTTATATATTGTAGACTGGGTTTCAATGAAATGCTTCAAGTGTTAAGAATTAATTTACAATAAAGAATGCATATTATTATTATTATGAAACCTTACAACCGATAATGAACAATAAAGTCGCATAAGGGGTAGTTAAATGTTTGCGAGCGTCTTTTATGTAGGTGTGTTCTGTACCTTATAAGAACAAACAAACAAACACACATACATTAAACACATCGTCCGGCTGTAGTATGTAGTGTTTATACATTCAGAGATCGTTTCCATCATTAATAGTAAACATATATCAATTGATCGTTTACTATAATTCATTGCTAGTCATTAGCCCGAGTCGTTATCGACGCCGGCGCAGGGTTTGTTAACACGCACCGACCACACAAACAACTATAATGTAACATTTATATATATATATAAATATTATAAACAATGTTTAACTAAATATTTAAAATAATACATTGTGTTGAGCAGGATTTGAATCGGGAACTCTTGTAATTTTGCCTTCCTACTGATTGGAAAATTAAGCTATAGTGGCTAACTTATTATTTCTTAAAAGTTGTCAAAACTGTAACAAGTACTTAATTTATGTTGCCTTTGGTCTTGTGGTAAAGGGTGGCGAAAAAAGCTTTGTTTCATTAAAAAGATTAACTAAAATGTACTTTTACTTTATATTTCATAATAAAATTGAGACAGTTATATATTAATTGTGTTTGATTTTATATACATATAACCGAATATTCAACAAGAGATAGCCAATAACTATATTAAAGATCTACAATAATTCACAATTATGACATTATTAATCTTCTATATATATAAAAATGGATTGCTGTTCCTTAGTCTCGCTAAAACTCGAGAACAGCTGAACGGATTTATCTTATCTTAGTCTTGAAATGTTCGTGGAGGTTCAGGGAAGGTATAAAAGCTGAAAAAAATTGATTCATTACTGGGAAAACAATAAAAAAAGCCCTTTTGTATTTCCCATACAAACGTTTTTTTTTGACATTAGATTTGATAACTAACTAATATGTCAATCATTCTGTCGTACTTCAAAACACGGAGATTTATGGCTTACAGGTAAATTCCAAAAATATAAATAAAAAAACATAATAGATATTTCTTGATTATAGGGCGATACGAAGTTCGACAGGTCTTCTAGTTTAATAATAAAAATTGTAACAGGAATTTGAATAACAACAGATCATTCTTGGAACTATAAGACAGCTAATGATTCAAACAATGTGACGTTTCCTCTGAAGTACTGTAAAAACAGAAACAAACGGCTGTTGATTCATTATAATGATATTTTGAAACAGTCACCCGTACACCTCCGTCATTATTAGAACCGTTAGCAGAGTTTACGAATTTCACTGTAAGTGAGAGGGTTGTTGAATCACCGGCATGAGGAATCTGATATGATTAATGTCTTAAAATATATATAAATAAAAGATATTTATAATAATTTTATGTTAAATACATATATACAGGGTGACTGGTGAATTACTATCAATATTTAAGGAGCATACTCGGTACATGATTCTCATTCGAATTACGTAAAAAAAATACTGTATAATGTAAACGCATGAAGTCTAATATGTCAACTTATATTAAAATACTATCTACGTTTCTTCATAATTTAAGAAATGTTCTACAAATATAATAGCAACATATACTTTTAAAATATTAAAGCAAACCTTTCATTAGCGACTTTTAATAAGTTTATAGATTAACTAATTATTGTACACGATTTGTTTTTGACAAATTTATAATACCTCAATATAAAAGGGGAAATTTGACGTTTGCGTTTGGTTAAAACATTTACAAGTCAATGGAAAACTTTGACGTAATACCGAATAGCGCAGTTATATATTAAGTTAAAAATAGCAAATAAATTATGATTTGTATGTAGGAATAACGTCTTATCCTGTTGTTTGTTTATTATAACTCAAGACTAATACGAACTCATGGCTAATTCTAAGTTTTTCATTGACCGAGAGACATTCAGGTTATGCAATAACAAACAGGGCAACAAAACGGGCGATATTAGAACATTGAACGTAGCTAATGATAAACAACGTGTACGTAATGTTTTAAAATACGTTCACGGTACGGATTCCGTATCAGACGAGCTTAGAGGCGCCGGCTGAAGCCCTGAGCCTCCACCCCTCACCGACACTTGGCACACTCGTGACATTCACATCGCTTACAGACTGCGACAAATATACTATTAAGGTCGAAGGTGATCATACATATTACATGTATCTTATATACTTAACTCCCACATAATATGTCTATACAAATAATAGGATGCGATGCCGAAAAATTGACCTTCGTTGACCGATATTGACCTTCGTTTCAATCTGTGATAGTGTCCGATGGCCGAGCAGTCAGTGGTAGTGTTCCCGGGGGCGTGACGTCACACAGCATCTATTCTGGTCCAGGTGCCAGCGTCACGATCCTCGTCACATCCACCCGTCTCCTGCATGCTGTATGTTAACACGCCCGCCTTCTTGTAACACATCACTCCTCTATTAATAACAGTACGTTACGAACCTCTGACCGCCTCCGCTCGTGACGTCATACTTTATATCGGATTATCGAAACTAAAAGGAATTCTTGGCTGAAGCCCTAGGACCTGTCATGTTGAATGTTCATACAAATATACACATAAATTATTATGATTGGTATAAAATTGGTTCATGACAGATTTACTCGGCTCGTCTCCTGACGTAATGATATGGTATTGATTTTTTATATGAGTTATGGCGTATGATAAGCGTCTTATCATTAATACACCTACAGCTGAGAAACATTTCCAGTGATTGGTTGAAGTGTGATTCACGTTGAACCTTTTCCTTTTATTGTATCCTGTATGTATGTATGTATGTATGTATGTATGTATGTAGGGGTGGTGTGTCGAGCGTCTGTGTCTGTGATAATAGTAATGTTCATTATAATTCTGCGGTTCATATCAGGCGGCTAGTCGTCCGGTGTCGTCGACCCTGCGCCGGCGCAGTATTCGCCATGTCCTGGCATCACTCCAAATGCCTATGCACTATCTCTAAA